CAGTTGCTCAATGATCGTGTCGTCCAATCCTTGATTTCTGGGGTCTGCACAGCGAATCGCAGCGGCATACTCTGGGTCGTAAACGTACAGCTGGCTATACTTTGGCACATTGCTCAAATTTAGTGGTGCTTGCAAGTGATAGAGTTCCCCATGAACACGAACCGGCGTGATGCCGCCTCTCATCTCATTCTCTCTATCCCTTTGGAGCTGCTCAGGCGTAGCATCGGTGCCAAATGATGTAAATGCGAACAAAGTGTTGTATTGTCGCATGTGCTGCAAAAAATGAGAGGATCGAGGATGGCTTCCGTTGATCAAGCTATTTAAAGGCTCGGGAGGCTCTTGCAAAAGGGGCAAGACAGCTCTACCTTTTTTGCAGCAAGCATGAAAGCAGTTGTCGTTTACTCGCTGTTGAACAGCCCTCTCTGCGGCCCAATGCAAAGCTCCACATCCATCACATTGGTTGTCCATTCTGCCCAAATCTGAACGTTGTACTCTTCCAAGTTCTGATACAAACGCTGCAGGTGCTCTTGGTGTTCTTCGATTCGCCAATCTTCTTTGCCTGGCGTAATTTCGCGCTCGTTCCTGAATTTGAGTACAAACAAAATAAACCATTGCGTCTCAGGGTTTTATTAGGCGTTAAAAGCCATTTTACTTACTCGACATGAATCACATTTCCGATAAGCATAGTCTACTGGAAGAGCAGCTCTACAGGTCGTGCAGTGTCTTGTTTGAATAGTAGGAGGCATATTATTACGTACGTATAATAACAAAAAGCAATGTATCAAATTTTTTTTTTGGTGCCTTATATTCTTGGTGGAGGGGCTAAGCCCCCTCCCCCAAACCCCCTCCCCATTGCCGGCTTCGCCGGTGGTTATGCCCTCGTTTGTTCTGGCTTTTAATACTATTAGATTTTAAAAGGATATGATTGGCTTGTCTATTTTTTTTTCATAGTTTTCCAGTATATATATTTTAGATTTAAAGGACATTTTTCACGTCGAACTATTATGCAATGGATGCTAGATTAAACGCTTGTACCTTAGCATACTCTTAAATAAAGAAGGCTTTAAATTGTATCTATTTCGTTAACCTTTTATTAGAAATATAAACTCGTTATAGATGACAGCTCAATAGGAGATCAACTAGCTAGAATCCTTTGGTGCCTCATCCTCCGAGCCAATCAGATTGCTTAAAAACTCCGCTGACCTAAAAAAAAATTGCGAGGGTTTCCCCTTGTTTTGATGTGAGGCAAATTTTTAAGCGCCGCTTTAACAGCAATATAGCCGCTGCTATCATCAAACTTCCCCCAGGTGCTAGAGCATGCCTTACTTACACCACCTAGCTTTAACTTCAGGCATTGAGACCTTCAATCATCACTAAAGTAAGTAGCGATAACCAAATGGAGGCGGCCTATCTACCTCCTAGCCTCGGATAAAGTCTTGTTGAGCTTCAGGGATAGGCACATCCACACAACGTAAAGAGGTATGCTTCAAAAGAAACATAATAATAATAATAAAAGAAGCGAACATAATAATACTAAAGAAGTATAGTAGTATATGTGTGCAAAAGAAAAAAAGAATGCTCACACGAAGTGAGCCAAAGGAAAGTATGTTATGAATAAAACATTAAAAATGTTCACGTTATTATATTCTTGTTATTGCAACAAAAATATATACATGAGCAATGTGCATGATAACAGTCTAATGATGTAAAAGAACACAAATGCGCACAATTGCAGGAGCAACAGTAGCAGCAGTATAAGTGTGTAATACAACATGATGAAGACCAATGTTGTTTTCGAGTGAAGCGACAGAAGAGGCAACACAAACAACAATCCACGGTTATATAACAAAGTATCACAGGAAGGGTAATACAATTATATAATAGCAGTGTGTCATGCTTGTTGTTCGTAAATATGAAGCAACAACATTGCAAGTATTTGTTGAGCTGATCGTATCACAGCCAACAAAAGAGAAAGAAAAGGCAATAATGCAAACAGCATGAATGCATTATCGCGGGAAAGGAAGCAATAGTACAAACGTTCAAAGAAGTTTTATATCATTGCGACCACAAGAAAAAAAAGATACTTATTACCACTTCTTACCACACCATCACGACCAGAAATAGACCAGAGAACCAGCATACATCAAAGACAACAGACGACAGGATAAGCAAACACCAGAGAAGAACCACCGAAGCGGCGATATACCATCAAAGCAGCCACCGCCAAGTGTGCAGTCAGTGCACAACAAAAGATCAGAAATAGATCCCTAGTAGAGTTATTCCAAGTAAAACCATGGTATAAAACGCGTTAACATTGTATCTTACGTATATTGCACAGCTATCAATTATACTTACTTCAATTCTATTTACAAAGGTAGCGTTGTTTCATGAGTAGAAAGCTTGCAAGATATAATATTTATAGATATATAAAAAACCGAAAAAAGGAAAAATTGCTAATAAAAGGCTGAGGCTGAAAAACGTTACTGTTATCAATGTACCACATAGTAAGTACCAGAATTTGATAGCTTGCTACAAGGCAGCAAAGCAAGATATGAATTGGCGATTTTCACTGCAAGGTTCGCCAACGTCTTACCTATTAATCCGTTACATGTAATTAAGAGGTTATATTTGACAAGGGTAGCGAATTTTACGTTCGAATTGACCTACATACTAAAAAAAGGCGGTATTTTAAACTATCAATAGCCCAGCCTTCATTATGCTCAAAACGAAGATTCATGGATTTCTGAAATCGTTCAGCCTTAATATCATGCGATTCTGATAATAACATTGCTTTCCAGCTAAATAAGACTTACGGTAGAATTTAAAGGAGAATCTAATCATACCAATTTTAAGTGTTTTGGCCAACATTATTAGGCTGGTTTTTTATAAAGTAGTTTTTGCGATTTTTTGGTTGTTTTTGACCGATTACCAGGTTTCTGTCATCAGAGCTTTACTTGCAATACTCATCATAGTGTAGAACAGACAAGAACCTATCGAACGAGCCCTGATTAAAAGCTCCAGTATGGTTCTATCACGAGATATCTCCAATTTTGTACCTCGAGAGAAATTGCTATCTAGATTTTTGCCTTGCTATCACAAGCAAATTTTGCATAAAAATCGATGATTTTGCAAGATTACGTTTTTTGTCATATCTCAGGAAAGACGTGTCGTATTTGAATAAAACAAAAAACCATTCAATAGCTCTACATTGGACCTATCAGGCTGTGGAAGTTTTTGGTTCTAAATGTATGTTTCCTTTCCGATTTTGCTCATAATCGTGTATTTTATGAACTTTAAGCAGAGAAGTGGTCCAATTATTGACGATAAAGTCATGTTAGCCACGTAACTTGATGCAGAATACAGATTTGCCTCAAATGATGGTACCAATCTTGATAGTTTATTTACAATTTGTATCCAAATAAGGCTGTTTTTATATATGATATTTCAGAGATTTTCCTATAAAGGAAGAATGTAATCAACCTACACCACTGTAGAAACTCCAGTTTGAGGGTTGAAGAATAGATTTTCGAAAGGAAGTATCATTGTAGGCTCCAGTCGAGGTCTTAATTCGTAGAGCAAACACAGGGAATCGTTATTTAATTAATAGAAAAGAAGGTTTTTTATATTGGTTTGCTGTACACTACTTTCCTCGCCGCTTAACTATTTGGCAACCACGAATACATTGAAAATCGCGTTATACGTTATGCAACCCCTCAAAATGGACATAAATTCTCCTGAGAACAAGCCCCGTTTAGCATCATCAACGTAGGTTGTGAAAGAGCTGCACCTAGCTGTTGGTAAAATGCGCAGCATAATAGCTAAAAATTTCTGCTACAATACTACGAAGAAGAAAGATAAAAACAAGCGGTTTTCGACCACAAGATGCTCTAGCGTCTCATCTATAAATTTATTACTCATGATTGCTTGTAATAATCAAGTTGTATTTTAGAAAAATAGCATTGAGGCGATTACACACTAGGCTACAACTAAGCTTCGTTTCTCAATTCCTGTTGCATTAAGCGTAAATAAATGACAAATAAAAAACAACAATCCTGCAATAAAGTATAGTATTATCTACTAGTAGTACTTACTTTAGTAATAAGTACAAAAGGCGAGCTCCAGTATATCAATGTATTAGCTTTTATCGATAATAGCATGGCCTCAAAATCTTAGGTTTCGAAACATCATTCGGGTTATTATTATGCGACGATTTGGTTTATCTAAGGTATCAGGTTATGAATGCTTTCAGTTGTTTGATTAATTGAAAGACAAGTGGTATACAATCAAGGATCTTGATAGGGTCCTATTTAGGAGACATCTACGGGAACCGCCTGGAACGCTCCTGGCCCCAAAGTGGATGTATCTTTATCATTATGTAATAGATTTATTGTCCCTAGAGACTTTATATCAAACTACAATCTATCAATAATCAAGTTTCTTCTAACATTTTAGCTATTATTAATCTTGCAACTATATTAGCCAAAGGCCTGCGGCAGCGCGAGCCACCTGAACGCAGGTTGTTTTCCACCAAAGCAAAGTGTAGGTCAGGAAACCAACCGAAGAGTCGAAATGCTCATCGTAATGTATGATCCCTACTACTAGACACTTTCAAAGACTCAAAAAGGAAAGAAGTTGATCTAACAAGCATGTTGATAATAGACTGGCTTTATTAAATATAAAATTCAAGGAAAATAGCATGGTTAACGATAATGCTATCCAGTTTGCTACCAACTTTCCCTATGCTTCAAGGGCGTCTATTACTGTAATGCCTTCACGATTAAAAGGGCACTGCGTTTGCCAGCCGGCTCCACCAGCCTCCAAAATCAATTTCAACTCAGACCCTTAGTCTATTCTGGATTGGCCAAATTCTGGTAGTTTTCCGACTTGATTGATCTATTTTACTAGATTCGACTATATAAACTGTGTTGGAAGAACTGTCTAAGAAGGCTCTAGGAATTTTTGGAAAAATTTTAGACCTCGGTCTGAATTACGAGCATTCCATGGGTTGGTTCATGGGTACTGGTTATGCTATTCTTCAACAATTACCCGGTGTCAACTATCCCACTATGCATCACAGCATTACTTGGAAGACCGTCTCTGAGGCTGAAGAATTTTGCCATGCAACCTTCCCGGGCATGGCCACTTGATGTCGCTACTGCCACGAAGAGGGCCACACGAAGTTTGAATGTCCCAAGGCACTGGCCCGCATTATATGTTACAATTGTGATAACGCTGGTTATCGTCAAGATACTTGCCCTAAACCCAAGAAAGGATCCTCGGATCGTGAATTCAAGAAGGCTCGAAAGACCCCGTCTACCACCTCTTCTACGGAAGCTGACAAGTCCAAGTGGGCACCAAGCAATATCAAGAACTCGGATGCGGGTAAGCCACAACCTCAGGGACAGCGACAGCAGCACCAGGACCAGCAACTCGGCAACTTGAAGCGACTCCATCAAAAACGACAATCTCAACAGTATATGGCGTCCCTACATGCCCCTGGTTCATGTCGCGACCTAGGTGATGCTGTCTCAGGTGTTGAAGTCCCTCAAGAAGGGGAGGATAGTGCCGTGGCTCACGGTGATCTAGGTGATACTGGTATGGCTCTCGGTGTTTCTAGTGAAACTGGTAGTGCTGGTGAAACTGATGGTGCTGGGTCTACTGACGATGCAGAAGACAATGCAAGAGATCAAGACGACGCAAGGCTCTTCTCTCTGGATGGATTGAGTACTGACTCCTATGACGATGATTTTGGATCGAATGGTGATGAGGAGACTCAGGTGGGGACAGAGCCTCCGGGTAAGCGGCCTTGGATATCAGGTAACCTTGAAGATATGAAATCGTTCGCATGGCAATATTACACGGACCTATACAAAGCTGATCTCGTAGCGTCTAGTGACGTTGAAACATATTTGGATACAGTGTCATTTGGGAATGTTCTGACAGTCGATGAACAACAATCCTTGATGGTCCCTATTACCCTGGATGAACTGCTGCAACAGACGAATCGCTCAGCGAAGGCCACAGCCCCTGGCAGTGATGGCCTACCCTACCCTTTTTTGTCGCTCTTATTCAAAATGGCCCGCTTGAAAGAGCTCGTCTTACAGATATACAATGATGCTCTCAATGGTATCTCCCCCTCGTCTTGGCATGATCTGCGTATTAGACTACTTCCAGAGAAGGGTCTGCTAGCCTTGCTCAAAAATTGGCGTCCAATCTGTCTTTTGGGCTGTGATGGCAAAGTTTTTACCAGGCTTCTTGCTCAACGCATGGCTCCTATCCTTGGTCGTATCATCAATCCGTTTCAATCGGGGTTCCTACAACAACGCTTCATCTGTGACAATGGCATGGCTTTATCGATGGCTTTGGAAGAGGCTCGCGCCTTTTACCATACTGGTGCTAATATCCTGTTGGAACAGGAGAAAGCCTACGATCGGGTGAATGCTGACTATTTGTGTGCTGTTCTTCTCCGGTTTGGGTTTCCAGCCAGTTTCGTGTCATGCGTCAAACTCTTGTTCTTTAGCAATGATATGGACATCAACGTCAATGGATACTTCACCCCAGCTGTCAAACAGGAACGGGGTATCACTCAAGGTGATCCTCTGTCGCCTCTACTCTTCGATGTTGCTCTCGAACCGTTCCTTCTCTCCATACTGCAAGACCCCTACTTCCATGGCTTTCGGGCGAGTAATGGTGCATCTGCCGATACGAACTCTCGTGTGTCGTCGGCGATCAAATGTCTTGCGTACGCAGATGATGTCTGTGTCCTTCTTCGCGATGAATTAGATTTGTATCGTCTCCAGCAGCATATGGCCAATTATGCCGCCGTGTCTAATGCCAAGTTCAATGACGATAAATCGGAGGCCTTTTCTCTGTCTGGTCGTCGGTCGCCGGCATGGGTGCGTGCGTTTGAAGAAATTCATGTTCACACCTACCACCACCAGGGTTCCATTGCGGCTTTTCGGTATTTGGGCCTGTATTTTGCCTACAACCATGCGCAACGGGCTCAAACGGAGGAAATGCTCCTCAACACTGTCAAAACTCAATGTGCCATCTACAGCCAACGCCAATTATCCATCATGGGTCGCGTTACTGTTGTCAACAGCCTTATTCTGTCCAAGATGTGGTACAGCCTTCGCATGCTCAGGCCAACCAAAAGGTTCTTGGTGAATATCAAATCGTGTGTCTATCAGTTTGTCTGGAAGAAGAAGTGGCCGTTAATACGCAAGGATCTCATCTCCCTGCCCAAATCGAGGGGTGGTCTTGCCGTACTCAACCCTTCTCTACAGCAGTTCACCCTACAAAAACGCTGGCTCAATTACCTTGTTGAACCGCAGAAGTATCCGTCCTTCCTGCTGCCCTTCCTGCTCTCACATTTGTCCTTGCTCCCCGCGTCTTCAGACTTCCTCTACATGGCCTTTTTGGATGGTGATTGCCGCAAATCCCCTCTGCTACATAAGGATCTCTCCATCTGGCATTCCATCTTCGCCTTGTATGATTACTTTGAGTTAAATGACCTTCAAAAAGTTGGTGTCATCCCGCTCCAGGCCATCATGCTGCTGCCGCTGCACAAGCTCCTCACTGGGCTTAGCGATGACCACTGGCTCAGGCGTCACCCCAAGTTTCCCGCCAACAAGTTTCTGTTATTCGATACTTATCAACAAAGGTGGCGTCTTCGTGTCGCGTCTGAATATCTCGTCTAACAGCACCTCTGTGCCTCCCTGTACCAAGAAATCTTAGTGCTCAAAACAGTTCATCTGGTTCCTGGTGTATGGCCTCACATCCTGCAGCCCCCCTCCCAATCCAGCTTGGACTGGACTAATTTTGATTCCTTTGGTACTTTGAGCATCACAGATAAATGGAAGCTGTATCATCCCATCACATATCGCCAACAGCAACAACAGTTGGTCCCATCAGAGCATCGGTTCAGCAATGCCATGGTCAAAACATTGTGGTCCTCTCCTGCCCACCCTACTGCCAGAACGGTTCTCTATCGGGCATTGTCGCGTTGCATCCCGCATAAAACCTACCTGTGCACTATTGGCTCGGTGGAAAACTCAATCTGTTCCTTTTGTGCCCAAGGCATTGATATATTGCGGCATTTTGTCGTCGACTGTCCCGTCAAATGGCAATTATGGCAATCCGTCCTGTCTCAGTACTATTCCGACTTTCCTCTGACCTCTGAAATCATTTATGGCACAGTGCGTTATCTGCATCTTCCTCGCTTCATCAAAGATCGCTCCAAGTATATCACCGTCATTTCTACCATTTTCTGGCAAATATGGAATCTGTACTGGCTTCACGGTAGCCAAAATCCATCACCCCTCTCACTTGACTCAATTGAGCGCTTTCCCTCCAGGACAGTTGGCCATATTGACAACCTGCTCCCGACCAACACATAATCGTATATTAGATAGTCATTTCGTTGTTCGAGGTCCACCACTCCGCGATGTGTCCCTCATAAAATAATATTTGAATAAAATAAAATATTAACTACAAAAAAAAACTCCCTAATGCATCTTTGGAATGCTTTTCAAGGCGCATCCAATGGTACCAAGTAAAGAAGATGATTTGAATAAACTTATTGAGCAATTTATAAAAATACAAAAACAGGTTTGCGACCAAAAAGTTGAAATTTTACATATCAAGGTCCCACAAAGATGGTTTTAGAGGTTACATTAGATTGATAGAAACATTTTGATTTAATATGTACCATAGTAAAAAACACGATTGTTTGATTTTCAATGAAAACCATGAGGAGTACCTCATGCTTTTGGTCGAGTTTTGCCCATATTTTTTTGGTCCCCAAAAAGCTGAGCAAAGGTGTCAGGAAGTAGCTCCTATATGAGAGCAATTGTTTGGTGCTATCCTGGCCGTCTAAAACGGCCTTGAACACAAGAAAACGCAGCTCAAATGCACTCAGATTTTGCTGTATCGGGGACATTAAGGACTAAAAAGGGGAGATAATAGTATGCTGCTTGTCCGTATATGAAGTAGCTACGTATATATGGCTGTAGAGCATCACATAAGAATCAGATCCACAGATAATATGAAGAGTTTTCATGTATAAGTGGAGGATCAAAATGAAAGTAGCAGTGTTTTGATAAGATGCGCAAGGGCAATCGGTAGCGCAAGCTGCCACTGCGCAGACTGGTTCTCACCGAAGCGAAGCAAGGGTAGAGAGCCATCCGAAGCATAAACACTCGTATTAGGCAAAAGTACATTTTGTATGAGTCACTATCGTATTCAGCGTAGATGATTACCAATGCCAAAGGACCAAGGGAACGAGAACTTGTGCAAAGATACTAATATTATAGCAAATGTGGCCATATCGGTATAGGTAGCTCATTGGCGTAAATCACTTATCTAGTTTATCTCTCACAACTTCATTTTCTACGCTTCAAATGAAGGAAATCCAGAATCCCGGGTTTTGCACAAGAAAGAGTGTGTCTACAGCCATAAGGAGAGACTTGAGTATAAGTGTTACTTTAGCTCTCGCATACTATGTCGCTACATGAACCTTAATGTCTTGGGCTGTATCCTTAGTCCAACAGATAAGAAAACAAAAGTTGGCCCAATCGCTATGGAATAGATTGGAAGATCATGACGGCCATTGCATATACAAAATGCATGATTGAGTTTATTGCCATGAAATTGCATCTAGCTAGGCTCCCCTTGAGCAAGATGATGCGAGCAGTAGCTACCTTCTTTGAAAGGGGTATCGTAATTTGCATTATTGTTGCCATTGATGTTGTTGCGCTTCGGGCCGTTTATCTTTTCATATCTCTCCAGCTCTTGGTATGTCTTTTGAGTTGATTTCATTCTTAAATCTAGCCAGACGCTATCAAGGTTCTTTTTGGTCAAGCTGATCACTATTTTGTGTTCTTTGAGCTGTATGCACACGATACAAGACTATTAGTCTATGTTATTTGAGTAGATACAAGCACACACACACACACACCTTGAATGAGGATTTTTCAGGTTGTATGAAACTGTACAGTTGATTGATTTTGAATTTGTGATGCGCGCTGTTATGATTAAACTATATCCCTCAGTGTTAGCAACATGAATTGTTCCACCAGAGCAGTAACTATACTTGCAACGTTGAATTCGAGGCTTCTGGGTGTTGTATTCATGGAGCAATTGTCCGTGGAAAGAGTGCCTGCATCCTTAAAGTTGATGTATATTCTATCAAAGAGCATGAGTTGATCCATCGTTCCACATGTCAGCTCATATATACATACATAATGGATGTTGGGGTTTGATTCCAAGCAAACCCAGTGGTAATATATATTGTTTGTATCTGTGCCTGTAAGGAACGTTGTTTAACATCTTCGTTGGCACCATGCGCAAGATGTGTACCTTGGACCGCCTTATTGGCTCTCGCATCACACGATTTTCAGTGATCAAATCCTCCAGTACTTTCTGGACAGAAGGGACAGTGGTCAGATCCTTCAACCGCTTTAATTCTTGAATGTGTTCTTCCTTGGTATTCATGTATTTCTGCAGTCTATGAGAACAAGAGAGATAATATGCAAACAAACCTTCCAAACATTATTAAATAGTTGCCATGAAAAAGGGGTGTCCATGCCATTTTTCGGTTTTATGCTTTATATGTGTTTGCCAGATTGCAGGCGTATTTACCTGTATTTTCTTGTGATCCCGTAGTGCGCCTCTCATTGGAAGGTGTGCCCCTCCCCCCCCCTCCCCCACCCCTTGAAAGCCCCATTTCATTGGCTTGCGCATCCTCGTATGTCTATTATAATGTGCTATACCATGACTCTAAATAAATAGTGTATGCAGATATGGATTTCATGTGTTTTAGACATGAGAGTCAGTGATGTTAGTAGACAATACCCATGAGGAACAACCGGGAAACATGGTAGTTGGGTTCAAGATCCGCCTACGATTAAGCTCAATAGATTTGTTATGAAACATGTCAATATCAATGAGGTCTGAAAGAAGTATTTGATGACATTGCATGCCATTTGGCTTGGTTTTTTTTTTTTTTTTTTTTTTTTCACAGCAATGTTGGTTTAGGTTACATGTTGACATTTTCTGGCAGCTTTTACAAAATAAGAAACTTTAATCTTCTACAGTGAAGTGAGTATCCGATCAATCTACAGTGATTGGATATGATTGAAAGATCAAACACAACAAGCTTCTTTATCATTTGTATTATCTCTTTTTATCGCGCGATATTAAAAATTATCACAATTTCAAAACCAATTTGGCAAAATTTTTCCTTGCTTTTTCTCTCTTTCTCTTATCACAACAACTACAGAACCCCATTTTGAATGACCATACACTCGTTGGAAAAGATGAATATTAAAGAGGAAGAACCCATACTGACATCTCCTACACCACCTTGGACGGATGAAGATAAGGAAGATGGAAAGAAGCTTGTGTCAGCGGCAGAGGAAGCAGAGCAAGGTGATGAGTCGACTGGAATCACCGTCTGTGCCAACTGCGAGACCACAACAACGCCCTTATGGAGAAGAGATGCCAGTGGGAGAACCATTTGCAATGCTTGTGGGCTGTATTACAAACTGCACTTGGTTCACAGACCAGCTACTATGATGAGAACTGTCATCAAGCGAAGAAAGAGATGCTCAGCAAATGAAAAAGCAGCTCAAGAGAAGCTGAATCAAGAAAACAACCAAAGAAGAGCTAGTATGGTGGGTATGGCGGAGGATTTCGGTCTGCAAGACATGTCAAGACGAAGAAGACGAAAATCCTTATCGCCCAGCTATAGACATGTCAGCTATCACAGCAATAACATTCATAACAATGCCATCTCATCCGTATCATCGACTCCATCGACAACATCTCCTCAGCATAATGTAAATAACTCCAACGCAACTTCATCCAGCTCATCACCCTCCCAACATTCACATCAGCCATTTGTGCTACCGCCTTTGTATCCTCCATCATCTACTTCACCTGCTTCGTACGCTCACAGTAACCGCTATAGTCAAGATCCAACCGCCAACAGCAACAGCAACAGCGATATTCATGTGTGTGCTAATACCATCGATGCGCAAAGAGAATATAGAAATAGCTTACAACGAGAGGTCACTCGTTTAACTGCTCAGTTATCTAATACAGTGGCCATGTTACAAAAGGTGGATAACGCCATTGCGAATCCCATTCCACCAGATCAATTTTGTCACAGGTGTAACAATTATCCTGGTAATGAGCAACATCAGCAACATCAGCAACAACAACAACAACAACAACAACAACAACAACAACAACAACAACAACAACAACAACAACAACAACCTCAGGAACATCAAGTCGCTCGGTCTCTGTTATCCTTGGCTCATTCACCACCACTCTCAAATCCTGCGCCCATCTCTACACCGCCTCCATTAGGTATCTTGTCACCCTTTTCAAATCGCTCGCATCGTCTACCACCCATTTCATTTTGCCCATCACCAAGAACGTTGCCTCCTGTTCCTGCTGTGCCATCATTTTTACCTTAGCCTTTTAATCGCATTGTACTTTTAGTCTATATCACTTAGTTTTGAAATCTTTTGACATCTTACCCTCTAATTTTTGATTTACATGAAATAATACATATAAAATGATTAATATTTTATAGTCTGATCATGGAATATGGAAATTTTATATGGCGTATACACAAGAGGCCGTCTTAGTTTACTTATTCAACCTTCAATTGCCATGGATCAACTTGAACATCCGGTCAAAATCAAGCATATATCATATCAGCAGCTAAATTTCTATAAATTGAAAACCACAAGTTTATTCTACCGTGCATCGCTAGCGTTTGCTCGGAAGAAAAGGTCAGGCGATACTCGACAAGCATACTAATTACACGAGCGCACAAACCACTTGAAATAACCGCATGGATTAATGTTGTGTTTGTAACAAAATATCTATTTAATTTTGGGAGGAAAAAATGAATGAAAATCTATGATACAGTGTTTATACAATAAAGAAAAGAAACTTATTTCTTGACTTCATAAGCTTGTTCATGAACCTTTTGAGCACGGCCAGAGGGATCTTCAGGGCAACCCCAATCAGCTCTGGGAATCCATCTCACAACAGAGGCAGTACAAGCTTCTTGGGGATACCATTGATCAAACATGACACGGTACATGTAGGCTTCCTTTGTTGTGGGAGCATCCTTCTTCCATTTGGCTGAAGCTTGAGCGAAATCCTCATCAGAAATCTTGTTCTCACTGACAGCCTTCAAACTATCAATCCAACTGTAACCAACACCGTCAGAGAATTGTTCTTTTTGACGCCAGAGAATCTCCTTGGGCAAGTAGGGCTTGGCAGATGGATCATCAGAGGTATCAAACGCCTTGCGAACAATGTACTTTTCCATCTTACCAATGGATCTGTCAGGCACCTTTTCAGCAGGATCAATGTTCATGGCAATTTCCAAAAAGTTCTTGTCGAGGAAGGGAACACGAGCTTCAACACCCCAGGCCATGGTGGATTTGTTGGCACGGAGACAATCAGATGTGTGCAGGTTCTTGACACGATTGACAGTTTCAGTATGGAATGACTCCTTGTCAGGAGCATTATGAAAGTAGAGGTAGCCACCAAAGACTTCATCAGCACCCTCACCGGACAAGACCATCTTGACACCCAAAGCCTTGATCTTGCGAGACAAGAGGTACATAGGAGTAGAGGCACGGATGGTAGTAACATCATAGGTTTCGAGGTGATAGATCACATCACTAACAGCATCCAATGCTTCTTGAATGGTAAAGGTATATTCGTGGTGGACAGTGCCCAAGTGTTTCGCGACTTCACGAGCAGCAATCAAATCGGGGGAACCCGGGAGACCAACAGAGAAGGAATGAAGACGAGGCCACAAAGCAGGTCCGCCTAAAGGGAAAACAAAGAGTGGAACCAATCAATACCAAGGTGTAACCAACTATTACCAAGTACTTACTCTCATCAAAGGTGTCATCCTCACTCTCAGAGCCCTTGATACCAGCGGCAATCTTTTCAGTTTCACGAGCAGCGATGGCAGCAATCAAACTGGAATCAAGACCACCACTCAGCAAGACACCATAAGGAACCTCGGCCATCAATCTTTTGCGAACAGCCTTTTCGAGGGACTCTCTCAACTTGGTATAATCCACAGGGTTGGTGGGGATCTTGCTCTCGTCCCACCAAGTGGGGTTGAACCAACGAGTGGTTTCCTTGGTATCAGAGTCGTATACATGACCAGGAGGGAAAGCCAAGATTTTGTCACAGTCTTCGTTGAGGGATTTGAGTTCAGAGGCGAAATAGATGGTTTCGGGCATCTTGGAATTCCAACCATAGTAAAGAGTAGTGATACCAATAGGATCACGAGCAGCAATGATGCGGTTACGCTTCTTGTCCAAGAGCACAAAGGAGAAGAAACCATCCAAGTTTTGGACGAGATCCTTGTCTTGTTCCTTGTACATGTGCATAATGACTTCACAGTCAGACTCAGTCTTGAAGTGATGCTCTCCCTTCAACTCGTGTCTTAATTGCTTGTGGTTGTAGATCTCACCATTGACGCTGAGAATGATGTCCTCATCATCGCTGACAATGGGTTGAGCACCGGAGCCTAGTAGTCATCCGACATCTTAGTCCTGTCATTTCCTCCCCTTTTGTCTATAGACCACTTACCAACACCAACAATGGCGAGACGTTCATGACACAAGATGTGGTTCTTGACAGTATAACAACCAGACCAATCGGGACCGCGATGTCTAATCCTGTTGATACCATCTCATCAGCATCCACCATGGCAGGAAGTCTGTGTTTGTCAAAACTTACTTTTTGGAAAGATACAGGGCACGCTGACGATAGGCTTCAATATCGCCTTGATAGTTGTAGACAGCAAAGATACCACACATTTTTTTTGGGTTTGTATATGTAATTGGAAGATAACAGAGGAAAAAAAAGGGAAATGCAAGATTGATTTGCTTGATTTATATAGGAAATCTATCATAAAAAGAGATCTGCGTTGTTTGAAACACGAATGTGAAGAGTTGTAAATTGCCTCGCTTATTTAGCCAATCTATGAGGTTCAGGGCCATCATGCTACTACCAAGCACTTGGGCTAGGCTCATTGCCATAGTTTGATTAGCATATTTGCTATGAAGACTGTTCATTTATCACGTAATAGTCGACAAACCAAAGAGACTTGTTGTGGGCCCTATTATCTATGGTAGCACCACCTGTGTTTGCCCATCATGACTCACGTTCTATATATCCTTCCTTATATGGGAAATTTTAGACTTAATCTCCCTGATTTTTTCCCTTACGCCTTGAAAAATATGTATCCCTGGGCAAAAGATAACACCTTGCACACAGCACATTGATAAAGATATTTAGCCTCGTATCTAATCGTCTATCTTGATACATTGGCATTTAGACCTTCCGGAAGTTTAGTAGCAGTCGAAAGCTAGATCCAATCATGTAGTCTACCAGCTTTTCCTTTGATTCCTTTTAGCTTGCTACATTACCCCACTTTTTCAAAACCAAGCGGAGCCATTATCGCATGCATGCTGGATGAGATGTTGCCCTGGAGTTTGTTCTAGTGGGCTTCGTTTGGTGGCATGGCAATAATACTGGGCCCAGTATCACTGAAGAGTTTATTTTATGATGGAATGGAGTGATATGTGTATGATTTGCCCATTGATTTTAGGTCTTGTCCTTCGCCAAGGAAGGAAGAGAACGGTGACACATGGTTTTTACTTGAGATTGGGTTTGATCTCCTACGAAATGATCAGTTACACCGAGACCATATACAAGCTGTATATTTTAGCCGTGTTCACCACATGTGCCATTATTGATGCAATGGTTTTATTGAAATGACCACTCATTGGATCTTGTGTAGCAGTAATAATTTCGACATTGACAGGGAGCAGTGAAAACTCCTTTAATTCTCACTCTTCCAAGACATGACTTTGGCTTGATGTATTATTTCAAATACTATTTGACGATAAATGCAAAATTTTCATTTTGATGTTCAATATTAAGCTATGTAGGTTGTTGTTATAGAGCACTTCAAGCACTTTCTATATCCTCGTTGTTTTTTTTGAGTTTTCTTGGTTCTGCGAATTAGGGCTTGGAATGAGTACAATCATAAGGCAGAGGATCATCATACGGATTATCTAGCTTGAAGCTCTTTCCTGACACTGCTTCTTGATTTAGGCCATTTTTGTTGCTGCTTTGAATGTTCTTTCATACAATGGCTAGCGATTTTGGCTCTCCACTGGTGTTGTCCGCCTTCTTTTGCTCCTTTCAAGTTGCAAGATACAGTCGCATTAGAATGGGAACAAGTTGATAGTGTAGCTTCGTAAATCTTGATTTCGAGTTGTCCATGCTGGCAAAGTTTATTTTGTGTTGAGTCTAGGTTGAATAAATCAGAGAATGATTCAAGTGAGTCAATATCAATCCATCCCTACTAGGTAGTGCAGCAGGCTTGACTACTAGCTGGCCGAAAAATGCAGATTGTATCAACCGTGGATGTGCGTCACTTAGCAGGCACTTGTAGTCTCCCTCAGTGTAAGCTTGATGAGAACGGTAGAAGTTAGCTGTTTACAAACATGCTTTGAAACCTACTGACATAAAGCCAAATGGGCCGTGGATGATGAAAACGGTTAAGCGATGTTATTGACTTACATGATCTGCTCCTGCTGTAATGACTCAATCCCCTGTAGCACTTTTCGAGTAAAAGATACCAAGTTAAGGTTAATGTTCTTGCATAGGATGCTGGTAAGCTGTTGCGGTTCATTTCTGTTTCGTGGAATACAGAGAGAAAATCCTATAGCCTATTGATGTGGAATCAATTGTCTGAACCGCAGATAGATGATAGGAAAAGCGTTCTAAAACCGTGCCATTTGTCCTTGGACGACATGTAACAAAGTTGAGGCTACTGTGCCCTTTCGATTACTCCACGTCATTTAACACTCGTTCAGTGCTCTAAAAACGCGTCGAGAAAGTCAATCTCAATTGCAGATGGCCAGCGTACAGCAGCATTCAACTTCAACTACATCAAAACAACTAACAATCACCAGCATAACCGTGCGACTGAAAACCATGCTACCCAGCAATCCCAATCTCTTGATTGACAAATGCAATGTGGAAATAATGGGAGGGTCAGCGAGAAGCTTGTTTTGATATTGGCCTTCTTTCTTGCACTGTCTTGATTGGTTTATAGCCGTAGCAAAATGCTTTACAGTTGCGCCGGATGTCTTTCCCTAAAATGCTTAATAAATACCATTTTTATTACCAAAAGTTTAGCATTGATCCATCTAAATTACTAAGCTTGAGTTAGGTATTTTGCGAGGATAGTATGGTCACTTTAAGCTTGTGTACACACTTTTGCTTAAATCAAACAATATTTTCATCATAGTGTAGCAAATATCACTACTCTGGGAAGAGAGCGCAATCAATAGAGATGATGCCATGATACACAAAACGCGGATACTATAAGATCAGTCTCTATTTTCAACATGCTGCTTTTCTTAGCAGCGTAAATGTGCGCTAATTTACTATAAATTCAGTGTATTAATAGACTAGCCGACCGACCTCCCTACGCTCGATGATAGCGTCGCCCTGTGGGCTGTCACCGAAGACATTTTAAATCAGTATATTAAGTAGATCTTAAACAATTCAGTGATAGTAAAAGAATGGTTATATCAGATTCAGGAGTGGGGGAGACATTCCCTCGGCACCCCCTTTTGCTTATACACTGATATCAAATGAAACCTATTATTGAGACGATGTAAAAGGGAATTCAAGTTTTATGCAGCACTTGTATACCATATCTTCCATTCATGTCACATTTTCTAATGATAGAATTGTCACACCATTTTCTGATATTGCTCTTGAGATAGGGGCTTAAAACTGACTATGCGTAGATAAAGGACTATTATAGAATTTACAATGACTTTTTTGAGTGATTGTCATTGCAAAAGACACTTCTATAAGGAGAAAATCCCAACAAAAGCAAAAGAAAAGCATACAAAATATGCGGTTGTCGTTTAAAATCCATGACCTTTGTTTGATCAGCATCGTAATCATCATTGTCATCATCAGAAAGGCATTTCGGTCAGCCGGCAGCAGCGACGCCTGCCATAATTAGTTCAAACTCAGTTAATTTTTTCTGTTCAAGATTGGTCAAATTATGTCTTTTTTCGACTTGATTGATTTATTTTATGAGATCCGACTATATAAACTGTGATTATCGTCCGATGCTCCCTAATACACTCTTGTAGTACTTTTCAAGGCGCTTCCAGTGGTACCAAGTAAGATAGATATTTTGAATAAGCTTATTGAGCAATTTATGAAAATACGAAAAGAGGTTTCTGGCCAAAAAGTCGAGATTTTGCATACGGTGGTTTCACAAACGTAGTTTTAGAGGTTGCTTTGGATTGAGAGAAACATTTGATTAAACATATACCATAGTAAAAGTCTTCGTTTTCAAGGTGAAAAACGCGATCGTTTGATTTTCGATGAAAACCATGAGGGGTACCTCATGCTTTTTGGTCGATTTTTTGGCCATGTTTTTTTTTTGGCTCAAAAAGTTGAGCAAAGGTGTCAGGAAGTTACTACTGCTCAAGTACAATTGTTTGGCATAATCCCGGTGGCTCAGAAAGGTCTACATGTCAAGATATGAAAGCTTGAAAGCTGTCAAATTTGGTTACGTATTGCTTTATAGAGTTTATTTACTCGGCATAAATCACATCTTTAGTAGCTACAATTTACTGGAAAGGCAGTTCTGCAGTCTGTGCAACTTCTAGTTCGGATAGGAGGCATATTAATTTTAGTAAAGCTAATGTTTGCAAATTTTGGTGTGTTATGTTATTGGTAAGCTGATTAATAATAGAGATGATAAGTCGAATTTGCTGCTTGAATACTATGGTTTTGCGCCATCGCTTCGTTACGGTAAAACCCTCAACAGGATCAATGTGCTAGAAGTTGGATTGGATACTTTGATTTTTACGGTCTTGAATCTTTGATTCGCTAGGTAAACCCCTCTTATTGTAGGTCAATGTTACCAATGTTGAATTAGATGCACTATTTTCTTGGGTAGGGGCTACTGATCCCTAATTGGTCACTCCTGCGTATTTTCATAGTTTTCCAGGATATATAGAGACAATCTTCTGTACGTCTACATAGGGAGAGTATATGCTTAATTCCCAGTTCTTGGGGGAAACTAGTACGATACACATTATTCAGGCACATTTCTGAAAAATAGTTCCAGACACTTGGATTTGATGATGGTGCCATGATCTTGGGCATTGGATACAGATTGAGTGACATCATGAAGATGCCCTTTCTCTCTCTTTCTCGTGATTCAAATAGATGTCTATATGTCAAATGCCTTATAATACACTTGATTCCATAAACTCAACTAAATGCTATAATGTTCTTTTGCCTATATGGAAGCTTTTCGATACTTTTTGCAACAAAAGTCACCGTTTTCCATCACATTTCCTTTATATTCAAAGGAGTCACTTTTTTTTTCTCAACAAAAAGGGGCGTTTCACGAGCTCCATCATTTCTTTATCTTTCATCTGCTTTATATCAAAAAAACCAACACTATGGGCTTACCAATGTATAAACCAAGAGATGAGCATGCTGTTTCCGAGAAACATCAGGCAAAAGATCCAATGGAAGATGAATTATGGTCTATTATTCCTCATCAATTGCATAATTACGGTAATACAAGACATCCATCAAGAGCCAGCAACAACCACCATCCACATCATTTGGTCAGTAGAACTGCCTCCAATATCCAGCCAAGAGTGAGCCGCATAGCAAGAAGACGCAGCATGTTGACATCTTCGTTACTTGATAGACGTAGAGACTCCCGTATCCATCAATTGCCTGGTACAGTAACCATAGCAACCTTATCTTCATCTTCCAACACATCCGCATCATCTTCCCCGCCGTCTTCTTTGTCTTCGGCATCAGCACCCACACTATCAGCATCACCGCCCATGAGAAGTGAATTGGATCGTCGTCTTCATCAACGTATCACCGAGAAGGAAGATTTGTTGGAACAGCTTCGAGTTACTGTATCGTTATTAGATCAGTTTCTTTCGGCAAGAGCGGCTTTAGGCCGTGATATGAGTTTACCGTCATTTATAACAGAAGGTACACATTGTTTTGATGGGGAGGAAGAAGGCAAATGAAAGAAAAACTGAATCTGTGTATGATAGACTTGCCTGCTGTTTTAGAATCAGCATCCTCATTAGCAGCAATGTCACCTTCTCTATTGACATCATCGACCTCAACAGTAACAGATGTAACAGCAAACAATGAAGTAACTACTTTGCAAGAAATGGTAGATCGATTATTGCAGATTCCACCTTATTCTGTTCGTATTCAATATATTGAGCAAAGCATCATCGTAGCCCACCGTCGAATCAGAGAGCAATTGAGTGTTCTGGGCTCATCCTCAGTGGGTTTACCACAGAATGCCGTTACACCAACTGAAGGAATCATTAATCATATGCATGTCCGCCGTCCTGCTGTTGGAGGAAGAGGAGAAGGAAGAACACTCCAGCAACAACCACAACCTGTCTCAGCAACAGCAGCAGCAGCAGCAGCAAGAAGAAGAGCGTTGCCTCCTCGTATACCCTCCTACGACGAGGAGCACAACAGAAGACCTGATTTCGTATCTGGCTCACATTCATAGTTTTTGTAAATAAATGCATATACCTTCCAGTAATGATCGCACTAATGCACAGCTGAGATATTTGAATGAATGAACCTAAATGGGGATATTGAGAACGCTCATTCTTCATATAAGCAGACGCAGTGGATTGGACCACGCAATCATACATGTTATAAAAGAGGAACATCTGATGATCAGTTTCAAGATGTGATGCGTACATGAGATGAACTTGTCAAAACTCGGCTCAATATTTATTTCATCAGGCCTGCTGATTTTTCAGGCACCCATATTCATTGAAGCATTTAAAGATATGCCATTTAAAATCTAACATAGAAAAAAGGCTATTTAATAATTTGTTCAAGGAGAGTCGAGGCAAAAGAGAAAGAGAGAAATTGAATTCTAGTAGGGATTTATGGTAACAGGATGTGTATATGTGCTCGAAGACACATATAAAAAAAAAAGTACAAATGAAATGATGATTAAGGAATGCTAATTTGTTTAAAAACCAATCCATTCATTGCTATGAGAAGCATCTGGGGACTCATCTTGCCATTCATTGCTGTGGGTATTTTCATTAAAGTTGTTGGTATGATCTTCTTGAAGAAGTTCTACTTCATCCTGATGCCAGTCGCTAGCATCATTGCTGTGTTCTTCGTACCAGCCAGATGAAGATTCATTGACATGTTCATCTTCAATGTCTTCGGATACCCAATCGCCGCCAGCAACATTAGCATGTTCATCTTGTGCAGAGACCCATTCAGACTCATTGGAGTGGTCATGGTCTATGTCGACATCCTCAGATTCCCAAGCAGCAGCATTGGAGTGTTCATCAGCTTCTTCTTCCCATTCAGCGTCGTTGTTGTGGTCGTTGGCAGAGGGCTCGATATCTTCAGACACCCAGCCGTTGTTGTGGCTAGTAGCATGATTATCTTCAGAGACCCATTCGGCAGCATTGGAATGGTCATGATCAAGCTCAAGATCCTCAGACTCCCAGTTGGCAGCGTTGATATGTTCATCAGCTTCTTCTTCCCATTCAGCGTCATTGGAGTGGTCATTAGAGAGCTCAATGTCTTCAGATTCCCAGCCATTGTTGTGGTTGGCAGCATCAGCATCTTCAGAAACCCATTCGGCAGCATTGGAGTGATCATGGTCAAGCTCAGCATCTTCAGAAACCCATTCAGAGGCATTGAAGTGTTGGTCGTTGTCTTCTTGCCACTCAGCATCATTGACATGGTAGTTGGAGTGATCTTCAGCGCTTAATTCAACGTCTTCAGACTCCCAGCCATTGTTGTGGTTGGCAGTCTCGGCATCTTCAGAAACCCATTCGGCAGCATTGGAATGATCATGGTCAAGCTCAGCATCTTCAGAAACCCATTCAGAGGCATTGAAGTGTTGGTCGTTGTCTTCTTGCCACTCAGCATCATTGACATGGTAGTTGGAGTGATCTTCAGCGCTTAATTCAACGTCTTCAGACTCCCAGCCATTGTTGTGGCTAGCAGTCTCGGCATCTTCAGAAACCCATTCGGCAGCATTGGAGTGATCATGGTCAAGCTCAGCATCTTCAGAAACCCATTCAGAGGCATTGAAGTGTTGGTCGTTGTCTTCTTGCCACTCAGCATCATTGACATGGTAGTTGGAGTGATCTTCAGCGCTTAATTCAACGTCTTCAGACTCCCAGCCGTTGTTGTGGTCAGTGGTATGATGGTCTTCAGTGACCCATTCGGAGTCATTGACATGGTAGTTGGAATGATCTTCACCAGAAGCAGATTCATCGTCATCTTCGGCGGACCATTCAGTATCGTTGGCATGGTAATTGACATGATCGTCAGCAAGGAGGTCAATTTCTTCAGAGTCCCAACCGTTGTTATGGCTAGCAGCGTCAGTGTCTTCAGTGACCCACTCGGCATCGTTGTCATGGTAGTTAATATGGTTGTCTTCAGCTTCAATGTCTTCAGAAGCCCAGTTAAAGTCAGCATCATTGACGTGCTCTTCGGTTTGTTTGGGTACATAACTATCAGCATGAGTGACATCAATGTCTTCAGTAGACCAGCCATTGTTATGAGCATCATCTTCAGAAACCCATTCGTTGAAGTGAGAGACATCATCATCCCATTCAGCATCATTGACATGATCATTACTGTCAAGCTCAACGTCTTCAGAGGACCAGCCATTTTCATGGTCAATAGCAGCAGTAGCATGAACATTGTCTTCAGACACCCATTCACTATCATTTTGATGATAGCTGGAAGCACCAGTAGATTGGTCTTCGTTGGTGAAGAAAGAGGAAGTACCATCGTTGGAGTGCCAGGACTTGCTAGATGCCTCGTTGCTATGGGTAGATTGATCGTCGTTGGTGAAGTAAGGGTTTGATGAAGCATCGTCTTCGTGCCATGCCTTTTCAGAAACAACAGCATTGCTGTGCTGAGTAGATCTGTCTTCGTTGGTAAAGTAAGGATTGGCATCATCTGAATGCCATGTCTTTTCAGAAGCGGCGTTGCTGTGGTGAGTTGATTTGTCTTCGTTGGTGAACCAAGCGTTGCTTGTGTTGTCGTCGGATGCAACATCATTCTTGTGAGTAACAGCTTCAGTCTCTGTTTCTTTGTTCTTATGAATATACTTTTCATAGTCCAAGTCTAAGCTGTTGATGTAATCATAAAAGCCTTGGTCTTTGTTGTTGGCTTCAGTGCTGTCAGATTTCACTGCGGCATTGTTGTGAGCTTGTTTAGTCTTATCCTTGGTGAGGCTAGAAATTTCGTCCAACGTCTCGTCCCAGGAAGATGAATCATTGGCATGTGTAGCTGAAGCTGCTTGGTTGTTGCTGTTGTTTTGAATTTCTTCGAGAATCTGGTCGATTTCTGCCTTGTCAATGCTGTTTGCAGTGGTAGTTGCTGCTGCAGTGGGAGCAGCAGTTTGTACAGTAGCTGATGCAGCAGTTGTTGAAGCGGTTGGTGCAAATGTAGCAGCGGTTGCGGTTGTTGTGGCAGTAGCACCATGTGGTTGGGCAGCATCTGCCAGAATTGATGATGATGATGCAGCATCATTTGCCTGGGCAACTTGTTGGCGTTTTTGGATATGGAAAGCTACTGAATCGGCTTCGCAAAACTGGTTTTCACCTTGACCAGAAATGTGAAAATAAAAATCGCCATCAGTTTGGCCAGGAAGTTGCAAAGGAATTTCCTCAGTAGCACCACGATCAGCATCTTTATAGTGTTTGTTAGACAATGAATAGATAGCGTTTTGTATGAAATACATACCAAATGTGCCAATGTAGACTGAATTATCTGAAGATGCGTTATCGACCATGGTGATGTTGACTTGTTTCATACCGTTTGGTGCCTGCCATGCAACAATATGTTTACTTGCTTCTTCAAATGAAAGACCTAAGAAAATGTTGTCAAATTAATGCTGCTGCTATTTTATGCGATTGCTGCTGAGCGAATTTACCGCTTGTAAATGGATAAGTGATTTTGAAACCATCACAACCAGATTCGAGTGATCCATCGTTGTTGTGGTTTGCAACTGTTGGTATATTAAAGAATGGTGTAGCGGCTACAAAGCTACCGCTTTGAAGCAACAAACTTGCTGCGATAGACAAGGTAGCCAAGTTTGAGATCAGCTTCATGGTTATTGAAAGTGAATGAAAGAGATAAAAGGAAAGAAAAAGCGTATATCAGACCTAATCCCCCTCCCTCCCAAGCTAAGAAACTAATAAGGCGGGGCTAAATAAACCAAAGAGACACAAGGTAAATGTTCTTCATTAACCTCTAAAGTCTTGTCATAATTATATCTATTTTTGTATTTGTTACACATCTGTAAATTGGGTATTGCAATTTGATATATAGCAGCTGGTTGATGCACCGACAATTAAAAAGACAATTATTTTGTGCTCTCCTTGATGAAAAAAAAAAAAAACGCAAAAGGAAGCAAGTTGATTACTGCAAACAAACGCTTACCGGTCATAGACACGATAAGCATGTCAAAGAGCGACAAAGTGAAAAAGAGAAGGTGAGGCATTTTCGTGTTGTATTTCGGGACATGTCCCCATCTATCTAAATCTAGAACACACCAATTAACATTTTCATTCAAAAGAAACCACATCTTGTTCTAACAACAACAAGGCGGATCGGGTCTAATGGCTGTGATCGCCCCTCTCTTGCTCGCTTTCTTTATTCTTTTTTTACCCCCTTTCTTATATAAATGGATAGTTCACCCACTGTTATTTTTAGCACTAAAAGTCTTTTCTTTCAGTCTTCATTCAAGGTTACCCAAATTAAAAATTAGCTTTGTATTTCTATTGGTATATAAGGCGAGTAACCTTTTGCTTATTGTCTTTTTTTGCTATATGATGGCCTATTTAGTGTGCTTGCCAGGCTAATTGGTTTAAAAGCCTTGTTTACAAGCGTTTCACTGTGCTGTAATTGATTGATAGCATTTGATTCAATCATATTTATAGTAGTTTCATTAACTAATGCACAATTTACATGCTGGATGCCTTTTGCAGTGTATCACTCCCACATAGTGTGCACACATACTGCCACAAATATAATTTTCCACTCGTTCCATCTCTATTGTAGTAGAAATCCCTTCCCTTTTATAGTACCTTGCCATATTCTACTTGATGAATCCTCAATCAAAGTTAAATTATCCAGAATCAACCCATCACACAGCATTTAACTTTATTTTCTGCTTTCTGCTGATATATAATCGGCTGCTACAAGAACACGCCTTCCTCTTCGTTTTTTTCTGCATTGGATTGCTGCGATTGCTGCTCTGCTTTCAACTCGTGTGCGTGAAGTTCTCTGAATTCTTTCACATTGCTCCCCATTTCTCGCCATGCAGCTTCGCCAAGACGCTCTCGAATTACCTGAAGCGTAATATTCACTTGCTTTTCCTTGCGCTTGATGAGTTCTGCATTTTCTTTAATGGCCTGAATGAAATCTGGGTCTTTGTTGTCTGGGTCAAATTCGCGCATCTCTTGGTTTGATTTCAGTAAATGTGCTATAGCGTTTTGTATTTCAGGAATCTCGGTAATGAGTGTCACTGCAGGCATTTCGTTGAGAGCTTTTTCAAGTTGTGCTGAGTCCATCTTCTTTATGTTACGTAAACAAGTTGTAATGCAGTGAAAGAAAGATTTATGGCTCTAGCATGGTCACGAATGACAGAGACACTTTGCGGAGGCTAAACAATGCTAAAGTCGGTTGATGGCCAAAATGACATTGGTTGATGCTCACTATGAAGAGGATTTACACTTTTCAATTGTTGGTAGGGACTGAGAGACAGACCAAATCGTCCAATAAAGCGATAAAATGCAATCTAATTCGCATCATATTCTTATTATAGTGGATTTAATAGCTATCTTGAATAGAGATTCCACTGAAGTTTACTAAATGTTTAACTATTGTCCTTTTGTTGTCGCATAAGAGACGTCCATATATGTGGTTCCAGCCCTGCTGCAATGCATCGCGTCTGTTTTCACTGATAAGACTCGTTTACGGGCAGACAACAATCTTATATTACTTGTTAGTAGCTTAAAGTATGCAAAACACAGCATAATTTGGATTCATTTGAGCCGCGTTTTCTTGGGTTAGAAGCCGCTTTAAATCGTCAGAATAGCACCAAACAGTTGCTCTCATCTGGCAGTTACTTTCTGACGCCTTTGCTCAACTTTTTGAGGATCAAAAAAACATGGACGAAAATCGACCAAAAAGCATGAGGTACCCCTCATGGTTTTCATCGAAAATCAAACAATCGCGTTTTTGACTTTGGTAATGAAGATTTTTACTATGGTATATCTTGAATCAAAATGTTTCTATCGATCTAACGTAACTACTGGAATCATCTTTGTGGGACATTGATATGCAAATATCGGCTTTTTGATCAGAAACCTCTTTTCATATTTTCGTAAGTTACTCAGTAAGTTTATTCAAAACATCTGTATTACTTGGTACCATTGTATGCGCCTTGAAAAACACTTTTAGAAAGCTTAAGGGAGTAATTTTTGTAGGGGAGACGAGCTCCAGGTTTTATTTAAAGTCCTTTAAATGTCGCTTAAGGGAGTAAGGCATAAGCATCACAGTTCATATAGTCGAATTTAGCAAAATAGATCAATTAAGTCGCATATCTATCAAAAAATCAACGAATCGATACAGAATGCCAATCGAACCTTAAAACAATTTTGGCAGCTGGCTGGCGATTTTAATGCCATGCTCATCGTGAAAGTAAATGATGCCTTTTGAAAGCTCAAGAGAGAGAGAGAGATTGCGAGCTGGCAAGCACTACCGCTTATCTTGAATGCCTTGTTTTGATTTATATCTGCATTTTATAACAGATAACGTCGGTCAGCCTAGCAAAACACTATTATATTCGGCTTCATAATGTCCATATTAAGGCTTTAATAAATAACGATTATGAATTTATTATTTTATGATCAAAACAGAAGACGCGAATTCTTGGTTAGTATGAAAAATTAAAGTTTCTTGATTTTATCAGTAGAGGAAGGCCTGAACACCAATTTATATCCAACTTGAGCGATGAAAGCAACTGCGAACAAAACAAATGAAACGAGCAAGGCCAATGCACCATATAAATCCAGATTATGGCTCTTAAGATAAGACATACGGTGATCAGCGCTTTCACGATGTGGAAGTCTACCATTCTTGTTGGTGTAAGCCACTTCCTCCACAATATCAGCTCCACGAATGACACCATGGCGAGAGTAGATTTGTGTAAGAGCTTGCATACGCTTGACGCCTTCAGCAATCTCACCCGTTTCATCAACAATGACCTTTCTGAATAAATCGACAGCGTCTTGGACAGAGTGTTCGTTCTTCAAGACACTGCCTAATTTGTTGACCTCCACTGTCAAACCGTTTCCATGTTGATCTCCAAAGAATGGAAACACGATCAAACGAGTACCACTGTACATGGACTCGTACCAAGAGCCTAAACCACCATGAGTGACAAACAGAACAATAGAGGGATGATGAAGGATAGCAGTTTGAGGAGCCCATTTCACCATGTGTGCATGAGGATTGATGTGATCAAACATGTCTTTCACGCTGTAAACATGACCGGATGAAGTTGTGATAGAATCAGGAAATCTTCCAGCAGCATGAACAGTAGCCCAAATAAAGCCATCCAAATCGCCACGCTCGATGCTTTCTAATAAACCTGATAAAATCAACACAATGTCTTTCTCGGAAGGAGTAGCGGCATGACCAAAAGCGACGTAAGCGACACGCTTATGAGCATTCAAGTAGGTTTCAAGATCTTGCGTCAAGGGCTTATAATGCTTAGGGATGATAGGGCCTACAAATTCAGCCATAGGACCCAGAGGCCTAGCAGGAGTATAGCCAAATACAGTGTTAGACAGCTTGACAGAGTGTTGCCATTTAGTGCTAGGATCCTCCAGCTTGGCGTCAAATCCAACTGCAACTTTTCTAGCATTCAGTTTCTTGATAACAGGCAAAACAGCGTTGATGTTCTTGATAGGATCAATAAATTTGCCCTTGAAGCGACTGATGAAAGGCTGGCGCTCAGTGGTAGGAAAGTTGAGTGTGGCAATGTCATTATTGATGTAAGGAGCAGCAGTATCTAGTTAATACTAGTTAGTGGAAGTGTAATGAGCTGAATCAAACATGATGCATACCTTTGGTAACATCCATAGCCGCTGTAATAATGTAAGGTATACTCAGATTTGTAGCGACATCAACACAAGCATCTGCGAAATGATCACAGAGGGCTACATCAATCTTATTATCAATGAAGAATTGTCTGGTAAATAGGTAATCTATTCGTTGATTTTAGCGCCAACTCTTTTCCAATCATCCACACCGTTACCTCTCTCGTAGTTTACAAACATCATATCAAAGACCATAGCCATGAATTCACCAGGACGGTTAGTGCTCATCTCCTTCAACTCGTCATTGAATAGCTCAGCTGGATCCCATTCTGGAGCAGATCCTGTAGACACTGTTTGAACATGCTTGTATGGACTACCAAATCGCATGTCCTCATCCTGCGTGCCAAATGTCAGTCATCCGTCAATATATCACACACAACGCAACTTACTGATGTCAAAAAAGTGACATTGTGCCCTCTTGAGCCCAATTCATCGCCAATATTGAGAACCCAATTGTAATGTGACGCGCCACCAATGGTACAAAAGAAGGCAATGTTTTTTCCACCGTCATTTTGAAAGGTTGGCTCTAGATTCAAGTTAGATTGAGCATGAACAGAGGTGGCAAACAAGCCGGCAAACAGTAAGCTTGAAAGAGACTTTTGCTTGCTATTGAATCTCATTTGGATAGATTGTAAAGTGTAAGATGACGGAAAGAAAGAGGCCGAATCAAAGTTTTCATTTAAATAGATCGTCTACATGACGCTTATGGCAAAAGAAGTACCGGATTAGATTAAATTATTTTGTATACAAAAGACTGGACGATTTCGGCTCTCATCCCGTCCTTTCCTTGCTGAGGCAAGCTAAGACAGGGATGTTGCAATAGACAGGAATCAGGAAACGGAAAAATTGAGTGCCGAGATCATCCGCAGCTAAACTTTAGTGCAGTAACACCATCATTTGATGAGACTTTTGATATTACGAGATGAGAGATGATATCAATCAATATATATATATATATAGCTGATGCACAATAATGTGTTACTAGCGAATCATATACAACGTCGTTATAATTCGCTTCTCTATTAATCCGTGCATTAGTAAATATAGATGCAACAGCATTGGGATACAAATGTCTGACTTAGTATAGAACCACACATTTTAGATGATTGTAGAACTTTTTCATTTTATTTTGATTGTTGTAAGGTAAATATTTCGTGCCAATCCGGAGGAAATTTCAAGGAGAATCCATTTCCTATACACATTGCACGTCTTTGCTCAGACATTGGTCATTTTGTATAATATTTATCGAGTGTAAAATACCCACTGGTAAGTCCAAATGCCATATTATAGTTTTTTAGTAGGTAAAGATTTCATACTCCTGGAGTCGGCCAGTAGGGTTACCAAACCAACTCTATTATACCAAATTGTGGTCATAAGCAGGTTGATTTGGTATTGTCTTCAAGTATGAATAAAGCCCTTAACAAGAGTAAATTTGTAAATTCTGTACATTGAAGACATATTCGTTGGAACCGTAGGTTGATTGTTGGAATGGGCTTACGATGTCTTGGGTGATTTATAAAGCGTGTTTTGTGCGACAAACAGTAGCGATGTCATGTTAACCAGGGCAAATCATAACAGTTTTACAGCAAGGCATCTGCGTCAATACCGGCAAACATAGTTGTCTTAATCATTCTGCCAAAGAATGCTAAGAATATGATATTCACGTTTCTTACAGCGTGCAATGTATATCGAAAAACATATTAGGCTCAAACACACAAATTGATAACTACAGTGTACTTTTAAAACAACATTTTATTACAATAAAGACGAAATACAACTATATATACATTTCCCAACAACCTTTAATACTTAACTACAGATGAATACACGTTAGTCAATCAGATAAAATGTCAAGACAAGAGTAAATCTCATGACATGAGGAAAGAAAAAAAGGTGGAAAAGATCAGTGCTTCTTAGAGAAATGTAACAGGTGTATATTTTAAAAAATCAGACAACACAGAGTGTTGATCAACAATACACTTATCATCAGCTCCATTCCATACCTTTTTTGCCCCACACCATGATCTTACCAGGAGAAATAGTTACCTTCAAATCAATATATGCTCAGACATCGCCTTTTTGTCGTCATACCTCGAACCTGTTTCCTCTTGAAGAGGCGGTTGTGGTATAATACTCTATTGAATACTAAATTCAAACGTTTACCAAAGCTTTCATCACGCATATATTTATTTCAGTGGAAAGAAGAGAAAAAATTTATTGAAAAATTTTCGAGTTATAAATGGTGTTGATTTCAACAGTCCAGTAGCCATGGAAGTTTTTGACTTCAGGCACAGCAATCTTCAATGCTGAAAGCCACTTGCTGTCAAATGCTTGTCGACATTTGTAGTGGACGTGTATCTCGACTGTGATAGAAAAGTATAACCTCATGGTATTGCCACAGGAATGCGATAGATTTAATACTAAACAACATCTACTCCTTCACGCCACTAAGGAAATTGCCATCTAATGACATGTCCAAAGCATGGCTACAAATGCAAAAATACAGACGACATTTCAGCAGATCAAGACGCTCTTTCACCAATACATAAGGCGGCATTAGGCACATACCTATTCAATATTACTGCATCATGCTCGTGTACGAGCGCCAACCTTTCGATTGAGAATAGCATTGATGTACATGGCGATGTCCAGCGTCAATTCAGCAACATTTGATAGTTATTTTTCTTAAAAACTGCTCCCGCTTTGCAGCGCTATTGTATTGACAAACACTTATGAATGCCATGCTTATTTTTCATTGATCAGCACACCTTTAGCAACCCTTTAGAGGTACAAATGTCAACATGTAGCATTAAATCATGGGAAGAAAAGCAGTCTGTCAGATCAAGCTGTTTCACTCTCAGAAAAAACTATAAAAAGGCCAACATCCCTCGCAACTGGCATGGCTCTTTATCTCACAACGACGAGAAATAAAATTTCTCAAAAAGTGGCTTAAAAAAATGTGTATCAGCCTCAATCTGGTATGCGTTTATATAGGGCTACAAGATAAATGTATGCGGTGTAAAACCTTTGTAACGAGGACTTGTTCTTATGAGTAACATTGACCAAAGCCGTTCGAAATATTTTATTTTTTGAATGTAAAAATAAATGAAAAAGTTAACAAGAAGAGTATTAGCCGATTAATCTTGCTACGCTCAATGATGGCATCGCCCTGCGGATTCTCACGAAGAGAATTCAGATCCCAGATATCAAATAGATTCTAAACAATCAATTAATAGTAAAAAAAAAAAAGAAAAAAAAGGCTATATCAGAGTTACGAGGAAAGGTATTCATTCGCTGATGATGCTCCTGAGTTGGCGACATAAAGCTGGCCATAAGTAAATAAAGGACTTGTGTAAGATATACAGCAACTTTTTTAAGAGATTGCCATTGCAAAAGACATTTTTTATAGGAAAAAACTCCCATGAGAAAATAGTTGTTCAGGTTAAGCAAATGTCCTCAATTTTGTGATAAGTCGCAAATTGTCATCATTAGAAAGGCATTTGGGCTAGCCAGCAGCAGCGACGCCTGCCAAAATTGATTAAAACTCAGTTTATTTCTTTTTGCTCAAAATTGGACATATTCTGTCCTTTTTCGACTTGATTGAACTATTTTTTGATATTCGACTATATAAATTGTGATTATAATCTGATGCTCCCTAATGCATCCTTGGAGTACTTTTCAAGGCGAATCCAATGGTATCAAATAAAACAGATTATTTGAATAAAATTGCCGAGCTATTTTTGAAAATATGAAATGGCGTTTTTGGCAAAATTGTTGACATTTTACATAACAAAGTTTCACAAACAAAGTTTTAGAGGTTGCCCTGGATCGAGAGAAACATTTTGATTCAATATATATCATATTAAAAGTCTCCATTTTCAAGGTGAAAAATGCGATCGTTTGATTTTTGATGCAAATCATGAGGTATTCCTCATGGCTTTTGGTCGATTTTTGACAAACTTAAAAAAAAGTGAGCAAACGTGCCACGGAGATACCGCTAATCAAGAGCAATTGTTTGGCCCTATTCTGGCGGTCTACAACAGCTTTTAACGCGAAAAAACGCGACTTCAATATATAAGAATTTTGCTGTGTTTTACGTATTTTAGAGTAGCTGGATACAATGCAATCATGATGTCTGCCCCTTTATGAGCTACTTTCATTAAAGCAAACGTGAGACATCATCGATGTGTCAAATCCACATTCAGAGGCGTTCCTAAAAGGTCCTATATAAGGTAGACGACCAAAGGTAAAAATTCATTATATGCTACTAGCCGATCTATCTCGCTATGCTCAATGTCGGCATCGCCCTGCGGGCTCTCACCAAAGACATTTTAAACCAGATATTATACATTTTGGTATATCAAGTAGATTTTATACAATCAATTATTAGTTAGTAAAAAAAAAGCTTATATCAGAGCCAGAAGGAGAAGAAAAAGTATCTCCCTCAGCATCCTTTTTGGTTACACTGATATCAAACGAAACCTACTATTGGGACAACATGAAAGAAAATTCAGGTTTTATGCAGCATTTGTACATCACAATTGTCATTTTCTGATGATAGGATTGTCATATCATTCGCTGCTGCTGATGCTCTAAATAAGATGGCAACATAAAGCGGGTCGTAAGTAAATACAGGACTTGTGTAAGATCTACAGCGACTTTTTTGAGATACTGTCATTGCAAAAAGACACCTTCATGAGGCAAAGCTCCCCAAAAAAAAGTATTTGTGCTAAGCAATTGTCCTTTCAATTCCACGATCCCCGTTTAATCAGCATCGCAATCATCATTGTCATCAGCAGAAAGGTATTTAGGTCAGTCAGCAGCAAGCTGTCGCCAAAACCAATTCAAACTCAGTTTGTTTGTTTTTTCTCTTCAAGATTGGACGGATTTCGTCTCTTTTCGACTTCTTTCATCTATTTTGTGATATTCGACTATATAAACTGTGATGATCACCCTACGCTTCTTAATACATTCTTGAAATACTTTTTAAGGCGCTTCCAATGGTGCTGATTGCAACAAGTGTTTTGAATGAAATTATTGAGCAATTTAGTAAAATTTGAAATCAGGTTTTTAGTGAAAATAACCATATTTTGCATATGAAAGCCTCGTAAAAGTAGTTTCAGAGGTTGCTTTGGATCGAGAGAAACATTTTGATTTAACATATACTATAGTAAAAGCCTTCATTTTCAAGGTGAAAAACGCGATCGTTGGATTTTCGATGAAAACCATGAGGTATCCCTCATGCTTTCTGGTCGATTTTTGGTCATGTTTTTTTTGGCCCAAAAAGTTGAGCAAAGGCGCCAGGAAGTTGCTGCTACTCAAGTACGATTGTTTGGCGTTATTCCAATGGCTCAGAAAGGTCTGCATGTCAAGATATGAAGGTTTGAAAGCTGTCTAATTTGGTTATGTATTGCTTTATAGAGTTTATTTACATGGCATGAATCACTTCTTTGGTAGCTGCAATTTACTGGAAAGGCAGTTCTGCAGCTTGTGCAGCTTTTAAATCGAATAGAAGGCATATTGAATTTGGTAAGCTTGATAATAATGGAAATGAAAACCCAAATTTGCTGCTTGAATACTATGGTTTTACATCTTTGTTTCGCTGCGATCAACCCTTCATATAGATCAATGTTACCAAGTGTTGGATTAGATGCTTAGTTGTCATAGGATTTGCTAGACCAGAAGAGCCCAAATGTTGATGAACGCTGAGTCTCCGATGATGTTTGCATGCAATGGCATTTCCTGTGCAAGTGACGCATCGTTACAAATCAACCAATAACAAGTTGACATGAGAAAAAAACCAGAGCGAAAACAATTAAAAATACGAAATTATACCAAAGCTTCTCCTTTTTCTCTCCTCTTCACGAACCTCTGTTTAACAAAAATCATGGCTCAGTATACATACGACGAGCAAGGTTTTAACTTTTATTACTTTCTCATTTCCGTCTTGTCATTGGCACTTGTGCCTGTGACAATTCAATCCATCTATTCATTATACAAGTCTGGAAGTAAGTTCATATGCGTGTATGCTCTGAGGGATGTAGCCTTAACCTGCTACTATGATTAGGTGGCAAAAACAAAAAGATTTGTCTATGCAGCATATGTCAGAAAGAGCGAAAGAAGGCTAGCGTTGCAAAGCCTAGTACCATCAAGAAATTGATTACTAGTCCCAAGTAAAGATCCATCATTTGGCATTCGACGTGTACAGAAGCTAACTGTTGATTAGATTCCTCTTTCTAGTTATTGGTTGGGTTGGTGTTGTGCTTTTGACAATGCAAGTTGCCAATGCTGAGGTCAAGTCTGTGACATGGGATCCTTTTGAAATTTTGGGTATCTCAGAGGTAGAGTCTTGCGGCCAGAGCTAAACATTTCATTGTTGCTTACTGACCATGGCATATCAATTAGGGCGCTACTGTCGCTGAAATCAAGAAGCATTACAAGAAATTGTCTTTGATCTACCATCCTGATAAAGCAGCACCTGGAGAAGAAGAGAAGAACGAAGAACGTTTCATTGACATCACTAAAGCCTACAAAGTGTAAGTTGTGCAGCTTTTATACTTCACCTTTTATGGCAATGTACTCACTTCGTGTTGCCTTGTCCATAGCTTGACCGATGACGATACTCGCAGAAACTACGAAGAATATGGTCACCCTGATGGTAAGCAATCCTTCACTATGGGTGTTGCTCTCCCCAAGGGCCTTGTTGAGGGTAATGGCATGTTTGTCTTGGGTTTCTATGCTCTTGCATTTGGCTTGGGTTTGCCTTATTTCATTGTAAGTCGTTTGAATAAGGGCAATGTGATGAAGCTGGTTGTATTGATAGCTGTGATTAGGCTCAATGGTGGTATAAATCTCGCCGCTTGACCAAGGACAAGATCCTGAACCAAACTATGGGTATTTTTGTTAAAGGTTTAAAGGAAACCAACGGCTTCAAAGGTAAGGAGCAGCATTCTTCTCCCTTTCACCGAAAACTTACGATGTTTTGCAGAAATCGTTGATGTTTTGGCCGGTGCCATTGAGTTCAAGGAAACCACCGATGTTCGTAGCGGTGAAGAAAAGACATTGAACGCCATCAATGGTGCCATTACTGAGGAATTAGAAAACAGGTTTGGAGAGAAGTTTGATCGTCTGACTGATGCTACTCCTGCCTACCGTCGCAAGGCTCGCACTTTACTCTATGCTTATTTCCTCCGTGTCGATATCACTGCCAAGGGCGCCTCCAAGTCATTAATCAAGGATCAACAATTCATTGTCGACAAATCAATCCATCTTCTCCAAGGTCTCTTGCAAATCACTACTGTGAAGCAATGGTTGAGCACTACCTGTGCTATTATGGAACTTCAACAGCACTTGTTGCAAGCTACCTATCCCGGAGATGACAGTATCAAGCAATTGCCTCACATCACCAATACCATGTTGCGTCGTTACAACCGCAATCACAAGAAGAACAAAATCAGCACTGTCCAACAATTATGTGCCATGTCTGAGGATGAACGTAAAAGCTTGCTCAAATCACTCACCAATGAAGAGTATCTTGATGTCATGGAAGTTGCCAATCGCATCCCCAAATTGACCGTAGAAAAGGCTGTATTCAAGGTTATTGGTGATAAGATTATCACCACTGGTGCCATTATTACCTTTATTTTGAAATTGAGAAACGGCGAGGTCACTAGCATTGAAACCACTCAAGAAAAGGCAGTTGAGAAGAAAGACAACACTGAAGAAGAAGAGGACGAAGCCATTGTTTCCCCTGAAGATGAAAAGAAGAAGGATGGTAGAGCTTTACCTATGGCTCATGTTCCTTTCTATCCTGGCGAAAAGAAGCCTTGCTGGTGGATCTTCTTGGGCGACCCCAAGGTCAACCGTATCTTGGTTCCCCACAAGAAGGTTACTGACATCGTCGACGAACAAACCATCAAGATTCCGTTCCCTGGCCCACCTAAGCCCGGTGTATACACATTCTCCCTTTTTGTTAAATCTGATACCTATGTCGGCACTGATATTCTCCAAGACATCAAATTGAAGGTGCAAGATCCTGCTGATCTTCCTGAGGAGGAGGAAGTAGATGACAGCATTTCTGAGCCTGAGGAGGACTCCATTGCTGGCCAAATGAAGATGATGAGAGAACAAGGTTTTGCTACTGCTTTAGCTGGCGGAGGAGGCAAGGATAAGAAGGAAAAGGACGATTCCGACTCTGACTCTTCCTCTGACGAAGGAGAAGACGATGCTAATTATGTCACTGAATCAGATTCTGATGACGAGTAAATAAACATATACACATTTCAATAAATTATCCAAAAAGAAATAAAAACAGAGATAAACACTATACATAGCCCTCTCTCATGAGTATTATGATACCATTAACGCTCTGGAAGATTAGGCAAAGATTCACAAACACAGTACTTTTGTCTTTATATAGAACAAGAGGAGTAGAGATGCCTAACCGATGCGTAGAAGAAGACCACCTTTAGTACGAATGTCCACTTGCCAAAAGCACACTCACCTTTAAATATTGGCTCGAGCTCTATGTACTTAATATACCTTGACAAATGCTGCTGTGGTGAACTCGAAGGGGGAGATGAAAACCCTTGTGCAAGTCTTGGGTCCAATGAAAAAGTACAGTAGCGTATACTATTATTGACGCTAAATCAAATCATGACCTACATTTTCTCATCCTGTTGCCGAGATTCTAAGCATGAACACTGCATGCAAGTGGCATGAAATAGCTTTATTTGATGCCACTCGACAAGTCGCCAGCAAAAGAGCTCAAAAAGCCACGAAAATGTCAATTTGTAACAATATTTCACAAACCTTACTTTTATTGCAATAAAAAGCAACCAGTTACACGAGAAAAAAGGATTTTTTTATTACTGTAGCTTCTTCCATCTTCTTCAAAGAAAACCCCCAAACCCCCCTTTTTTCACTGTATTCTCCTTTTCTTCGGTCTTTATCTCAACACAATAGTGTTCGACAAAGTTTTTTCTTCTTTTTCGCTTTTGCTTTCATCATGTTCTTACACAAGGAAAAAGTAAAGCCACCTCGCAGTTTACGATCAGCTCGACTTTCAGTAGTAAAGAATCAAATATCCACACCAGTCATCCAAACATCGACAAACTCGCCCAAGAAAGTAATCAAAGCTTTATATGACTACAATGCGCAGAGCCCAAACGAATTGTCCTTCACTAGAGGCGATTTCTTTCTAGTGACAGGCCGAGAGACAGATACGAGTTTTTATGAAGCATTCAATCCAATTACCAATTCACGTGGTATTGTACCTGTGCCCTACTTTCAAGTGCTGGAGAAACATGAAAAGGCCATGGTTGATTCAGTGCAGAGAAAAGACCAATACAGCGAAGGTAAACCCACATCATGAACGCAAGAGTATGTCAATTTAATTTGTGTTATAGCGCAACAGCCTAAACCTCAGCCATTGTACGGCATTGTTCTATACGACTTTCAGGCAGAAAGATCAGACGAGTTGGACGCAAAAGCAGGGGAGCCTATTATCATCATTGCTCAATCCAATGCAGAATGGTTTGTCGCAAAGCCGATTGGTCGCTTGGGCGGGCCAGGCTTGATTCCTGTCTCCTTTGTCGATATTAGAGATGCCTCAACAGGGCGCACAGTAAAGAATGATTTGATGCAAGCACCTTCTTCTTCAGTGTTCCCAAATGTAGAAGACTGGAAAAAGCAAACACAGGGCTACGAGGCTTCCAGCATATCCATTGGCAAAATGGAGAGACAAATGCAACAAATATCCATCGAAGAGGAAGAGATGGATCCAGTTGACGACTACTACAATATGAAAGACCCCCACCAAAATCCTGACGTATTGCTCGACAATTATGGCATGACTCACCTTGTCAACACATCTTCTTCATCCATTCTTGACTCCCCAGTTCCTGTATCATCAACATCCCCAAGAAGAGGGGCTCATGACGAAGGCGCTATTGTTGTTTCCGCATATATTGATTCGCATATACTGGAAGGCGATCAATACTGGTTTATTGTGTTTGCAAAGCTGGCCAATGGTAGACACAGAGTGTTATATAGACTGTATGAAGGTAAATTGCATGAAACAATTAGTCAAGTGTATTGCAAGAAGTATCAACATGAGGTTTACTCTAGATTTCTACGACTTTCAAATAAACTTTCTGCAAGAATTCCCGGCAGAGGCAGGAAAGCAAGACCAACCAAGAATTTTACCTTACATGCCTGGACCATTGGATGCAGTAAATGATGATATTACAGGTAATAAAAGCTGCTGTTGAATTGAATTATTGATTCACGTGTTTGAACTACGATAGCGGATCGAGCAAGAGATCTATCGAAATATTGCGATGATTTGTTGAGATTGCCCAAATACTTGTCTGAAAGCAATTGGGTACAAGATCAACTATTTGGTATTCATGAAGGCGATATTGAGACAGACATTGATCCAGGCGTAGGACGACCTGCATCAAATTCGTACGATGCAACTCAGCAGGTTATCATGGAGACGACCGCACCAGCACCACAACCACAGCAATCACCTGCCATGGCAACTCAAAATAAGAGCACCATCAAGGTCAAGATCATGTACAAAGACGAGATATTCGCAATCAAGGTGCCAGTGCCAAGCTCAGTTGAATTTCTGAGAGGAAAAGTAGTAGATAGACTTGGATTTGATGTCAATCTCAAGTACAAATCTGGAGATCATTTAACTGAATTAAACGCTGAAACATTTGAGGCTGCTGTCAAATTGGGTAAGCTGACAGTGGTTGCTTCTTGAGCATGACATTAATACCAACACCACCAACTACTACTTTACTATTATTACTCTATTACTATATTATACTATTATTGCAAACTATTTATATTTCTTTGTGTACAAATGTTATTAAAAAACACGTTCTACTTTTATCTCTTTATCACAAATTGAACAACCGCAAATAAGCGAAGCGAGAGAGAGAGCTTGAAGAAACATTGCTTCATTAGCTTCTTGCTTTCTTAAAAGCCAATTTATAATTTCTTCTTTTTTCTTTTCTTTTCCTTTTCTCTCTTTTCTTTCCAATTTATAAACACAAAATACTACAAAAATGAGTGATCACCACGAAGAAGATGACCTTGCACCTACCCAAACTACCGGCTACAAGCCCGGAGAGAAGAAGTCTCTTCAAGAATACCAAACCTTGGATGCTCAAGATGAATCTTTGAACAAATGGAAGGAATCTCTCGGTTTAAACAAGTCTGCTGGTGCCAGTAAGTGTCCTGAGTGCGGCCGTCTATCCGTCATCTTGCTCACATAACGCTTTTTTTTATAGCTGGCCCTCAAGATGATTCACGTAGAGTAAGTTTATTATTAGAAGGCGCGGGAGAGGCAATGAGGAGGGGGGAGGAGTTGTTTGAATTTACCTGTGTGTGCGTGTGCGTGTGTGGGAGCTGAAAGGGGACGACAGGGGAAGCAAAAGCGTTTACTTACTTATTTCTTTTACCTAGGTTGTTGTTGAACACATTGCTCTTGAAGTTGAAGGTCGTCCTGATGTCTTGGTTGATTTGTCTACTCCTAGTATGTTCATTTGCTATATCTTCATTTCATTACAAGACTGACATTTCATTTGATGTTGATCAGATGCTATTGAGCAAGCCAAGAGCCAACCTTTCACCATTAAGGAAGGCGTTGAATATCGTATGAAGGTCAAATTTAGGTAAATGTGCTTTTATCCCAAATAGATATCTTTTATTAACTGTTCCTTAGAGTTCAACATGATGTTGTCTCTGGTTTGAAGTTCTTGCAAGTTGTCAAGAGAAAGGGCATCAGAGGTAAGCTAAAGATTTTGATCTATACGTCTAGATTTTAATCACCTTCGCTAGTTGACAAGACCGAGGAAATGATCGGTAGTTACGGTCCCTCTGCTGACCCTTATGAAAAGAAGTTCCAATCTGAGGAAGCACCTTCTGGCATGTTGGCCAGGGGCCACTACGAAGCAAAGGTAGTATGATTATTGTATGCCCTCGACAGCATGTCACTTACATTGCTTTATCAGAGCAAATTTGTTGACGATGATGATGTTTGCCACATGGAATGGACTTGGTCTTTCGATATCAAGAAAGATTGGTAAAATGTACAATCGAAGATGTGATAAACATCAGGAAAATTGCTTTTTTGTATTTCCTCATTCAAATCCACACAAACAACAGACCACAAAAAAAGCTCCTCACCCCTTACCCCCTCTTCTATATCTATTTCGTTTATTCATTTTTTTTTTAAAAAAAAAAAAAAAAAAAAAAAAAATTACCTCTCTCTCCTCCCTCCTTCTTTTCTTGAATATTTGAAAATTAGAATCAGTTTGAGTTAGTATTGAATAAATCGATTCCCTTTTTTTCTGATATCATGCAAGTAAGTCAAGTTCAACATTAGGCTTTGGCTGATGTAATGCAAAGGTATGGAGGAAGGAGCCTTTGTTTGTTTGTGTTGGATAACAACAGCCCGTTTTCTCACAGAATTGTAATGAAAACATCCAGAACTAACATCTGGATGATGAAAAAAAAAAAAAAAAAAAAAAAAAAAAGTGTGCTACGTACTTTTTTTGAGTGCTTCTCCTTAATTACCAATACAAGCGAATATTCACATAGTTTCTTCTTTCTCGGAGACGTGCCATCTAAACTTACGAGAATGTCCCATATGTTGGTTGATTTCGGCTACTTGCTGTCAAGTGCAAGAGTCTTCTTTGTTTTTATAAACCCACTGCATGTAAAAAAAGTGTTTTTCGAAGGATATCTGGTGCGAAATATCCTACAGATAATACAAAGGAGGCACTACGCTTTGGGAACTGGCATGCAATGCACATTTAAGAAATCCTTGGAATTGCAATTGATCAAACTGCGGTCGTCCAGCAATTTTATAGGGTCCTCGGTAGGTCTTGAGTCTCCAGATGATGCCATGTCATGCAAAAGAAGCAATTTTAAAATATCGAGCTTAAGGCACAAATTCAAACTATGCATGTCTATTGGGTACAAGCATAGCCTGAAGGAGCATCGGTTTACTGCTTTCAATGTATACTTAACATGTACATCTCTTGATGACTCAACACTGTGCAAGAGTGAATCATATACGAATTATATACTACACAACCTTGGACCAAGGCATTCAAAGCGTATATGGTCTATACTAAATCTAAGAGCAAGCGATCACACATACACCGTGTATTGATACACCTTCATGCCGCTGTTTACTAGAATAATTAGAGCGCAGATTCGTAGCTATGCTTAATGATTGTTTACAATAGCATCAATCTACTAGCAATTCTACGGTAAAACCAACTGAACGCAAGATAATTCATATCTAAAATATCATATTTATTGTATGGTTACCAGACTAGAAACCTTCATTAAGTCACATTACTCTACGGATGTTGTGGACATAGAGGCGATGGCTATTTACGTTCGAAATACGGAGAGCTATTCATAAATACAACACTGGAATCAATCACCCATTCACCAATGTCAAGATACTTGTTGACATATTTGCGGATCTCTTCGTTTTCAATTTTTCCAGTGGCAGGTCTATTGAGATTATTCAATTTTTTGCGATCGACATGGCATGATCTTGTGCTATAAACTTACTCTAATCCTGAGTTGCGTTTGATACCAGCAAGAACTGCTGAGAGCAGAACAGCGTCTGCTGTGAAATGAGCGATGCGACCCAACATGTTATAAGTTGTTATAAACGATAGTGAAAATGTAGTAATGTGAGGGTAAAAGGCGGGGATACCAACGTTGGGATGTCGTACCCATGTGACTGGAATGATGATGGATGATCTCTTTTATATCTGCATTTCCGTAATACCTTCAATCATCCTCATGCTCATCGCAATACCAAGGAAAAGATGATGCTGATATAGCTATTGCCAAAGGATGTTGGATCCCCAACCAGGTTGTATTCTAAGCACTACATCCTAACATCCAAGCATCTGATTCCTCGCTTTGTAGTCCTTTGAAGCTGATCTGGCTCAGGGCAGACAATTAGAGACCCTCCTCTCTGTCGCAAGGGCTTGAATTCTGAATAAAGAATGTTTAGCACATCACAACAGCACCTCAATACGATCCAGTAATGCACCAGGCGCTTGATTTCTCGAGTTACCATTGGGTGGCTTTTTAACATTGCACAGGACTCTTTTTACAGTTTTTTTTGTTCATTCTGAATTTTTTAACTTTTCAGCATCAATTACACAACTTGATTCAACTAACATGGCCATCAAGAAGAGACAGCAATACGAGGAGTCCGAATCAGAGCAAGAAGAAGAGTATACGTATGCTAATGATAGCCAAGATGAAGATGTTAGTATCGCAGCCATTGCAAATGATTTGACAGCCATGTTGATTCTTGATATAGGATGAATTAGAACCAAGTGAAGAGGAAGAGGAAGAGGAAGAGGAAGAGGAAGAAGAAGAGGAAGAAGAAGAAGAAGAGGAAGAGGAGGATGAAGAGGAATACAAGGCAGCACAACTAGCAAAAATTAAAAGAGGTATTACTCACAATAGCAACTACAGATTGGACTGCGGGCTAAATCGAATGGGTGGATAGATCTGGCGCATGTTTCTTTTGAGCAACTGGCTGATTTGAAAGGGAAGATGGGAGAGAAAGGATTTGTGAAAGACGAAAAGAAAAAGATATCCAAAGATCAGATTTTGAAGGATCTGAAAGGTGCAGTTGGTAAATTGAAAAAAACCAACAGAGTAAAGTTGACAAAGCAAGATATGAAGAGAGAGAGCAAACACAGGTAGTGTATTTTACCAATTTGACAAAACAAAGTGGTCAATTGACAGTGCTATAATTAGACCTATGGAAATCTCATCCAAGCGCGCAGTGGGTCGTCATAGAGATGTTGTGCAGTTGCAAGCCGAGGTATTTGTGTTTGCCTATATTAGGAATACTGCAAAAATACTCATCACAACAATAGAAACGTCGTGATCCCCGCTTTGATAGACTTTCGGGTCAATTGAATCAAGATCTATTTGAGAAATCGTACAGTTTTTTGAATGATTACAAGAAATCAGAAATGGAAATGTTGAAAGAAAGCATCAAAAAGGAGCAGGATGAAGAGAAACAAGAGCACATGAAGGGCCTTTTGCTAAAAATGGTGTCAGCAGATAAGCAAGAGCAAGAGCGAAAGAGAAAGCAAGCCCTATTACGAGATAGAAAGAAGCAGGAATCAGAGTTGGTCAAACAGGGTAAAACACCCTATTTCTTGAAGAGATGTAAGTGCGACCCTTGTTGTCAGTAGTATGCCATGCTCATTCCCCTTTCATAGCCGAGAAGCGCAAGCTTGATTTGATGGATAGATACGAGAAACTGGGCGCCAAGAGTGTTGATCGCATCTTGGAGAAGCGTCGCAAGAGAAACACAACAAAGGACAGAAAGCATTTGCCATTCAACAAGAGAAGATCAGCAGCGGAGTGATCCGTTTGATATTGTTTTTGTACTAATAAGGTTATCATCATGTAAATTAAGAAATAAATTGTCAATCTAGAGACATGGTACAAAAGCACAAGAAAAAAAAAGTATATAAAGAGGGAAGTTTAAGCGAAGAAGAAAAGATTATTTTCAAATACCCTAGCATGCGTTCGATTCAATTGTCCTGTGTTATTCTGGTTGCAATTGCATGTTTCTTGACTTCATCTGTGGTGATGGCAAAGCCCACCTCAAGTGTATCCAAGCATAGCCATCAGACAAAGAATTACCGTCATTCCTCTACCCTATCCAAGAAGAAGAAGAAACATACTACCGTCAAGAAGAAGACTACCATCAAGAAGAAGGCTACTACCAAAAAGCACACTACCAAATCTACCTCTGTTTCTGCTGCATCTGCTGATATTTACGGTAAGCATCGATTGATTGCTTACGTTGTCGATTGGGAGATTCCTAGCGTTGTAAACTGGAACAAAGTGGACCATGTTGCCTACGCATTTGCTGAACCTGATGCTAATGGTGCTCTCAAGTCATTTACTGATAGTCTGTTGAAGAAATGTAGGTTAATTTCTTCGTGACACAAAACATTGAATCATCTAACCACATTTCAATCCTATTTAGTTACTACTGAAGCTCACAAAAATAAGGTCGGCGTCAGTATCAGCGTGGGAGGGTATGTTGATTCATTCTGTCGTCTTGTATCCAATTTATTGATATGCTCCTTTTCGTAGCTGGAGTGGCTCAAAGCACTTTAGTACCTTGGTCAAGTCTTCCTCCAAGCGTAAGACTTTTGTTGATAACATTGTGGCATTAGTTGCTGACTATGACCTTGATGGCGTCAATCTTGATTGGGGTAAGTGTATCTCATCTTATCAATTAAACGCAACTGTATTGACACCATGGTACAGAATATCCCAATGACCCTAATGGTGTTTCTTGTAACGCAAAGTAATATATGAGTTCAATATTGCAATATAAGGCAGCTAACATAAAATCACTTATAGGGATAAGGACGATACTGCCAATTACCTTGTGTTCATTCAAGAATTACGTAAAGCGCTGGACTCTAAATACAATTCCATTCACAAGTTGATTACGGTTGCTGTTGGCACAAATCCTTTCAATGATGCTAAGCAAACACCAATGGCAAAACTTGACAAAAACTGGGCATCTGCTGTTGATTCATTCTATATCATGGTAGTTACCTTGTATCCAAATCTAAATATCACAATGCTAACTATAATGGCTTGGAAATTAGGCTTACGATATTAGTGGTAGCTGGAACACAGTGACCGGTCCAAACGCACCTCTCTTGAAAGGAAGCTCTTATGACTCTAGTGTAGCACAGGCTGTCTCTGCTTGGCATAACGCAGGCATTCCATCTAATCAACTGGTTGTTGGTGTTCCCTTTTACGGCCTTGCTCTCAGAACCAGTAAAGCCATTACCTCCTCGTCTGGTTTATCTGTAAAGTTAGCTGCCTCAAGTGCCATCAAAGGCGACGAATATGATGAATCGAGCAAAGACGACTGCCCTAATTCTACTGCCAGTTACTCTGGCGAGTTCCAGTGGAGATCCATTGTCAAGCAAGGCGTCTTGAAGAATAAAAATGGCTGGAAGTCCTACTGGGATGATGGATCAAAAACTCCTTATGCTTATCAATCCAATAACAACAAATTTCTTTCATTTGACGACCCTAAATCCTTAACAGAAAAGGTGGATTATATCAACAAACAAAGCTTGGGTGGTGCCATGATTTGGTCCTTGGAAATGGATGATTCTAGTAATACACTTTTGAACTCTCTTCAAGGTGTTCGAAAGGACTAAATTTCGTCTGAATAGTTCAATACTGTATTTTTAAATTAAATAAACCTATTTCATTCAATTTTGTGGTCACATTTCGTTTTTGGTCTTGCCAGGTTCCTCTGAACGATCCCAATTACTGTTGCTTTTGATCTCATTGTATTACATGTCACTTGTGTTGCTAATAGCTAGATTAAGCTATACAGAAACCATTAAGGCATAGCTTGGATTTCAAATTGACACAAAATTGATTGTTTAATATCCTTTACTCACCTTGTTCATGAATACGACCTCTGTAACATCTTGTGTTTAGCTGGGGTCCTTTCGGTTTTAATACGTCTTCAGCAGTTGATATGGGTCTCCCATTCCAGAATTCGCTGATTCGATAAGGCTAGTATCATTGCCGAATTCCGTTTTGAACCCGATGTCTGCTAGCTTCATGCTGAGATGCTTCAAAAATGATCCATTTTCAATATAAATGACATGCGCCTTCGTCTATTGGGCCTATTCCTTAGCCACTCCTTGAAGCGGCTTATATGGTACTTCAAGAAGGAACTTCTCCGGGTATTTTTTTTGTAGGCACCATATTACCATTTGTACTGAAATCACCTTCGTGTTGGCTTTTTAAATCATCGGTTTATCTCCCATGAATTGAAGCATTGATTTGCCACCAACCTGCAGCCAAAATTATTTTAATTTCAGATTAACATTCTATCTAGATTTGTTCATTTCCGAGGTTTTTGGATATGATTCGACCTATTTTGCTAGATTCGACTATGTAAAGTGTGATGGCCATGCCTTGCTTTCTAATGCTTGGCTATCCCATATGCTCCAGTTTATCCCAACGCAACCTCGCTTTCCAGCAACTCTACAACAATATCCAACAATGCATCCATATTCACTCCCAACGGAACCTCTCCATTCGTGGAAGAGCTACCGTTCTCAACACACTCATTTTCTCGAAACTCTGGCATGTCATGCGCAACTTTATTTTCACCAAAGCTCAATTACTCTCCTTACGCAGCCTTGGGTCCTCCTTCATTAACTTTCGTATCTTCCCCAAACTTTCCTTTAGAACCCTTCAACAGCCTCGCCATCATGGCGGCCTCCAAGTTTTAGATCCCATTGTCCAACAACAAGCTCTCCAATGGCGCTGGATTTGCCCCCTCATTTTAGCCGCCTGTCATTCACCACTATTACCGACATACACCACCCCAAGCATTCCACTCCTCCAGTACTCCCTGCAATGGTATTTCCACTCTACCGCTTTCTCTGATTACTTTTACTACTTACTCTTTCCTGCTGCTCGACAAACCATCTGGTTCCAACATCGACCCAGTCCACACCAAGCTTTCCTTAACATACTCACCAATGTCATTACCACCATGGATCGAATACCTCGTTCCTTCACAACCTGTCACTTAGATTTTCATACAGGTTTATCATTACCTTTCCTTGAAATTATCTTACATACCCTCCCTTCTACTCACCCCCATTTCTCTTCTTTCACAGCTCCAGATCAACTGTTTGACCGACATCACGCCGTCCAGAAACTGCTCGCAATAGATGTGTTTACCTTTGACTTCGACTTACAAGTGATCCGTCTTAGAAACTGGACCTTCCTTGAGTTTTGCCATTATCCAAGAATATCTCATCGAGTTGCCCGTTGGATTGAGGAAGGCCAAATCTACCTCCAACCATTCTTTCTCGCTCTCTGCCGTCAGGCCCCTCGCCATTCATTTACCAGTGCCTCCTTTGGTGCCAACCCCCACAACATCCGCCCACTCATTCGCCGTCTAATCAAACCTATAACACCACTACCTTCAACAGTGCCACTCAACAGTATTCAATACTACAAACACTTGGTTTCCACTGACATGCCCACCATCAACACTTCACCTCTTTCCCCCTCCCAATGGCGCCTCTTTTGGAAACTACCTATTCTCCTTCAATCCCGAACTGTATGGTATAGACTTATCCATCGAAAAATTCCCTCCAAATCGATCCTCCACCACTTCATCCCCACAACTCACCCTTCACCTTCGTGTCCTCTCTGTTTGACCCAGAGCCCGGAGGATATCCAACATTTCTTCTTTACTTGTCCTCTCAAACTCGCTGTATGGCGGTTCCTCGCCACTACATACCTATCCCACACACCGATGACCGACGACGTCCTTCTCCCATTCCTCCACGGCATTCAAACTCTATCCATAGCTGAACCCACTCGCTCTGCCTCCTTACCTTTTCCAGAGCTTACCGTTTACCAAGTTTTCGCTACCAGTCTACTCTGTATATGGCAAGCCCACTGGCGCTCCATCTTCGACCATGTCCCTTTTGTCACTCTCAACGTTAACACATCTATTGCCCGTTCTCTGTCTCGCTTGGAATCGGAATTACAGTTTGATTTGTAAGTATGTACCCCCACGTATTTTATGGTCGTATTCCACTTCCTTGCTTCCCTTTTCATTTCCTTGCCTTTAAAAATATATCCAGTCTTCTTCTTCCCTCATCATGACATTTAGAGGACTTTAAATAAAAAATGGAGTACAACTCCCCTACAAAAAAAAAAAAAATGCTTTCTAATGCATCCTTGGAGTACTTTTCAAGGCGAATCCAATGGTATCAAATAAAACAGATTATTTGAATAAAATTGCCGAGCTATTTTTGAAAATATGAAATGGCGTTTTTGGCAAAATTGTTGACATTTTACATAACAAAGTTTCACAAACAAAGTTTTAGAGGTTGCCCTGGATCGAGAGAAACATTTTGATTCAATATATATCATATTAAAAGTCTTCATTTTCAAGGTGAAAAATGCGATCGTTTGATTTTTGATGGAAATCATGAGGTATCCCTCATGGCTTTTGGTCGATTTTTGACAAACTTAAAAAAAAGTGAGCAAACGTGCCACGGAGATACCGCTAATCAAGAGCAATTGTTTGGCCCTATTCTGGCGGTCTACAACAGCTTTTAACGCGAAAAAACGCGACTTCAATATATAAAAATTTTGCTGTGTTTTACGTATTTTAGAGTAGCTGGATACAATGCAATCATGATGTCTGCCCCTTTATGAGCTACTTTCATTAAAGCAAACGTGAGACATCATCGGTGTGTCAAATCCACATTCAGAGGCGTTCCTAAAAGGTCCTATATAAGGTAGACGACCAAAGGTAAAAATTCATTATATGCTACTAGCCGATCTATCTCGCTATGCTCAATGTCGGCATCGCCCTGCGGGCTCTCACCGAAGACATTTTAAACCAGATATTATACATTTTGGTATATCAAGTAGATTTTATACAATCAATTATTAGTTAGTAAAAAAAAGCTTATATCAGAGCCAGAAGGAGAAGAGAAAGTATCTCCCTCAGCATCCTTTTTGGTTACACTGATATCAAACGAAACCTACTATTGGGACAACATGAAAGAAAATTCAGGTTTTATGCAGCATTTGTACATCACAATGGTCATTTTCTGATGATAGGATTGTCATATCATTCGCTGCTGCTGATGCTCTAAATAAGATGGCAACATAAAGCGGGTCGTAAGTAAATACAGGACTTGTGTAAGATCTACAGCGACTTTTTTGAGATACTGTCATTGCAAAAAGACACCTTCATGAGGCAAAGCTCCCCAAAAAAAAAGTATTTGTGCTAAGCAATTGTCCTTTCAATTCCACGATCTCCGTTTAATCAGCATCGCAATCATCATTGTCATCAGCAGAAAGGTATTTAGGTCAGTCAGCAGCAAGCTGTCGCCAAAACCAATTCAAACTCAGTTTGTTTGTTTTTTCTCTTCAAGATTGGACGGATTTCGTCTTTTTTCGACTTCTTTCATCTATTTTGTGATATCCGACTATATAAACTGTGATGATCACCCTACGCTTCTTAATACATTCTTGAAATACTTTTCAAGACGCTTCCAATGGTGCTGATTGCAACAAGTGTTTTGAATGAAATTATTGAGCAATTTAATAAAATTTGAAATCAGGTTTTTAGTGAAAATAACCATATTTTGCATATGAAAGCCTCGTAAAAGTAGTTTCAGAGGTTGCTTTGGATCGAGAGAAGCATTTTGATTTAACATATACCATAGTAAAAGCCTTCATTTTCAAGGTGAAAAACGCGATCGTTGGATTTTCGATGAAAACCATGAGGTATTCCTCATGCTTTTTGGTCGATTTTTGGCCATGTTTTTTTTTGGCCCAAAAAGTTGAGCAAAGGCGCCAGGAAGTTGCTGCTACTGAAGTACGATTGTTTGGCGTTATTCCAATGGCTCAGAAAGGTCTGCATGTCAAGATATGAAGGTTTGAAAGCTGTCTAATTTGGTTATGTATTGCTTTATAGAGTTTATTTACATGGCATGAATCACTTCTTTGGTAGCTGCAATTTACTGGAAAGGCAGTTCTGCAGCTTGTGCAACTTTTAAATCGAATAGAAGGCATATTGAATTTAGTAAGCTTGATAATAATGGAAATGAAAACCCGAATTTGCTGCTTGAATACTATGGTTTTGCATCTTTGCTTCGCTACGGTAAAGCCGTCATTAAAACCAATACTATCAAGTATTGGATTCAATACCTAATTACCATGGCTTTGCACCTTTGCTTTGCTACGGTAAGCTCCCCAAACCCCTCCCCAATGTCGGCTTCTCCGGTGGTTTTATTCACTTTTGTCCAGCTCTCAATTCTTTAGAATTATATTTGACAGAATGTGATTAGCTTGCCTATTTTTTAAAAACATAATTTTCCAGTATCTATTGTGAAGATGGAGCACTCCATTGTACCAGTGTGAGCTACTCTGCATACAATGCCCTAGAATATGTAAAGATTGAGACAAGCAATGCTTAGTGTTTGATGATTTACTACTGCTCCATTTCGGGACTCATGACAGTGTCACAGACTAAATATTGTGCACTGAAATCAAGATGACACTACCAGGATGCAAGAAATGTTTATGCTGCTATTCAGAAAAAGCTAGTAGTTTATTAATATATAATAGGTGTTGAGGATTGTGTAGTAGAGGTAAGAGGGGTATTTTTTTTTGTGAGGTTTGTTGTTATATGAGGTTATGGCATAAAGAACTTTCATCTCTTCCAGAAGCTAGAAACGTTTCTTGAGCCATCTAAAATTTATATATAATTGGTGTAATGTTGCTGAATGGAGCAATTTAAACAGATTCGGTGATGTCCAAAGGAGTCCAGCCATCACTACCATAGTTGAGCAAGACACGATTATCCTTAATAGTAACAAGACCCTTGGCTTGGTAGCCAGTAGGACCTCTGATGTCTAATTCAGTAGCAAAACGAGCAAGACGATATTGTCTAGCGAGTTCATGACGAGCGGCAACTTCGCCACCTTCAACAGACTTGGACTTGGCCCATTCAAGTGTCTCAATTTGATATTCCTTGATCATGTTTTGGTATTCTTGATAGGCAGGAGTAGTAGGTGTATCCAATTTACCAGCAGGGACGGGATCAATCTTCTTTTCATCCAAGGTCTTCTTCTCCTTATCACCAGTGATGTTACCAGGCAAAGCAGCGCTGTCGACAAAGTTTTGTAATTCATTGTAGTCCTTGGTGAAGTGAATCTTTGTAGCAACAACAGGATCCAAAAGAGGAGTAATCAAGTTCCAAACGGTAGAGAAGACCCAAGGAGCTCTGTGAATCAAACAAGAGCCCAAAGTCTCGGGGTAATATGCTTCGAAGCAGGTTACCAAAAATTTGACAAAATCGAAATCCTAAATTGAACAAGTTAATATTGATGGTTACACTTGTACCTTTTACATTTCGCTGTTGTGATCCCCTTTTCTCGCTTTCCTTTTCCCCAACGAAAATGTAAAAGAAAAGTACCACTTACCATGTTCTTGAGAGTGAAACCATCCATGTTGAAAACAATACAAGCAGCCTCGACAGGTTGATGGACAACGACACGAGATGTTTCCATGACGTACATGGTCAAAAGTTTAATTACTTCTACGGGTTGATCTTCCTTGTGATGGAGGTTGACATTGATGAAGCTAATAATCGATAATGAGGAACAAAATTTCGTGTTTCATCTTTGGCATGTGTTTAACCTACCAAATACCACGGCCAGCCTTATCAGGGCCACCCAAGTAGGCTTTACCAGAATTGAGTTGAGTGATGAAACAATCGCCCAATTCGGGCTTGGCTTTGTTAAGTTCATCACGAATACCATTCTCGCCAAGAGCAACAATGTCATCAAGACGATGGACTAAACGCCAACGAAGCGTGTTGGTCAACATGTTGTAAGCAGCATCCAAATCCCATTTACGAGCACGCAAGAAACGGAGAACGACGGCATCTGGGTTGTCAGTGGCAACCATTCCCCAGAAAGTCTTACCAAGTAGAGTACCGGGAATCAAAGGCAATGCCTTTTCGAGGGGCAATGTCAACCAAGTGGGATCAGTAGTGGTGCCAATGAATACATCCTTTTGTTGAGTAGTTTCCTTCTTGGAGAACCAACCACCTTTCTTGACAGGAGCTTCCTCTTGCTTCACAGGCGTATATTCGGTACCTTTTTGCTTGAAGAGATCGAAAAGGCGAATCCAAAGTTGCTTGAGCATGTCTTGTTCCTTGACTGTCAAATTACCGACATGTCCAGGCAAAGGTTCGGTGGTAGCGGTAGTGTTAGTTAAAGCAGTAGGAGACATTGTTACTCAATTGTATGTTAAAATGATGAATTCAAGAACAAAAGAAACACGGCTTTATATATGGGAGAGGGAATTGCTAGAAAAAAAAACTAGTCCCTGTAATCATTGTGTAATACGAAGCTAACAAATATGGGACTTTCAAGCTGAGTGTTTAAATTTGCAGCTAAAGAAGGCGACGACAAGGCATTTGATGCGTCAATGTAGTTTGCAATAGTAAACTTCATTTGTATAATGTTGTTGCTTGAGATTCTCATAGTCAAACACGATAGCAATCATGCATCAATTCTGATCTTTTCTATTACTACTCTGATTTGCATTTGAAACCGAATTGAATCAGATTCAGGTACGAAGTAATCGGACTTTTTTTTCTCATCCCAACACCCAAGAATCATTTGATTCTTGATCCTCTTGTGGGAATAACTGCTTTCATGGCCTTCCTGTTCAATACACTAGTTTTAGCTATTAATACATTGACATGGCTTTTGAATTGGGTTACATGTATAGCACGCACATGTATGCATTAACACATGAAAAATGTGATTTTCATTGTCAATGTCAATTGGATCGTATCTACCAAAAACCAAGGACGATGAATAGACCAACTTGCCATTGTAACATGCAAAATGAAAACCTATATATACAAAGATTCTTGTTTGTATCATTGTCATTGATTTATGGCATAGCACATGATAGCATTGTGAAATGAGAGACAAACAACAAGCGATCCTCTGATCTCAAAGGGACAGAATGGGGTTGAAGGACAAGTAATGGTTACATGCATTGATTCTTTTTTAGATTAGTATGGTTATCGTATTGTCATCCTTTCCTTTTTGTATTGATTTAATATTATGAAAAAAACAGACGAAACAACCTTAAAACACTCTTTATCTTGCTGTAGTGTTGATATTTTGTAGCAGTTGTCCTACTACAATCTATGCATCCGTGCACTTTAAGCTTGGTGGTTCCTGAAAAACCAGAATGCATCTCAAAGACTATGTGTGAAGTTTTTTTTTTTTTTTTTTTTCTACTTGCGTATATCAACCATTTCACTTCTACTAATTGACCATCGTAAAAATGTCAACATCTATGGGGTAAGGTAGTCTATTACAGTTTATTATAGTGTGGGGATTAAGGTCAGAGAAAACAAGATGCATATATTGGCTGTACCACCGGATGGATCTGCTATACACTGACTGTGAACGCAAACTTTACTGCGCTGATGATGATATGAAATCTTCATTACACAGAAACATGTGAATGAGAGTTGACTTTAAAGAGACATAGCAGAAGTATCCCCAAACATTTTGAGAGCATCAACATCACAATCATGGTCATTATAGCATGTTCCAATTAACATGCTCTTGTTTTCTCTCTCCTTTTCAATGCACAAGATTTAAAAAGTGGGGTAGGGCTAAAAATCTTACAAAGTGTGCATGGTAGCTTTTATTAATTGACCTTACTCTTGAGTGAGATGGGTCTATAACACACATTAGCGCCCTTATAGACACCATCTTGGATGAACAAATCGCCAGAAGTGAAGCCAACAGTGATATGTGGCCAGAATGCCTATGATTGAAACGATGTAAGTACATTTGAAAGGCACGAGGCACTCAAGACTTACACTGGGATCAAAGAGAGCAGTATTTCCACCTTTCTTGGCAAACAATTGGAACACTTTTTCACGGATGTTGACAAGATTAGGAGCGGAGACAATGAGTTGGTATACAACCTTGCCATTGACATCTTCTTTGCCGAGACAAACAATCTTGACTTTGCTGGATTGAATCTTTTCTTTCAGGGCGATTTGGTTGACTTGATCAATGGTGATACCAGTGGTGGCGAGGACGCCAAATTCAGGAGGGGAAATGACAGTAATGTGCGATTCACCTGCGTGAAATGGAAATTTAGTCAGTTATTGACGAAAAACGCTGTGCGTGTAATAGTACCTCTGTTGAGCAATGGAACCTGCGTTGAGTTGAGGATGTCAAATACAGGCTTGACATATTGGAAATCGAAATTCATGCCCAACCAAGATGCATTGCCTATGGAGATCGAATGTTTAGGCATTTGCAATGGGTTCAGTGTGTGAACAAACATTTACCAGCAGGATGTGATTGAAAGGGTATCTTTTTGGTTGAGAGGACCTTTTTATTGATCTGAATGGCATCTCCTGTAACAAGATTAGCATTAATTCTCCATCCAATCTCCAACAATGTGTCATTTTACCTTGATACGGAACACCCAAGGGGGTTTGCTTCACTTTTTGGGTAGCTGGCGAAGCAAAAGTAGATCCTACCAATGCAGCCACAAACACAATCAAGTTCAACTTCATAATAACAAGCAAATAAACAACGCACAGTAAAACTAAAAGAATGATATGAAACAGAAAGCGAATTTAAATAGAATATTGCCACTGTGACCCACAAACATAACGTTTCCACAACCTGGCCAATCAAAGCCAACATTTGCAGCCATTAGCCGTAATATTACAAGATTGCAGGTACAATTCACTTGTAAAACTGTATAAACGTGCATCTCCACAAGCACATCAAATCAAGAAAAAGATGCCGTATTTGTACCTGTATGTTTCTTTGCTAGTGTTCATGATGTCTGTTTGACATTTCACCTAGGAAAACATCAGCTGATTCTCAAGCATCCCTTAATATAAAGAACAATAAGCCCCGGAGCTTTCCTTCTCTTTTTTTTTTTTCTAGCCCTTTCATTTTTGCATGCTAATGTAAACTATGCAAAAATTGTTCTGTTGCTTTGTTCTATTCTGCATCACCGTGGTCAATGCAGCAAACGACTATTTTGATCTACTCCAAGAAGAATTTGAAGCAAAACCTACTGGGCAGGTACGACGGTTTTATATTACAGTAGAAGAAGGAATCTGGGATTATGCCAGTGAAATGGACGCAAGTGCAAACGTGCCCGGTAAAATGAATACCTATCGCAATGTTACCGTGCACAATTCATTAACATGATGATTCTGCAGATACCAATATACTGGGCACAAGGTATTACAAAGCTCTTTATCATGAATACGAGGATTCAAGTTATACCAAGAAAAAGAAGCGCTTTAGCTGGCAGGGCAATATGGGACCTATCTTGAGAGCTGAAGTAGGTGATATTATTCAGGTGTTCTTTTGGAATAGAGCCACTAGAAACTATACAATGCATCCTCATGTAAGGCAAGAGATCTGGCAGGATTACAATTCTGGGCGTGAACATGATATGATTGTATAGGGTATCTTTTACGAGTTTGAAATGGAAGGCGCTCTCTTCAAGGGATCCTACGAAGAAAGTAGTATAGGACCCAACCAAAACTATACATACACATGGAATGTCTTGCCTAGAGCAGGTCCTGGACCAAATGATGGCACCTCTATCGTCTGGGGCTATCATTCCCATGTGTCTGAAAATGATATGTAAGTAATGAACATATGCTCTTGGCAGCCGTTGCTAATTTTATGATAGCTATGCTGGATTGTACGGTGCTATTGTGGTTTATAAAGCTGGCACTTTATCGAATGACCAAATTGTAACATCTGTATTTGGTAAATGCATTATTCGATATAGTCTATAATATGAAACTCATCGCGCTATATGCTGTTATAGTGGGAGATGAGAACCTTTCGCCTTATCTTGCAAAAACAATGTCCACCTTATACCCAAACACCAATACATCTACATACACCAATGTTCAGCTATACAATGCCAACCAATTCAATTGTGTCAACGGGCTGATTTCGTCTGCACCAAAAGACCTGATCATTAGAAATCATACTGTAGATTGGCACCTCTTGGGATGGGGCACGTATTGGGACGTCAGATATATCAAATGGGAGAACAGCCAAGTCAGCTGGAATGACGAGGTTGTGGATTACATTCGTCTGATGCCAGCTTCGTTCTATACAGCCACAGTCAAGCCTTCCAGGCGTGAAGGTCGCTTTAAGTTTGGTTCACTAGACGATGAAGTGAATGGAATGACCATGAAATACCATGTTTCTCTGTAGTAATAATGTTTGACCTGACAGATCCGTGCTTTATTTCATTTCCTGAAGCCATTTATAATTCAATACAAATAAAAGACACCCAAATACCTCCAAAATCACTATAAAATTACCCTCGCTGCTCCAAATGACAGCTACTCTCAACCAAGCACTGAAAGACCCGGGACTTGAAAATATGCCATTGGTGTTGCCAAACACTACCAGGTTCTTATCCTTTCATGTGGCCTGTCACTTTCTTTCACCTTTCTTTTATGCTATGCTCTTCCAAACATTGAAAACTAGCTTTCTTCGTGCACGTCTGAATGCACCTTCAAGGGGTAATCAACAAAACAATCTGAAATGATCTAGATCAAGACAGTAACACATTTTTCATAGCTTTCCACGTTCGTCTCTATGGTACGCAAAATTCATTGAAATCAGCCTTAGACAAGAAATCGATTCAGTTCACAAGCAAACAACTAAGACAAGCATTGGAGCAGAAAGACGTTGTATTCTATCAAGCACCAGCAGGCGTTGGACGTACGTTTATGTGGATGTATATATCAGCTGGTGTGCAATTGATGTTTTGGTATCTATACATGCTTTTTATCTCTATACATATACCATGCACATCTTACTTATTCAACATCGCCTTTTCTTATAGGGGTAACTTGGCAAGTCTGGCCTATGTAGCCTACACAGTCAAGGACGGAGAAGAAGAAGATGCACCCGTTGTACTTGCACCACAAGGCACGCGTATGGCAGTTGCAGGAGGATTGGTTACAGTAGGCGTTGCTATTGCGTCTTTGATGTGTTTGTACCCCTGGAGATATGTGGATAAACTCATCTTGTTGAAGGGAGCCAGCGCAGTCAGATTGGTAACTCATGCCCGTGTCTTGAAATCACACAAGTACAGAGAATACCCTATTGAGCAACTTTACTGCAAGCAAAAAGTGTTTACTGGTGTAGGCAAGCATGGCACAGACGCAGTGGGCACCAAGGCAAATTCATCTCACATCTTTTTGGGTGCCAAGGGAGAGAAGATGGCTTACATGCTGGATAGAAAGGGCTCTTTTATGGATAGTAAATTGTTTGATGGATTATGGTTTAATGCGCATGGAAAATAAAAGGATATCATAATTTGTATATTAGTGCTATATACTGTATGTACAATTATAAAATGAGTATGTAAAGGGTATGATGATTATTGCGGTGGTGGTGATGGTGGTGGTGGTTGCTTTTGTTCGTAATCAGGGAAATAGGTGGCAAATGTCTTTTTCAGTTCTTTGATGTAGGCGTTGGATGGTTTCAATTCAGTTGCTGTTGCTGATGATGCTGATGATGACTGATCCATAGTCTCGTCTGAGGCCTCAGATCCAGCTAAACTGCTTGAACTGGTGCTTGTGCTTATGCTGGCTTCTGGCGAGCTGGATGATGGCAGCATGTTCTTCCACAAGTTGTAGTCATCGTTGTTATCACCTCCCAATTGGTCTGTTTGCTGTACGCGATGCTTCATTACTCGCAATGTCATCTTGAGGTTCTTTTGCGCGCGTGCCTTGATGTGTGGATTAGCTGCCTTTTTCAGCATAGCCATGGCATCACTGGCAATCAACAGCCAATGCAACTCGACGGAACATGGCAGTCGACAGTACAGCACATGGAAGATCTTGGAAATCGAATCACAGCTGACAGAGACGATCAGCAGTGCACGCTCACCGTCAAAGCGTTCCATATTGGCGCCCAGTAGATCGGTGGATGAGGGGGATCGCATGAGCCGTGTTTCCAATGTGAGCCAATACGCATAATACAACTGGTTCAAATAGATGGCATAAGGGTTCTCGCACTGCTGAATACGATCTGTCTGCAGATACTCTAATGGTGAATCACAGAGTCGGTACTCGACAGGCAGCGATTTCCAAAAACTGATCAACTGGTTCTCAAGACGCTCCACATCATGGACTGAAATAGTGCTGAGACTGCCAGCAAAGAGCTGGTATTTGAGCTGATCACTGCGGGCCGACATTTGGCAGTTGTGAAGACGCACGACGTGGTGAAACACTTGAGTGGCCTGCTCCACCTCGCCTCTCTCGTTGGACAAGACAGCAGGCAATCCAATACCACTGTCAAACAAGATGGATGAAAAGTCGGCCAATCCATCGTAAATCATATACATGTTGAGTTCCAGGTACCGAGCAGCGTAGAATAAGCGTCGCCATGACTCTGCTACAGCTTGCTGAGGTGTGATGTGAGGTGAATCAGGTACCAATGTGCGAAGGGTGTCCACGTATTTGTCTTTCAACTGCAGCGTCATACGCCAGCACAGACTGGTATACAATCGACCCTCACCATTCTGCAGTGTGATAAAAGCACATTGAGCCAGCAACATGAGAGCACCCGCAATCAAAATGTCAGGCTCCTGCTCAAACAGCACATCCTCCAACATGTCCTTGGCTTCCTGTCGTAAGGATTCTGCAAAGCTCTCTCGCGAAACGGGCCAATCCATAGGCGTGACATGCTTGCACTGTGAATATGCAACGAATGCACAGCACGCGGTTGCAGTGAGTGAATTGGGATGTGCTTCCAAGAGCGGTAAGAAGCAAGGCTTGGAGAAGATGGGACTGATCAATCCAGCGCATGCAAAATAAGATTGTACCAGCTGTCTTTTGATTGCGGTTCTGGCTTCAGCTGAATCAGGCTGAGATGGTGCAATCAGCAACTGACGAGAGTGTTGCTGTTGTTGCTGTTGCTGTTGTTGCTTCTTTTTAAAGAAGCTGTGTAGTACTTTTTCAATCTGGAGCATCTTGTTGGTGACCTGTAGTTGTTGTTGTGTGCGATCTGCAGCGTGGTAGTTGGGTGTTCGCAGAGGTGTTGCATTGGTAAAGCAGCGTAAGGATTCGGTTAGAAAGACGGCTACATCAGCGATGCTGCGAATGGATGTCTGGAAGCGTATGCCCTGAGGTCCTTGGCTGACTGTCAGTTGCCATTGATGGGAAGTGGATTTCACCAATGCTGACGTTGTTGCAGGACTGATTTTCATGCGTTTTGTATGGATATGCGAACAATGCGAAGGATCTGTGCATTCACAGCTTGTTGCTGCTGTTGCTGTGGAATGGATAGACACATCATCAACGTCCTCAAAGGTGGTTTCGTTCATGCTACTCGTAGAGCTGCCACTGCTTGTACTGGTGCTGCTACTACTGCTACTGCTTAGATCGCTGATGTTTTCTTGTGGTTGGATATGCACTTCTACGTTGAGCAGCTTCAGTTGTTCTTCCATGGCTTGCATCTCTTGCTCCATCATACGCACTTGCTCCAGCATTCTGTTCTTTTTCGATACAGGCACAACCTTTTTGATGACAGTTGGTTTTGCTGTAAACTTGAACACGCATGCCAAGTTCATTTTAACGCATCGATCACACTGAATGCCCTGGCTCACTTTACATTTCCTACGATGAGCACGACAGTTCTCGCCTGTTTAGATAAAGTAAGCATTCTAGTAGATATACAATACTCGAGGCAGCTTACATGGCTTGTTTCTTTTCTGCTTGTTTTCTTCATAAAAAGACATAATCACAGCCTTTTCAACCAAGGTAGAAAAAAAAAGAATGTAGGGAGTGAGGAAAAAGTTACCATTTCAGACGGCAAAAGATAGAATATACATGCACACTCTTTTGGCCACACTCGGGTTCTGCAGTGAGAGCAGTGGAAAAGCTAACCAGAATGAGGGAGGTCATTTGGGGAGGCATCTCAACTTCGGAGTCTTACATTAACCGACCCGCGTTCGTTGGAGTGTGCAAGTAGATGAAAGCATTGGATAATGATAAGGCCCCTTCAAGAGAAGAAGGAGGAGGAGGAGGAGGCACATTGCCCATTGGAGGAGGTGGAGGAGGACAAGGAGAGGATGCTACATGTATGACATTTATCAACGTGTTTAATGAAAAATCAAGGGCATCTTTGAAATGGAACAGGATGGGATAGGCGCCCTCCTTTTTTGCAAGCATGTTCTCAATAGGGATTAGATCGAAATACCAACACCATGGTAGGTGTTTCCTCATTTTCAATAGTGTCTCAAGGGAAAAGATCGTCATTGTCTAGAAGAGATGCGCTACTTGGTCAAGTTGGCGCTGGTAAAATTTATAGTCTGTTTATACCGGGCGACATGATATCATTTCATATGAACATCTATAGGTGCTAGTAGCAGCGCCGCTCTTTTCTCCATCTCTGTCGTTGTGGGAGTATCTATTTACATGATTGTTTATGGGGTAATGTGCTCTTATGGAAGAGTTGTTTACTGCAGTGCGACAAAGAGATGGGACATTCTCGAAGCTAAATTGTTTCCATGAAATTAGAAGCTTAAACAGCTTTTCATCCGAAAAAAAAAAGGGTATTCTCAAGGCAGTAGGGCCATCGTGTAGACATTGACATCATTTGCGCAAGGTACACTAGTCTGAATCAGGACTGATCTACCACTACTACCGTCGCGAAATTTTAGCTTTTTGCAAGACATATTTACCGGTATTAAACTTTCTGACCCTTTTAATCTTCTGGAAGATACCTTGAGCTTCCATTGCCACAAAAGATGACTACATGACATCATGCTAGTCGCCCCGAGTCATGCTTTATCATGCAATTTATATAAAACAGCATGTCATTAATCAATGCTTCTTTCTCTTTCTACAATCTATTTTCTTTACAAAATGTCACATCAGAAATCACAGCCACCCCATACTGGCATCTTTGATTTAAGTGTGGATATCAAGTACCTCGTCTTGAATTATCTGGACAACAGATCATTGGCCTACCTAGCACAAACATGCACCTACTTTGGTAAGTGTGCGATTGCTAGTTAACTACGGTAGACACCTTAATGCTCACTCTTTATGCAGCCATGCTGGTGCGGAATATTTTCTCATTCAGAGAGGCACATGTCAGCTTGGTAGATCATTATATGCCAAAACTGCCCCCTTTCTTGAATTATCGAGCCGGAGCGTCCGTTGGATCAACATTCTACATGCCCTTCATCAACGAAAGTCCATTCTGCTACACTTACGATATGAACTCGCACGTATGGGCAACTCGAAAGCTAAACACGGTGGAGCAGATTCAACCGCAAATCACATGTGCCGCTGTAATTGGACAAAAGATGTATCTCGTTTGTGGGAGATTGCTGAATTCATACACCTTATCCAATGCCTTGATTGAGATTGACACGACTGATTTCAAAGCCAAATTCATAAAAGACACCTTCGGCGTACCTCCTCGTCCCCGTCATGAGCACTCAGTGGATGCTGTTGGTGATCGCTACTTGGTTGTGTTTGGTGGTCTATGCTATAATTCAGTGGGTAAGCTGAACGTGTGTGTGTGTGTATTTCAAATGTAATACAGTAGTTGGAATTTAATGCAACTGAAATTCTAGGCGAGAATGACGTATTTGTATATGATACATTTGACAATCGATGGTTTGTGCCACCGATAACTGGGTAAAGTGTAAATGAATCTATTGCTTGTATTCGCAAGTCATATACTCATTCTTCTCATAGTCATTTACCGCATTTGCGATTTGGTCATGCCAGTACAGTCATCGGAAACAACTTGTATATCCATGGAGGCGCCCAATTGGACAACGACAGCAGTTACATAGTATACGATGATCTCTACAAACTGGATTGCGAGACCTGGGTTTGGTACAAGTACGAGCATCCCGAAGTCGAGCGTTATTTGCGTTATCAGACACCAGCAGCGGGCGGCGGCATACCACAGCGACATCATCTGATTGCTACCAACGGCGACAGTCCCTATGATCGATTCCAAGCGTACATGTGCAGCTATGGCAACAAGCTCATCATATTCGGAGGACACTCGATCCGCGAAGACGACGAGGATAATGAGATTTTATGCAGCTACCCCATGGACGAGTTATGTGTATTTAATACCAAACGCCATCAATGGACTGTATTACGGGCGGCAACGAGACACAATGACATGGTGTTTGGCAGCAATGCTCAGGAAACGCTGGACGGCGAAGAAGACGATCCTATCACAGTGTCTGACATGAGTGCAGCTACCATCCAAATACCCACAGGCGGTATCCGTATCTATATTATCGCTGGTCGAAAAGCTGCAGAGGTACCGAGAACACAATCCAGGGGCGACAAGACATCCTTCTCATCCAAAATATCATCATCATCGAATTCCAACGGATCCGCAGCCTCAGTCGAATACCACAGCAACAACAGCTTCCTTCCCAGCATCCGCGAAGATCGATGTATGGACGGCGAAAGCGAGATGGCTGAAGGGAGCAATGATGTTGTGAGTGATGGCATGAAGAGCGAGAGCGAGCTGGTAATTATTTTGATGGCAATGCACACGTGATGCTTGGTGAATACCTTATTTAAACCCTTTGCATATAGTCGAGTCAGGGCGACATTCGAAAACCAAATACATCACAACATTCACAGCAAGTCAAAGAGTTATTCAAAGCAATCGATCCAGACATGGAGCATGTGGCCATTGATGACCGGGAGCGAAATGTGCACCAAGACACCACGCTTTTAGAGAATAATAACCACGCAACACCAAACAGTAAATCGCATTCAAAACCAGGCAGTAGCAGTCGAGGCAACCGGAATCAGAAACGCCGTAGACCGTCCATCAGTGTCATTCATCGTGCGCAACCAGATGAACCTGCTGAAGCTACGCAGTATGACAAGGCCACCTCGTCCTCCTCTTCCTATAGTAGTGGCAGTGACAGTTTGGGTAAACGCAATAACAACCCGCACAGAGCCAAGACCGTAACTCCATGTGCCATACTGTTGGATCTAATCGAGTAACATGTACATATCGCCATCATTTGCATACAATAATAATATACATAGTTTTTCGCCCGATAAAGAGATGCATTGGGTTGTGTAGAATACCGTCAAACACTGGATCCCAAAACTGTAGACAATGGTATTTGAAGCTTTCATTTTTAATAATATGAGTAATAAATATATGAAGAACAAGAGAGATATGTTATAGTCGAGTTGGTAACATGAGACGAAGAGGAGACGTGTGTATAGTATATGAAATTGTGTAGAGTGAATAATGATAATAAGGGGAAAGGGAAAGGGGAGCAAACATTAAATAAAATAATTTACACGTGGTTTTTTTTTTTTTTTTTTTTTTTTCGAGGTCAACAAGAAAGATGAAGGGAGGGGTAATAATCAAGCAAAGAATGACACATTTTAATAATAAGCGCCACCATTGCCATTGCCATGACGATTGTTGGTGATTGTGTTTCCATTGTAATTATCACTGTAATGGTTTGAATTGTTATTGTGTCGATACATGTCGTAACTATCATATCGGTTGTTGCGATTGACATCTTCGGTGCCGTAGGCAAAGTACTTGGGCTCTTCTTGACCAACCAATGTGGTAGGTGTATCTACTGTCATGTCATCCAGTCGAATGCCTGACTTTCTGCGCTTGCGTCTCTCGTCCTCTTCATCTTGATCCGTGTGTGAACCAGTACAGAGAAGCGTAATGGCATTTGACATGGCCAGCAATTCCAATGCTAATGCTGCAAATACAGCTAAATACACTTTTCCAAATGTGCTCTTTACAAAGCCTTGTAATGCAGGTGCGCAAGGTGGTAAGTTGCTGGTCAAGGAGGATGTGGGTTGGCAGGTATCGCTTGCGACAACACCATCCATGATAGTTTGATAGCCACAGCAGTAAAACTAAGCAAATAGCGTAAGCACACTAGGTCCATTCAAGGTCTCCATGAAGAACCAACCTGATTTTGAAGATTGAGTCGATAACTAGCGGAAGCAGTTGGCCAAATGTCTGACAGATACTTGGCTGCATTGGCTGCTGCCTGATAGATACGAATACCAATAATCACTTGAAATACCAATGCACCGATAATGATGATCATGTATATATAAGTAACTACAGATTTTCTGATATAAGCGCCAATGATACCCACAATGGCTGCTACACAAATAACTCCACCCAATATAGCCAAATCTGTGTGGAAAATCAGTGTGAGTCTCAAAAGATGATATTATCGAGGAAAGAGGAGAACGAGCTTACATTTGAATATATTATTTGGGAATAATGTTGCACCACTAAATCCATCTTTCATACCGATTACACCCAGGGCAATAAATGCGACACCCAAACAGGCAAACAGTAAATTAGTAGTGATCATGTAGACCTTGCTCAGTCTATAGAGAAATGTGTGATAGGCATATCAATAAACATGCGCTTGTATCCTCTGCTTCTGTGATGCAATACCTAGCACAGCAAGTTGTCATTTTAATTGATGTTGGATGTCTCTGTAAGTTTAATGTTGATGACTATTGCTGATGAGTGAGTGTATGTAAGCTGCTTCTGCTGATGGAGATCTCTGATTTGTTGAAAGGAAAGGCAAGAGTATCTCGGTAAAGAGAGAGAGAGAGAGAGAGAGAGAGAGAGAGAGAGAGAGAGAGAGAACAGAAAGAGGAGCAAGAAAGAAAGAAAGAAAAAAGTGAGAGAGAGAGAGAGAGAGAGAGGAGAAATAGGAGGGAAAATCTTTTGCAGCACCGTATTGATTTGAATAATGCTTCTCCATCATCCACTCGCTCAAATTTACTGCCATTTTGTTAATTAATTCTTTACAGTTTGAGAATATAAAAATAGCTGTACTACAAATTTGTATTCTAAAGTGCTTTGTATAGACGAATCATAGCTTGTAATTAAAATGATTTCCTGAGCTTGTCAAACGTTGCACTTGGATAGCAATAAAAATAAAGAGAGAGAGCGTGTGTGCTCGATAGCTTGCTTTTGGTCTTGAGCTGCTGTGCTGTTTGACTTGAAAGGGAGTTTGTATCCACAGTTGAAGAAGAATAAGAAGGAGAGATTGAAAAAAAGCTGAAAGAGTGTGTGGATGTGTGTGTGCGTGTGCGGAAGAGGAGTGGATGTGAGGGGATCATTTCCGCTTTTTACAGGAGTGAGGGAGCAGATCTTTGTAAATCTAGAAATAATGCCTAGTGCTGATATTGCCTGCACAGGAAGCATATAGCCAGAGATCATCTGAATGTACTTGTAGTCTTCAAAGATGCACACATCCTGTTTGCATTTTGTATCAGCTCGTATCAAGAAACATTGATTTAAAAATAGTACATGAAATTGAGGTATTTTGAATTAATTTAAACTAGTTAAATGAGCTTCATATCTTGCAAATCAATGGAAACGTCATTCGGTTCGTTTGGCATAAGCACTATTACTTGTTGTCGCTCATGGAAATGACGCTACTTTATAAATTAATGCTTCAACAACTCCATTGCGAATGCCAAGCAGCAGTAGACGTCTTCAATCTGTCTTTTTCATGCTTGATATTCTTAACAAAATAAGTTCCTTGAGATCCTTGAAAGCAATGACATCTAATTTGGCTTTAACGATGGAGAGGGATTGCAGTATTTGTGTTTCCAGTTCAGCATCCGTAGCTGAAATAGACCGATGGGCATCGTCTATCAAATTTCAGTGAATCATGTCAGTCAAGATGCTTGTGTTTGTTTCGTCCTACTGATATGCTCATATTTCACTCTAAATTTGTCCAATTTCGCGCAAGAGCCCTTCGTAAACGCTTTATAACTGTGTATCCAACTCATCCGCGATGCTTCAAGTAGTCAAAACCACTCTTGTAGGGCAGGTATTACCTTTGCGCTACCTCTTGCTATTCAAATTTCTGCAAAACACTGCGAGATTTATATGTGTTTGAGCCGCGTTTTCTCACTTCAGAAGCCGTTTTAGAGCGTCAGAATGGCACTAAACTATAACTCTCAACTAGCACTAACTTTCTGCCCCCTTTCCTAACTTTTTTCAAGTTCGCCAAAATTCGACCAAAAACCATGAGCAATACCTCATGATTTTCATTGAAAATCAAACGATCGTGTTTTTAACCCCAAAAATGAAGACTTTTACTATAATCTATATTGAATCAAAATGTTCCTCTCGGTCCAAAGCAACCCCTGAAACTTGGTTTATGAAACCTTGGTATGTAAAATCTCGATATTTTCGCCAAAAACATCATTTCATATTTTCAAAGATAGCTCGGTAAGTGTATTCAAAACATCTTGTTTACTTGGCACCATTGGATCCGCCTTGAAAAGTACTTCAAGAATGCATTAGAAAGCAAGACATGACCATCACACTTTACATAGTCGAATCTAGCAAAATAGGTCGAATCATGTTCAAAAAAACTCGAAATTGAACAAATCAGAACAGAGTGCCAAACGGAGATTCAATTAACTTTGGCTGGCAAACGTTTTGCTATGCTTATTCTTGGAGGCAAATGCCACTGTGTTGAATAGTATCCGACTCGATATCCAAAAGATGATCGACGAGGATCTCATTTATGCCAGTCTATACTTTACCCTTCTCTAAGATCGTTCTCATACATTTGTCTAAACATACAGTATCACAGAAAATCACGCCCACCACTTGGTTATAGTCCTGCTACTATAGTTTACGCGTAGCAAGTAACAAAAACCTTTAAACTGAAAAGCAAGCGCACAGTCTCCTCATAACATGTCCACCGAAAGTGTGATTTAGCATTTCTGCTCTGTAGTGATACAATTCACCTAAAGAAGTATAAATGTCAAAGCGTCAAGCTCCTCTTCAACATGTAACAAAGTGTGCAAACGTTTCAAATAGAGAAATGGCAGCTTTTGCTCAAGAGTATTTGAGGCTGGCCATTTGTATGCTATCAACCACAAGCAGTGTTTACTACAAGTAACATATAGATCTTTAATTTATCAGTGTGGTGAAGTCTCTCTATAAAAACGCGTACATGCTGCCGCAGCAACTTCTTTTTTGACCTGAATGGTTCTTAACAAGTTGGGCTCCCTGCCAACTTTTACCTTGGTTGTAGTGATTTCTTTTGATCGTGTCTTATCTGTCTGATTAACGTCTAGGTTAACTTTAAGGAGTTTTCTTCAAAGCTAGCTTGTTCTGATTTATTACAGAAGAGTTATTGGTAAGATATTGATATGATACACTCTTGCTTTCTTTTTGGTTTGTCTCTATGGCGGTGTCTCCCTCCCTCTCTCTTGTCTCTGTATCACACGCTTTGGTACACCATCGTACCTCGATATCTCATTTTTGAAGTGGATGTCTGTGGCTACAGCTCCACTACCAGAAGAATTCTTAAGACTTGACAATCCTTCCTTTAAGGCTTAGGGTCGTTTCTTTACACGCCTAGAAAGAACAATCCTTCATTGCATGCCCAACAGTATAATACAAGGAGTACATCTCAGGAAATCAAGAAGATTGGCATCATCTTGTTAAAAGAGCTGAATGAGCGCTGAGAGTTTCGGTTGGCTAATGAGTTTCCAGGCCCATGAATGTCACCAATGTAACTCGAAAGTCCCTTTGAACAAAGCTTGTATGTGTCATGACTGGCACAAATGGAGTACTTGGATCAAATCATCAAATTGGACTAGTTGAAGAGTTAGAGGGTTGGGGTCTGAGAGTAGGGACCAGATGTATTTTGACCTGCTCGTTGGCTGTTGCTGCTAATTATGGTTTGATCCATGAGACCAGACAGAAATATGCGTATTCTATACTTTCTGTTCTCTTTACGTAATAAAACTTTTTTTTTTTTTTTTTTTTTTTTTTTTGCTTTCTATTGGCATCTTATTGAATCATTTCTTTTGTGTGAGTAAATGTAAACATCAGTTTCTGGGTTCATGAGCATATGCTGATAACATTCTATCTTGGTGGTGCATTCGCGTTAAATATAGAAATGTAGTCCTAAAGCATAATAAGGAGACAATCATTGCAAACAAAACGAATCGCTATATCTAAGGATCCAAAAATTGGTGACTTTACAGCTACATGGACATTGGCATACAAAGGGACATGGTGTATCTCAAGTCAACCATGACAATAGGCCATTCGGACTTAGTGATCGCCCAACACAGTCCAACGAGGCCAATACGAGGAAGATCATCATGGTCTATCATCATCAAACTTTGACAGGGACCACAAAATGCATTCATGGTGTCTGCCAAGATATTGCGAGACTCCGAACAACACATCAAACATCTCGTCTTTCTATTTTTATAGACAGAAAGGTGGATATACTTTAAATAGATCTGATTTGACACATATCTAGAAGTGCAAAATGTGTTTTGGCATTTTAGTTTTACACAGTTGAGGCTTTTTTTTCGAATTTTCAATGCATTTATTTATTTGTTTGTTGTTACTGCTGGCGCTCGATGATAAGTGTGTATGTATAAAATAGTATATGGTTATAATGAATGGAATGTGATGTATATAGTGATGTGGTTAATGATATGTAGGAATTAATTACAATGTTAATTTACAGAATGAGGAAATGGTTTGTATGATGTTATTAGAGGAAAGGATTTGCTGCAGTTGCTGAATTGCCCATTTGGAGTCTAGCTCTTACTTTTTGTTTGTACTTTTCAGCAGCAGACATATGATGCTCACTTTCACGAGAGATGGATAACCGAGCAATGGGTACAAGATCATCATCTCCATCCTCTTCCAGATCACTTAGCAAAGAAAAAGACTTACCATATCCGACAGGGCGAGGTGATAGCCTCAAACCAATAGGAGTATTATCGTCTAAATCAGAGTCATCTTCATCTTGTTCATCATCATCATCATCATCATCATCAGTGCTTGAGATGGAACTTGCTGGTTGATAGGTAGGGGATCGTGCCATCTCTCTCCAGGAGGGTCTTGATGAGGTAGCAAATGATAGGTTTGTTGGCGACAATGGAGGAGGCGAAAGAGGAGGATAATTGAAGTAGAATGTGTTGCTTGGAGAAGGAGGAGAAGCAAGAGGGTCTGTCATTGATCTTGTGGCAGGTAAATATGGGCTTGATGAGATATGATGGCGCATTGGATGTTTAGGAGGTCTTGATGTTTGTGGCAATGAAGATGACGAGGATCTTTGAGGTCTTGCAATGTGAGGCATATAGGGGTCATTGCTATAGTTTCTTATGATTGAATTTGAAACCGTATTATTGTAAGAATTGATGCCAGAGCCCAGCGATGACTGATAATGCCTTGCCTCTTGCTTCTTGGTACTGCCATTACCATACATGAGATTCAAGCGGGGTAACTTTTTATTTTTGAGAGATAATTCAACCATGATAATGTATATGAGGGAGAGAGAGAAGAAGCAAGAGATGGAGCAGAAACATTGCAACCTGAGCTCTCTATTTATATACATGTTGAATCAGAAAATCAATTGATAGCCCGGTACCTATGTGGGCACCTTGAAAGGGGGCCGCAATTGATACGATCAAACAAGGAAAAATGACGCTAGATGTCAAGTTTCATTGGCTTAAGTATGGAAAATGTCCATTGTTACACCCGTCTAATCTCTTTCATGGGCGTCGCTCTCTTTGTTGTTGTCAAACTGTGATATAGACTTACATAAAAATGCGCGGCTCATTCGCCAAGGTCATACAAGCAAAAGAGTGAGGTGACCCAGAGCTTGATTTTTTTTTTTTTGATGTTTCGTGTGCTCGGTTCAATTGATCCACAGTTGCTCACTCTCTTTCTCCTCCTCCCCTGGAATGGAGTAAAGAGGTTTTAAAGGAGATGGATTTTCAACAATTGTTTAGCGCTCAGGGATCTGGGTTTCTTTTTTTTTCCTAAAAGTTAGATTTTTTGTCAATTGTACACTTCTCAAGTTTCTATGATGGACGAGTTGTTTAGCCCTATTGAACTATAAGAAACAGATAAGCCATTCCAAGGTTACATTGCATGATATTTAGATAGAAGGGATAAACATGTCTAAGCAGATTGCTGCATTACTAAGGCATATGGAGATGACTCAGCTGAAAATTCTGCTTAGTAGTAAACTCCATCAAGACAGAATCGTATCTCGGTTCGGTTGAAAGAATAGGTGTCTCATCTTTCAATCCAAATGAAGTACAATATAACACTATATCATCAGAAAGCGGCTTCTTTGTGTTCTTGTGGATATATACCATTTTAGCTTATCCCGAATAATGAAATTCATGGTTCATTCAGTGTTTGTTTTGTTGTAATAAACAAGGAAGCGGCCGATCTGTTTTTGAGATACCTTGCAAAAATCAAAATGCTGTTTAAAGCGCAGTTCTCGGTCCATGTTTTTCCTTGTCGCGTGGTTTATCGTCATGACATCAAGATAAATGTGGGGCAACATAATCTGTCGCAACCGAGATTTGAAAATGACAATTGTATACAACAAAAGAGCAAGAAAGAAAAACGAGCAAAAGAATAAAATGTCCAGAAGGCTACAATGCCTGACATGTGTCCAATTAACATACAAAAGTACATCAAGCACGAGTTTGGTAGCTGGTACCTTTTTTCGTGTTAATTTAATATTACCCCTGGTGTGTTTCTCTCTTCTTTTTTCCTTCCACTACTCTCATTTTTTGATCATGACAATTGATTCTATTCCATTTGAAATAGCACATTGCTCATCGTTTGATCAGGATTATAAACCAGAATCTTTAGCAGAGCCCTTTCAAGGTGACATTCAACGAATAAGCCATCGAGGCTGGCAAACACAAAAGTAATGTATATAAATAAACATCCTATACACAAATGCTTTTTTTTCCCAACAAAAAAACTTGCTGAACAGGCACCCAGAGTATCCTCAGGATTTGATTTTAAGACTAAATTCAGGTCTCTGCCGTATTCACAAGGTTGAAATCTTGTCTCATCATTACAAGATTGCCTCTCAGATTGAACTTTATGTTGGCATTACAAAGGAGCAGGAACAAGATGCCATGTATATCCAGTTTACTCGACTTGGGTAAGTTGTTCGTTTGTCAGTTTATGTAATATACATTGACTCTAAATCTCTCTTAGATTTGTCAATCTGGATAACAACGATCGGTTTCAAGACAGAGAGCTCAAGTCGATCAAAATACAAGCGGATTGCGAATACATTCGATTAGTGATGAAAGGTTGCTATGGAAACAGGCTGAACATCCATAAGCAGGTATTTGATTTGTACTACGGGATGATAGAATGACACATACTGATTGTCTATTCAGGTTGGCATTTTGGCCATCAATATTCTGGGCTTTCCCTTACAACGACAACAACAAGCACAAGAAACACTTGCCTCGGCTCAGTCTCCAGCAGAAGCAACAACAGTGTATCCTCATCATAAGGTAAATCATAAAACATTGATCAACAAGCGAAACGCATGGTCCATGTCCTGACTGATCCTAAATAATTCACGTTTTTCCATATAGATTGCATCTCAGTTACAACAATCAGATGAGGAGGAAGAAGAGGAGGACTCAAGATCTTCACAGATTCACAATACAAATAGTCATTTCGATTTAGAGCATTGGGTACAAGTGATTCAAAATGCAGAGGAAGATGCTGCACAAGGTAAGGTTGAACATGTGCGTATGTAAGGAACAGAGCCATTCATGCAACTTGTGATAGATGAAGATTACAAGGAAGCTAAGCTATACAAGGAGCTGGGTGATAGATTAACAGGATTATGGCGATTCTTAATCAACCTAGAAAATGACAAGCAACAAGCCGTGGCAACCAAGGATTACGACGAAGCGGACAAAATCAAGGTAAGTGTGAAATGACAAGCTTCCCTATGATTTTCCCTGATTCACGCTCCCTTATTTAGGCTGATATGATTCAGGTCAGACAAACAGCCGAGTCTCTTTTGAAACAATCTGGTATCCAAATCACTCGAGATGGTGATATTCTGCCGTTTGATACAATTGAGTATAATAGTGATTTGGAGCAAACATACTCACAGGAAGAGTATGAAGAGGGGGAGGAGAGCCGAGAAGAAGATGTGGGCTTTTTGCACGAGGTATCTATGTAGAGTGGCATTTAAACATTCAATTGAGTGCTAACACAAGTCTGCACTGTTTGTAGAACACGATCCCGGATCTTCAATCAGCTTCTATTGAAAAGGAATCCAAGCTAACATCGGCTGCCAACACTAGCACAACCAATTCAAACGATCAGTTGTTGGACGAGGCTATTGCTAACTGGACAAGTTTTGACGCACTATCCATCAACCATGGTGATTCAGCCACGAATAGCCCATCATTGCTATCAGCTCGCATTCCAATCAATGATCATCACAAGCAAGAGGAACCGGCAGTAACAGTACCTGCACCTGAACCCGTCGTCATTGTGGATCCAGAGACCATTCCCGAGCCCTTGACTGCAGACGACCTGGAGTCCTGTGAATTAGCCATTGATCAATTTGGAGAGGACTTGGTAGCCAATATCATGAGTGTCAAGGTGAAATGTCGCCAAAACGGGTTGAATCAGCTCAATGCTTTGATTGCATCTGCGCACGTTGAGGAGAATCAATCCAAACAGACCAAAAAGTTCATTCATGCGTCTATTCTCATGATTCAAGAGGCCATCATGGATTCAAGAGAGTCTATTTTTAACCAAGCTATTCAATCATGGAAGCATGTTCAGGGTGGGTATCTTTTGAGCAGTGGTACCAGTAGAGATTTACTGACAATGACAGACAACGACAGACATTGTGATAAAGCACATGAGCAAAGACGATCAGCAACTGTATGCTTGGATAGAAAAGTTCTTTACGCGTTTATTGATGCGCACAAGCGACAATAATCCCGGCATCAAACTTAGCGCCACAAAAACGATTCTAGACCTCATTGAGCACTACCATAGTTTAGTAGCACTGTGTCTTGGAGAGCGCATGATCAGAAACATGAAGGACGCTAAAGCGCGCATAGACCTGGTCTCTATCACCACTAAAAAGTCCTTGATACCACATCAATGGCCAGCGGATGCCGGCGCTTATCGCAAACAAATTATGACATTTATTGTCTCCTATCTCAACAAGCATCCTCATACCGAGGTGCGCAAAGCTGCCTGGGAACTGTTGATGTTGGTTGCACAATATCAACAGCAAAGAGATGCCTCAGAGTTCAAAAAGATGTGCTTATTCTTGAATAACGATACTATCCGATTGCTAGAGCAGGTGAGTTCTAGTCTCTACTACTAAACAATGGTTTCAGTAACATGGTCTATAGGAATTGAAAAAGCTAAACAACAAGCTCAAGATAAAGACGTCGACGTCCAGCAGCATACAAAGAGCATTAGCCAACAACAACACGAGTAGCACAAAGAAATCAGGTTTGTTTGACATTGCATTTGGTGTAATAAACAATCAGGCAGGCTGAGCACACGTTTTCATGACCTTTTAGGAGCTAGTGGTAGGGACGATAAGCGCGCAGCATCTTCCAAGAAGGTAGAGTGTATGGATTGCAAGATGCAAGACTTGCCAACTGATGATGTTATGCATACATAGACCAAAAGCAAACAAGCGCAGCAGCAGGCCACCATTGAGGAGGAAGACGAGAAGACGTAAGTAATGCTATGCTCCAAGCAATCAGCACACTTATGTACGTTTGATAGCAATGAATGCATTTTTTGTGATGAAGTCAATGATAGTTTCAATGAAGACACGCTCATTTCTCATTACTATAACCAATGCCCTGTGCTGACCAACTGCCACATGTGCCAAATAGTAAGCATACACAGACCATGACAAAAGGCGGCTATTCACCTATTGCACACAGATTTTGGAAGTATCCACACTCAAAGATCACTTGCAAATAGACTGTGAAAAGAAGCACCTGGTCAAACAGTGCACACAGTGTAAGCAATCTATTCCCGTGGAGCAATGGAAGAAACACACTTTGAAAAAGACATGTACAGGTGAGTTTCCAGGTAGCACTGTCAAATATGAAGTCTAATGCATTCCATATCGCCATAGCTACCGCTGAAAACCAATCCAGATGTCCCTTCTGTCAACTAGACATGACTCGATCCTCAGAAGCTCAATGGAAATCACACTTGATCAACAAATGTACCAAAAATCCTCGAAAAAAGCTGACCAAGTAGTGGATCTGGACGAAAAAGATACCCGCTCATTATCGTTTCTCGTATAATAAAACAGGATGCATTTATACCACATTTGTTTATTCATATATGTTAGATCATGATGCTTGGCTTGTCAAAAACCATGTTGTTTCTCTATTGAATTAAAGGGGATGTGAGCGAAAACAAAGACTAAATGACACTCTACTCTGTACTTACAGGTGATCGGCTAGCTTTGTTCTTGGATCTTGCTCTTGCCAATTCAACAATTTGGGCATCAATTCTACTCTGAAGGCAGGAGCTGAAATCGTAATAGCCACCAGTTAGATCAATGGTCGCCATTTTACTTTCGTTTGTAAATCTCTCCATGTTTTGTATCGAGGAAGATTTTGTCAGTTGCAATACATTCTTTTCCTTTTCACTGAAATGCTTAAACAAGTCGTTTTTGTCACCACTACTCATGATCATGGACGTGGATACCTCCAGTGCTGCTGCTGATGAGGCGCTTTTGATAGCAGTTGGAGACATGCTTCCTGATGTCAGCATGGCTGTATCTTGTAAGGAAGTGTTTTTGGATAGAGTGACAGGGCGACATGAGGTTTGTTGATCGCTTTGGCTTGTTCCTAATGGCGAAATTCTGCTTTTGCTATGTGTTGGGCTTTTCTTGTAGGGTTGGCGAGTGGTTTTTGGCAGCGGGAACTTTTGTAATGCGTCTGTAATCTGTGCCATGGTTGCCAGGAAATCAGAATCTGTGAGTATGCTTGCTGCTTCTGTGCTGGCGGTATCTGCAAACTGGAATCAGGAAGAGTTGGTATTCTGTGTACGTTTCAATTGGCTGTAAAAGTGATTTACCTCGTCCATAACAGGGCTATTGTTACCTACGGATGCAAAATTTAGTGCTGTACTTGTGTTACTGTACTCATTGAGCAAGTCAACTTACCAACATGATAGGTGTGCTATTGATTTTTTTAATTATGATGATATACATATGTTACTACTGGCTATCATGGAGGAAAATACAAAACAAAATACTTGCCCTAAAATCAGTGGGAATACCAATCTTTGATTTGTCGATTTTAATTGTTGGGCGACGATGTGTCGATTTCAGGTACTTTTTATGCATGGACATGTCGGCACAGCTCACTTTGGAGATACTGCTTCCCATCTTTGTAAGATATATATATATATATGAAATAAAGGGGAGAGAAGTAAAGAAAAGAAGCGAGAGTGGTAGGAATCATATCAGTGTATATATCAATTACAAGGAATTTATTATTACAACCGTATACATCTTGACCTTTTTTGTCGGAAAATTACAAACTACTCTGATTTCTTGTCCTCTGCCATCTTATCGTTGATCTCCTCAATTGCCTTGCTCTGCTTAGCCCATTTGTTGGAATACGAACCATACACTAATCCAGCTGTTAAAAACACAGCGCTCCATGCTTGGGCTTCCATGGGCTTGATGATGGGAAGACTCAAGTATTCACAGAAGGCGGGTGTAGTGGCAAATACGTAGAAGAGAGAGGTGAGGAAAGAGACCTTCATGTCCACAGAGGCAACGTGCAAAAGGCGAGGTGTAGAGAATGACCAATTGGGCTGATTCAAGCGGAAAGCATCTTAATGTTGTGTTAGACTCTCCACAAGCTTACTCAATGGCTATACACTCACCTATCCAGAGACCACCACCGCAGCCAGCCAGCGTACCACACAATACCTTTGCTACAAATTTATCAGCACCTAAAGCTGGATTGGCACTCACTCCTTCGACACCGACTTGGATCATGGCCAAAGCACGCAAGATACTATCGGACAATGTAAACACATGCTCGACCACTGGGATGGAAAAGAGGAAATCGACCACCTGATAGACGTAAGGGTTTGAGAACATGGCAAGATAGGTAGTACTGTTTGGTGAACGTGATGAGCTCAAGTATAAATGCAGAGATTAGCGCAACACCTTACCAGTGGATGCCCCAGAACTCATTGCTCTTCAAGATACCAATAGGCTCGCCTCTCAACACGGCCACAGTACATCCACCACCAGTGGCCATGACGAGTGTAGCCAACAAACCTTGATACCAGCCTACCTGATTATGTGAGACGCCTAATGCTGATCGATAAGAGTAATTGATGAGGATGGCAAACAAGACATCCAGCACGGGCAATGAGAAATTGACAATGGGAATGTCCACTTTGAGGTTGGCCAAACCAAAGACGAGTTGCACTACTTGATCGTTTAGAGTGGGAGGAGCTTCCATATTATAATAAGAGTGAAAAGGAAAAAAAAAGGGGGAAGAAGATAAACGGTTACTTGATTTTTTTCATCTTGCATAGAAGAAATCGAAAATACAGCGCCCAATCAAGTACCCCTGTGGGAATTTACCTTGAGAACCAAAATTCTACAGCACGCTAAAATATACCTCGAGATAGGTCAATCCAAAAAAAAAAAGACAAAACAAGTCGTTCTCTCTTACTTTGTTCTTTTGAATATACCCTTCTGTAACATGTCTATTCTTATCTTATCAGCAAATGATATCAACCAGCTCTTATCTCAGGGTGACCCAAAGATGGCCAATGCCATTGTAGATCTCATGGAAGCTACATTTAGTAAGTATACGCAAGGTCAACAGGATGCTGCAAAGGCATTGGAAGCACAATCCCCACAACGTATTGGCGTTTCAACCGAGACACACAAGGTGTTGTTTATGCCATCTCGATTGGACCACACCACGTCCATCAAAATTGTCAGTGTGCCTACAAAGGACGGTTTGAGCGGTTTACCTGCTACCATTCTCGTGATCGATGAAAAGACTGGCGGTGTAGAAGCTGTCATGAATGCAGATGCTTTGACTGCCGTGCGTACTGCCGCAGGTGGGTATTACAATTAAATGGATATACGGAGCGTATAGACTGATAGACGCCGTGTGTGTGTGACATGATAGGATCCGGTGTAGCTACTCGTTACTATGCCCATCCCGAGGCAAAGAACTTGGTCGTTTTTGGTGCTGGTGCTCAAGGCAGGTCGCATGTGGACATGATGATTGCTGTTCGACCGAGCTTGAAGCGGGTTGCTATTTGGAACCGTGGCGAGAAGCGCCGATTGCAATTGATCGAGGATCTCAAGAAGGCGTATCCTGATCGTACATTTGTCTCTGCCAACGAGCAGTTGCAGCAAGAAGTAGAGAATGCTGATATTGTGTGTACATGTACTAATGCCACTGAACCCGTCCTGTTTGGTCAGTGGCTAAAGGCCGGCGTCCATCTCAATTGCGTAGGCTCTTATCGTATGGACATGCATGAAGTGGATGCTGACACTGTCAAACGCGCAGAGCTTATTGCTGTGGATTCTGTTGATGCATGTGGCCATGAAGCTGGTGAGTTGGTCAAGTCTTCCAAGCCTCAAGATTGGATTGAAATGGGTACCATCGACACAAGCAACACGGACAAGGACAGGGGCAAGATTACACTGTTCAAGAGCGTTGGCATCAGTGTGCAAGATAGTGCAATTTCTGGTTTGATGGTAGCAAAGGCAAAACAAGACAACATTGGAAACACAGTTCCATTTTAGAATGTATGATTTAAATGAATATTTATTAACAAGTCTAAAGAGAAACATCAAATGCTATAGCAATGGATATCCATCTAATATTGGTAAAGAAAATATTAGTAAAAATGCCTCGTTATAAAATGATTTTATACATGAGAAATGGAAATGGCGTTTTTCTTTTCTTTATCAGCGAATATGGATAACATCAAGTATACCTTCGTAGGGTATTTGCTCAGGGCTTGACTCTATATTCTCAATCTCATCCCCAAAAGAAGAAGAAAGAATGCCGTTTCCCGTTTTCTACATATACTTGAATCGATGACTTTACCTTTTGACAAGTTGCTAGACAGCAACATGAGGGAAAGAAAGACGTACCTACCCCATCCAGCTTATTTATAATTGCTCACGAAAAAAATTTTCTGTCAAAACATCGAGTCCCCAAACGGTCACCTTGACCATGAGTTGAATGAGTGAGGTTTTAAGATGCCGAGAGAGATTGCCATCAGAGATCACAAGCCGTAGACTAGCCAACAGGTACAGAATGAAGGTAGTTCATATTTGAGTTAATGGCATTACTCTTATTTGCAAATTCATAAGAGATATAACCGCACTTTTATCGATAAGTTGAGTTGAAAGATACCCAGCATTGAAGATCGTTCAGTAAAAGCATCCCGTATATAAATACTTCAAAGCATCACGCCCAAAGCAATGCCAATAGAGACAAATGAATCAAACGCAGTTGCAAGATGATTCTACTCAAGTAAACGCATTGAATGGTGATGTTCTCGGTGTAATTGACATTGATTCCATCCCGGTTTCGCTTGCTTCAATGTATCCACACAGCATCTGATATGGACTGAATATGATTGGATGTACTTTGTAACTACATGAGTGCAAGTCTCGGCTATCCGAGAACTGCAACTTGCTCTTTTTCTTGTAATCCAAATTATCACACTCCCAAATGAACAAAAAGATTCCATGCCAATGTAAATCATCGCTACACTAGGTCTACTCAATGTACTGAAACTAATCCTGGCTTATAGATTGCCGACAGAGACGACGCAAATGCGAGAGATTAAGCCAAAATGAAGCTTGTCAGCGCTGCTTACAGACCAACAGAAAATGCACAACGCAATACATTTACGTGCAGGACGAATTACTAGCAGAGGACAAGGAAGAGAGAGAGAACTCACTGGAGCTTTACCAACAAGTGAGGCATTTGGAAAAACAGATTCAATCACTCGAGACAAGTCTACATCAAGAAAAAGCCCTAATACAAGAACCAAAGTGGGACCTCCAGATAGTCAACGGAGAGCTGCGACTAGCAACAGAAATCAAAAGCCTGGAGGAACTGATGATGTATGGAAAATCAGCGATTCGATACCTATCGCCATTTGGAGACACATTTCGAGCGAAAACGATTGTTCTTCATCAACACATGCACACAAGTCTTGTCAAGAATGCCATGCAAATCATTGCAAGGTCATTCCAGCATTCGGATGATCCAGAATCCACATCTTCACCAAAAGCCATCTCAAAGCGATTTTCAACAGGAGTTACAGCTTTTCTAGAACCTCAGTTCTTTATCGAGCGTTTGATTGCCAACTTCTTTTCCTGCTTCAACGACATTGTATCCATATTGCATGAACCTTCTTTTATGGAGCATTTTCATACGCTGCAAGATCCAATGCAAGACCCTCTTGTATTGGCCATATGCACCTGCTCTGCTATATCAACATGCAAGCACAACTTTTTTAATTCGCATGAAAAGCGGTATTTTAGCGAATACTTTTATGATCTGACCATGGAGAAGCTCGTGGACATGTTTGACGATCCTGGAAAGGCATTGGAATCGGTCTTGGTAATACATTTACTAATCCCTTTTATGGTGACCACATCAAGAGTTGCGGACTCGTTCAAATGGTCTTCTATGGCCATGTTGCTGTGTGATGGCCTACAGAAAGAATACCCAGATTTTGCAAAGGGCGGCCCACACCTACCAAGAATGACAAGGATAAAGTACTCTATCATCCATCGAAACAGCGTATTGCCATTTAGAGATTTCATTACTTGCGATGAGCGTACCTTGATCAAACAACAAAATATACCCATCGACATCTTGCCTGACGAGCCAGAAAAGACAAGGAACATTTTCAAAGTGTTTAATCTCATCTTGAGTCTATCCACACATCCTGCTTTTGTTGCCGTGGTAACACAGGCAAGACAAGTGTCAACAAGCGATAATTCAGCAGTAATTGAAATGAATCTCGAGGACATTATACGATACGAGGATACAATACGTGCATGGTGGTGTCATTTGCCACAAGACGTCAAGATTTGCAACAATCCATTTACCCTGACCAAAGACATGGTTGAAAGAGAGATCAATGCATGCAAAATCACAATGGCGTCCTACGTTCATGTTACAACAATAAAGATTCAAGCCTGCCTTATACAACCAAAATCAAGAAAAGCTCGCGCACTTGGTGACATGGACAACATTGTTAGTGATAAAGCAATTCAACTCGTGCTGCATTCAATCGACATGTGCTTTCATCTGATGAACCAGTTGGAGAAAATTGACTCCTTTTGCTACTGTGAGTATGTCTATGTCTATATAACACAATGTGAGTGACTAACACCTTTTTTTTAATAGCATCTACCAAAATACTCGTGCGTTGCATCGATACCCTGATGATTCTACTGCAAGTGGAAGATGAAAAAATCACGGCCATGGCGCAATCAAGACTAAATGACCACATGCATGCGCTGACTAGACGGGTGTCACCCGATCATCGAGTAACGACATCGGCATCCCCTTTCTCAATGCTTACTGTTGCACCACCTGGACCAACGCCATCAGTTACTGAGCTGTATAAAAACTATCCGTTGCCGCGAGAAGCTTTGATATTTGATATTGTGCGAACTATTGTGGAGCAAAATGCAAGAAATATAGAGGCGTTAAATACATTGTCATAAATAAAGCCGAATGATATTGAACAATGACTCAATCGCTCGTTATTGCAAATGATCATGGTAGTCCTGTATTATTTAAATTAGAACATGCATCTTTTTAGCGTAGATGGGCATCAAGCCATGGCTGACGACAATGAGTTTGACATGGTGATATGTTGGAGAAGACTAGTTTGAATGCGTACAGTATGCTGAATTAAACGTATGGCGAAGGGGTAATTTTGCGTACTGATTCAACTGTGCAGGGTACTGAAAAGACCTCGAGTTTATTGCTCTGCTGTATTACCTACATTGAAATTTGTCCATTTTCACTCTTTTTCCTCATTGCTGATCGACATTGTTCTTAGTAACCTCAAGTCAAACATTCCCTAGTCAAAAAAAATTTGCCCTCTACAACTTTGACTACACATACATCCCACATTTATTTAGTAATTTAAAAAGTTTTACTAGCAGCTTCTATTCAAAGTTAACTATTTTATAAAATCTCTCTTCTCTCAACAACCGTTTGCATTATCGTCATCAGGGCATAAGCGGAGGTCTAAACTGAAACTCGAAAACGAATTCGGAATTTTAAATCTTTAACATGCCGATCTTTTGTCGTTGGATGTTGATGCGAACTTATATTTCGAACGATTGCTGCTAATTGTTATTTCCTGGCATGCAAGCTATTGTATTAAACTATACCAATAGATGCAATAATTGCTGAAGAATAACAACGGCATTTGTGTTAATAAAGGTGAAATTATGCAATTTTAATATACTTAACAAGCTGAAATTGCTGCTTGTAATAACGCAAATGGCCATATCAAGATTGTTAAGATGGATTTTATTTCGATGGGACAAGGCACTTTGATTCTTCAATGATGAATCACATTTGTTGAGAACAGGTCGAAGTGAAGCGTTAACAGATGTTTTGTTTTGTTAGAGCTTCCAACGAAATTCAATACAATTAGGTATTATAGTATTTAACCAGCAGCAAGAAGTGAAGCTGCCCTAGGATGCAAGAACAAAACTTAAACAGGGCATACACATGAGTTCTCTTTAAGAAATTCAAATATCGAATTGTATCCATTAGCTTTTCTAAAGATAAGCATATCATTATCCAAAATCCTCCCTGATTCAAATCTCAATCCACTATTTATTTAAGAAAAGCAGCCATATCAAACACATCTTCTCCCTCCTTCTTTACCACCACACCTTGCTCAGTGACAATAGCCGAAATCAAACTAGCAGGAGTAACATCGAAACTAGGGTTCCAAACACCAATTTCTGCAGCAGCTGTACGAATAGTAGTAGGCTCATTATCATTCACACGCACACCAGCAACTGTAACTAATTCTTCAGCAGGACGTTGTTCAATAGGAATATCATCTCCACTCTTGGTCTTGAGATCGATTGAGGTGGAAGGTGCAGCCACAATAAACAAAATGCCATGGTGTTTGGCAGTGATGGCTAATTGATAGGTACCAATCTTGTTGGCAGTATCACCATTAGCAGCAACACGATCAGCACCCACCACGATGGCTTGAACATTGGGGTTTTGTTTCAAGAGAGCAGAAGCCATATTATCGCAGACCAAAGTAGCAGGGATTTGCTCATATACGAGTTCATAGGCGGTCAAGCGAGAGCCTTGGTTGTAAGGGCGAGTTTCTGTACAGTAGGCATGTTCGAGCTTGTTGTTCTTGTGGAGATCACGAATGATACCCAAGGCGGTGCCCCAACCAGCAGTAGCCAAAGATCCAGTGTTACAATGGGTCAAGACGCTGATATTTTTGGGATTCTTTGCATTTTCAACAATGTAATCAGCACCGAATTTACCAATGTTCTTGTTGTCCTTAACATCGTCAATCAACATTTGTTCAGCAGCTTCAATGTAAGCAGTAACGACAGTAACAGGTTCTTGAGCAGTTTTAGCTGTAGTGTTGATGAGATGTTCGAGCTTAGCAGCAGCATCAAACAAGTTGACGGCGGTAGGACGAGATGTTTTGAGGTATTCTAATGACTCCAACAAGAATTTGACGGCTTGATCGACAGTTTCGAATTCACCTTGCTCGAAGCGAGCATTGACATCGACAGCCAAAGAAAGAGCAGCGACAATAGCGATGGCAGGAGCACCACGAGTCTTCATGGTCTTGATGGCAGCATGGCCATTTTGAACATTCAACACAGTTTCAAAGATGGTCTCATGAGGCAAGACGAGTTGATTGAGGATGCGAAGATCACCTCTGGTATATTTGATGGCTTCGAGGGTCTTGGCTGTGAAGAAAAAAAAAAAAAAAAAAAAAAAAAAAAAAAAGAAGACATGTGAGTCTGTTTGCTTCACGAGCATGATGCATGAGTATCACACTCACTGTTGTTGTTGTCAGTCATTCTGATGAAAGGAAAGAGAAAGATGGCTAGCACTAGTCAAGGTGAGCAGTAGATGCTTAAAATTTCGTCATTTCTCAAATAGCCTTTCATCCCATCCATCACATCAAACGATACCCTGATTGGGCATCCTGGACTGCTCCCAGTAAAGTTTTTTCAATGCGTGTTGCACTTCCCTGTTGGGTATTCAGCGGCTCTTTTTTTTTTTTTTTTTTTTTTTCGTTTTTCGTTTTTCGTTTTTCTCTCTTATCACACACACATATATACATACCACGCAATGAATATTGATGAATATTTGGATTTGCAAGACCAAACAGAAACTAACTTGCTGTCAACAGAAGACACTGCATCAGGCCATGCAGCACAAGAGCATGAGGTTGAATGGCATTCAGCTCCTCTTGACACATTGAATAACAACAGCTTTTCTAATGATTGGGGTTTGTTGCAACAGAATGGGCTTGAGGGTCTTGAGGGCATAAATTTGACTGATTTGATTGCAGCCGGTTCTGCTGCTACTGCTGGTATGGATGCAGCAACAGCAGCAGCTTTAGCATCAAATGAAAATCATTTCATCACGCCTGGCTCATTGATGAAACAACCACCGCCACCGCCCATCATCATACCCACTGTAACAGCAGCACCACCAGAGGAATCAACACAGCAGCAAGAACAAAAACGGGTAACGCGATCAAGATCAAAACCAGCTGTGCCATCTCCACTTAAAAAGAAGAGAGCTACCAGAGCCAAGAAGCTGTACTGTACGTGCCAGCGACCCTACAACGGTGAGCCCATGGTGCAATGTGACACATGTGAGGAGTGGTAAGTATTTGTCACTCAAATAGCGCGAGTAGAATTGTTTCTAACTTGAGATATGTTAGGTTTCATTGCAACTGCGTCGACTTTAATCCAGACAACCAAGAGGACGATGAGGAGAATATTGATTGGGTTTGCAACCAGTGCAAAGAAGGTATGTTGATCATTTCTTTTTTTTTTTTTTCTTTCCGTCTATATGGGCATCATATACACACACACACGCACGAGAGTAAGTCTATGCGATCCATTTGACCACATTTCTCGTCGTTTTGAATGTAATGAAACATGATTTTTCTTTGTATTACATAAATATCTATTCAATGTACATTATAAACTGCTGTTATTCCAATCTATTTTATAAAATCGTTTATTATATAAAAAGCAATGCCATCTTTCATTCATGCAAATTTTCATTCGTTGAAAAAAAAGAGAGATCAACGTGATCATGCAGAAGAACAAGGCCATCCCATTCCATCCCCACTGCTTGTGTGCGTGTGTGTGTGCACCTGTCATGCACATATTTGACAGGGCAACGTGTCAAATAGCCTGCTTCCCTATGACTGTGTGCGTGTATATATTATGCCTGTGTGCGTGTGTGTGTGTGTGTGTGTGTGTGTGTGTGTGTGCATCTACTTGTGTCAGCGACTAATCTCTTGTGTGTATTATAGGTGCCAAAGAAACCAAAGCAGAAGAGGTTGCAGTCAAGGAAGAGGTAATAAATCAGCACACGCATGAGCATGACGGTAGACTCACTCTTTGCACGCATTTTTAGAAACCCACAAGCACTCGTCAGACCAGAACACGCACCCAATCCAAATGCCTTTACTCTGGCTGCAGCAATCGCACTCGAAAGGACTCCTTCTGCAGCGATGTCTGTGCTCGCAAACAAAACGAATTAGAGACGCCTGCTTCACGACCCACCAGACGTACATCGGCCATGCGCACAAGTGCACAGTCAATGGCACCAGTCACCAGCAAAGAGAAAAAGAACAATAGTAAACAAACGGAAGGAATGGATAGTCAGCAAGAGGACGATGACAGTGATGCAGACGAAAAACAAGATGAAGAGGAGGAATTTCAAGCTGAAGATGATCCAGAGGACGATGATGAAGAACAAGCACCTCAATCTGCTACACCTGACACGCCCATGTCACCCAGCCAAATGACAGAGGAAGAGAACCCAGTGCGACGCAATGTCATCAAGAACATGAAGGCTGTCCTCAAATCCATCTTTGACGTTGCCCTGACTGAGAATGCCGATATGATGGAAGAATCCACACTGACAACGGAGGAAAGAGCAGAAGCACTCGCCAAGTCGATTGAAAACACCATGCTGGAGCAACTGGGCGATGGAGGGCCAAACAAGAAGCGTCGTACTTGTGGAGAGCCTTACAAGAGCAAATTTCGCTCCTTACTGTACAACCTCAAAGACAAGGCCAACAAGGTTTTTCAAATCAGAGTAGTTACTAATGATTTGACACCAGATGAACTGGTCAAGATGTCCTCTGAAGACATGGCAAATCCTGAGCTCAAGTCTCTGTCTGAAGTGTTCCGCGAGAAGGGACTCAAGAATTCGGTCATGAAGATAGACAATACACCCATCATCAAAAAGACGCATAAGGGAGATATCATCATGGTGCCTGATAAAGACAACGACAACATGTACTCTGAGCAAGTGCAACAGGAATTGGACAAAATTAACAGACACAACAGCTCGTCTTCGTCCTCATCACCCACGTCTGCATCAGCAGGGACAGCCATCTCACCTACCACGACGAATGCACAAGCGGATACGAATACCAGCAAGAAACCCATCTCCAGCCTAAGTCCCACCACCAGTTCTACTCATCAAGCTGATCCCCTGGACGATATATTGGCCCGTATTGGTATCCCTGCACAAGAGGATACTTCCCATGTGTCCAACAAACGAAGCGGATCAATGTCTAGTACTACGTTTGCAGAGGATGTAGATCCCGAAGCCAAAAAGAGACGAGTTACATTGGACGTAGAGCAGCTGCTGGGCGATGAAGACGAGACATTTAAGGTGGATGAAGTAGACACCACTGAATTGGAAAAGGAAGAGGAGGAGGAGAAGGAGAAGGAGGATGCGGCTCAAGAGGTACAAGCACAAACACAAGATGAAGATGACTCGCAGGCAGTACTCCCTACCATCTGGCAAGGTCGTGTTAATATGCCACAAGTTGCAGAGTTTGAAGCCTCAGCTCGACAAATCGGAGGCCGTTTATTATCAGAGGCGGAATGGGACCAAGTACTTTCACCTACCATGTGGATTGAAGGCCGTATCCCATCTGAGCGTGTTACCAATTATGTGACACAGACACAGTATTCCACTAGTCGTGAAATCGTGTTGCTGGAAGTGGAGGCAAAAGGGGGCGATGCCAATCCACAAGGTCAAGTCTTGCTTAATTACCTGGACTCAAGACAACGCTATGCCGTAGTTGGACACAACAAGACCAGGATCAAGGATTTCTACTTGATTCCTTTGTACAAAGTGCAGCACATTCCAGATTGCCTGTATGTCGTCCGTGTGGAAGAAACCAAGCGACAATGTGATTTGTTTCTGGGCGTCTTGGTGCTTACAAAGCATGTGCCAAAGCCTATCGTAAAGCAACCATTGTATTCCCCTGAAACATTACCACGACCACAGCAGCAGCAACAGCAACAGCCGCCTTATCAGCAACAGCCTTACATTCCATCTTCATCTTCATATCAGCCGTCTTACGGATACAATTATAACACTACGCCTCAATCATCAAATAATCACCGCTATGGTAATTACTCATCATCATCCGCATCATCATCTTACTATCGACCCTATTAAAATGCATTTCATCTGTCTCATATGTCTTTTTGTCATATAACTAATGCCGAAACAGCTTATAGTAATAATAATAAAAAAAAAAAAGTTATCAAACTCTTATTGAAACAGGAGATCCTTTAACGGGATAATGTTTACGTGGTATGACCCAAAAGAGAGAGCCAGAAGCGGCCGTTGGGAGATTACGATAATACAAACCATTGTTCCGAATACGGTTCTGGATTCATCAAAAAATATGTGTGTGTGTGTGTGGGGGGGAGGAGGAGTAGACAGTATGAGAGAGAGAGAGAGAGAGAGAGAGAGAGAGGGGGGGGCATTAAACTTTGTTTGCTTGTGTTTGGTGTGTGATCCATCTTTTATATTACAAGAGCATGCTTCATTAACTTTAGGATCGCCATTCACAAGCAAGCAAAGGAGACAGATTACCATCACCGTCATCATCGTCATGCATCGGCACCACCATAGTGTATTATTCACTCGCGCTAGTATGCTTATTTAGTGTAACGGACCTTCCATATGATTTGCTTGAGAGTGTATGCATGGCTAATAAGCAGATCATTGCATTTCATGCTATCCGGAGAAACAATAACTATGGGTAAACTCATCCAACGCAAGATCCCATGAACACATCTCACAATAAGCAAGCTCTCCTTCTCCCCCCCCCCCCTTTTTTTTATTTTACAAGTCAACTTGGCAAATATGATGAGATTGTCAAACGTAAGACAGACGCACAATTGACTCTACATGGAGTTATTGTATCCATGGTGATTACATATGATTAAGAAATAAGAGGGGGAAGTGCAACTCTCCTGTACCCATTATCGTCATGATGATATTACGATCAAGCCTATTGCTGATTGAATAAAAGCCCTGCATTGGCTTGAATCAACTATTGTATATTGGACACGTCAAAAGAGGTGCCTGTTTACTTTGTATGAAGGGATTGGCAACAATAAAACAAATGGAAAACTTGTTAAATTTAGAAATTCCTGATAGTTTAAGTTTTTTTTTTGTTTATTTTTAAATAGGGCTCTGGCCGTGATTAAATGTAGAGAAAAGTTCCCAGCACAAGTTGCCTTTATATTAACCCGTTGTCAAGTGGAATCAGATTTGGGGGGTTCTTTCTCCATCTTTTTTTTTTATATAAAGACATGCTATCTTGCAATGCATCCCCTTTTTCATTTTTTTTTTTTTTTTGTTTTTAAAAAATTATCATTTTCAAATATACCTTCATTCATATTGCGCTGCTACATGTAAATCCTCTACACTGTCATATATAAAATACCATCATCATGTTAAGATTCGACAATAACACCACCATCTATAGCAACATCAATAATGCAACTGTCAAAGGTGAGTTTCGCCAGTGAGGATATATATATATATATCGGAGCTGTGATTCTAATGACACACATATGCAAGCAGTAGCATTTCCTTGGCTCCGAAAGAAGACGAGTAGCTGGTCTCTACGCTCTTCGACCAAGAGCATTAGATTAAACTCATTCTCATCCACCGTCTCATTACCTCTCTCCGTTGCATCTACCGCTTGCTCTAGCAATTCATCCATAGAGGGAGAAGACGAGGAAGAAGAAACACAACATGTTTCCACAACACTCATTATACCCGAAGAAGACGAAGAAGAGGAAAGCCAGGAACAAGAGGAACACAAAGATTCACCACCTGATTATGATGACCCTTCTCATCCCTGGATATTCAAATTTCCAAAATCATTATCAAGCAGAGTAATTATACCAAGAGAAGAAGAAGGCAATGAGAAATTACCAGATTATGAATGCTCGATTGATAAGATGTCATACATGCATGTAAAGTGTGAATTCAGCAAGCCCAATGTGAGATCAAAGAATCGGTCCTGGAAGTAAGTATATTCATCACTCGCGCATTGGCAGAATACATGGACTTATAGACACATTGCTCTACCTGTAGGGACTACTATGTGGTTATTTATGGCACCAAGATCACTGCCTATCATCGCAATCCCAAAAACAAAAAGTCAACCACACCAGCTTGGAGTCATTCTATGCACGGCGCGCAAGTAACTGTGGCATCAGATTATGTCAAATTCCGCCATGTCATTCGACTCAATATACAGGATGGACCGCAATACCTCATGACAACACCGAATGAGGCTGCTAGGAATGAATGGATAGGTGCCATAGAGTCCTCTATACACATCAGCTCGGATTTGGATGTCAGAGCTATGCCACAGTTTGTCACTTTGAGTCGGAGGAGAAGACTTAGACAGAGAAGAGCTCAACAACAACCAACGGCTCAAGATGAAACGCTTGTATGATAACAATTAGAATAAAAAGAAACTGTATATAACCCCCCTGCCAATTTTTTGTCTTTTGGTGCAAATGAACAAAGTTATGTTTGCATTGTTTTAGTGTGATTGGCTCATGAAATCAAAACGATTTACTTTAAAATCAACGTCAATTGAAGAGCATTAGATGTACAAACCAATCAAGATGTGTACGCATCAAAGCTGTACATATTTGAGCTTCATTTTCAAGGTAAAAAACGTGATCGTTTGATTTTCGCTGAAAACCATGAGGTATACCTCAGATTTTTGGTCGAATTTTGACGATCCCATAAAAACTGAGCAAAGGTGTCAAGCAGTTACTCTCTGACGAGAGCAACTGTGGGATGCTACTCTAGTGGCGTAAAACGGCTTCCAGTATGAGAAATCACAGCTCAAATGTACCTAGTTTCTGCTGTGTTTAGCACGTTTTTGAGCATAAAAAGGTACAATGACAATGGTACGCACTCATACATGAATCGCTCGCGTTGTTACCAATGTAGAGCATCTTACGAGAATCAGATCTATTGTTGCGAGCTGTTTATGGATTCCTCTCATGATAGTAAAATGTTCAAAGCGATGTTTTTGTATTGTAAAATCTATCAATCAAACATTAAGGGACATACTTTGCTATGTGTGGCCTGATCTGACTCTGTGCCAGTGAAATTGTGCTTTTGTATCTGCCTGTAGTCTGTACCAAAAAACTGCCAACGTCTCTTAACAACGAAGCATAGTAATTTGTGTCTATAAGTCAGTTCTTAATAAGAAAATGAAGCCCAACTGGGCAAAAATGGGGATGCGTGATGGATGTGAGCCCTTTCCAAATGTTGTAATGTACACCCAATGCTTACATTGATGTGTTTATATATTTCAAGTGATCAACGGCTGTCAGCTTTAACCCTCTTGTTGAAATCTCGTATGTGGTTCCCCAAAGCATTTTAATTGTTTTTAAGAGCAAGACTTTATTCATTGATAGTGTAATTTAATGAAAATGGCGGTACCGCCTAAAAGAAGAAATGCTTTACATACAAATGAGTAAGCGCTGACACCTCTTCCAATTTCGAGCTTAAGAATGCTAATGTCGCCAGATACTCGTCATACCTTTGCTCTATAGCCTCTAAACCCATAACAATTATGTCCCTTTCGCTGTCATTTTCCAGCCTTTGATCTCAATTCCAATCATTTGTCAAGCGAAAACTGTAATTGCTACAATACATAGGTGCCAATACCGATTTGAGCATGCACTATAGCCTCGACATGAACAGGAGCAACGTTTTCATACGTAACAGAGAAAAGGGAGGCATGTGTGAGGCATATTGATTGAAAAGACGTTTACTTGGCGCTGACCATCCGCATTGATATCCGAACAATCGGTAATCTAGGGACGGTATAAGTTTGGGTAAAGTTGGTTGATTTGGGGAAACATGTCAATGCCAATTACAGCATGCTTAATGTCCAACTTTCCTTGCTTCCCTTTTATATGTGAGTCTACTCCAATTGGCTTGTATTCAAGAAGCTTCACAAGGATAGACAGCGTCTTCAATGAAGGCAGAGCCTCGAAAGAATGGCCGATTGAAGCCAGTTGTTGGCCAGCGATTGGAATCCACCAACGAAGGCGTAAACCGTCTATCCAATGATGTCCAGTAGTACAGCGACCAGACGTGGCACGTAATTCATCCAGGATGCCCAAGGAAAAATCGCTTGAGGTTGTTGTATCCCACTCTAATGATCAACTGCTGTCGTTCCTCGGTTTCAATAGTATTTATACAAGCCTTGCACCTACCGTCTTCCTTGAAGGCACATCCATATCTGATGCCGACAGACATCTTGACTAGCTTGTCTCTTTTACCACAAATTCCAAAGAGTGAGTGCACGGCGGGCAACCCGATATCAACACGAATATATGGTATATGCCTTAACGCACCCAAAAATTGATTGGAAGGTTCTTCCTGACAAGATAACGAGCTGTTACGTTGGAAGGCTGCTGACTTTTTCCACGCCATCTACTGTCCATGCCCTCATGCTAATACCGCCTGGTGGAATGTTTCATCAATGTCAGGATATTCTAGCTTGGGCCCGCGTAGGAAAGGGCAATTTTTCAGTACACTATCTAGCCCCTTCATATTCTAGAGAGATTTAGCATTCAAAGTCAATCCCTCCAGGTGTTTGAATCCCTTGAGCTTGTTGAGAACAGGATTTCCGTTGCTGCGTTCCATTGAAAAATGTAAATGTTAAAGCCATCGTCATCAACAATTGGGAACAGCGTTTCGCTCTGATCTGAAATGTGATTGCTGATTGCCCTTTTCCCTTCTCATTCCTTTTTCACTGACTACAAAAGGATTGTTTTCTTCATTGAATTGATTCTTCCTTATCCGAAAGTTTAGCCTGCTAATCTGTCATGCCATCCAAATTGCGTTCTTGGAGGCTGGAGTATGGATTTCCACCAATGTGGAGAGAGGCAAAAACGTTGTAGCTGATTGATATAATACAACTTTGAGCACGGAAACAATTCAAGCTTAATAAGAGAGATACTTGTTTAACGTAGAGTGAGCACCATGGAAGATGGAGGAGAAACGCAGCACGAGTCCAATTGATGGTAACACTGGAGGTATTTGAAGGGGCCTGTCGATGTGATTCCAATGCAGTGTACAACATCATCCTAACAGTGTGGGGTGCTATATTTATCCAAATGAGCAAATTAGCATCCCCCTGTGGCATTGTATGCGACAGCCATACGCATGAATTTTATGCTGTTTATGGTAGTGCAAATTTCTTCCGATTTGAGTGTTATAATCCAAACCATTGATTTCGGGGAAAAAGAGCGCCAACATCTATGTACAATGTGGGAAGGGTTCATAAGGGGCAAGCACATCAAGTTGACACATATCAATTATACACAGTAATGCTATTAATAAGAATCAAGACAAGGGATTTAGAAAGTTGTTCATGTTATATATATAGAAAAATTGATGATGTGGTCAAAAGCTAAACTGAAGAAACAACCTTAACTTTCTCCTAGATACCCTCCTCCTCGTCTTGCACTCTTCTTCCTCTTCTTCTTTTCTCGTTATTTCTTGTTCTTTTATCCTTCTTGATATGTTGTATAGGACATATTGTGTAAGTTTCCGAGTTTGTTCACCTACATAATTACGTCTTTTTTTTTTCCTTGTTATCCCTTAATTAGATTCTGCTTTTCTACTCTATTTTGTTTTCTGCCCTCTTTTCCTCTTCTTTTTCTTTTTTCCCTTTCTCGAGCAATCCAGCATGATGATGATGGCGGCTATTGATGACAAGATAGGTGATCGGTATAAAAAGATCAAGGTGTTGGGCAAAGGGAACTTTGGCCAAGTCTTTCTAGCAGAAGAGATCAGCACCAAGAAAAAGGTGGCGATAAAAGTAGTCGACACCACACGATTCAAGAATGAAGATCAAAGACAGCATGCAGAGAACGAGACGGAAATTTGTAAACTGCTATCAAAAGACTTTCAGCACCAGCATATTGTCAATGTAGATCAAGTCAAAGTCGAAAACAAGTGTATTTATTTCATTTTGGAATATGTGGAGGGTGGCGAGCTCTATGAAAGAATCAAATTGGAGGGAAAGATTGACGAGCCACAAGCAAAGATATGGTTTCGAGAATTAATTAGTGCGGTTGCATATATTCACAAGGTAAGTTGCTGCGTGAAATAAGATAATATAACAATAAACAAACCGTACATGACATGATGTACAGCATGGCATTGTACATCGTGACCTGAAGCCAGAGAATGGTAAGTCATCCTATTAGCTTTACATGTTGTCATTTACTAACGCCAACTGTAGTTCTCTTGGATAAGCTAGGATCCATCAGGTTATGCGATTTTGGGTTTGGAAAGATGTTTGATGCCACTAAATTACTCGATACGTATTGCGGAAGTCCCTTTTATGCAGCACCTGAAATGGTCACTGCCACACCCTATAGAGGTCCCCCTGTCGACATGTGGAGCTGTGGAGTCATTTTGTATGCAATGTTAACTGGTCAATTACCATTTCATTGTGATACCATGCCAGAATTATTCAAGAAAATTAGCTTGGCACAGTACTCTGAACCTAGTTCCCTTTCGGATGAAGCACTTTCTCTGATCAAATGCTTATTATGCAGAAATCCAAAACGAAGAATCACAGCAGAGGGTGTACTGAAGCATGCTTGGTTAACAGGTAATCCCAAGCGAATGTACAAAAAAAAGAGGCACACATTCAACAGTATACATCACTCGTTCATCATCAACAACAACAATCCCACTTACTGCACTGTATCTCCATCACCCACAAACACGTTGCCTTCGCCTATTATCTCAGTGGGCGACGATGAGTTGGCCTCTTACAGCAATACACCGGATAATAGCAATCAAAGAGCTTCCAAAGCAACCCGATTTCTGTTGCATGCACTCAACAAAAAGTCCCAGGTGGCACCATCAAGAGAAAAACCAAGAGATTCTCATAGCAAAAGGGCAAACAAAACCTTTCTGGTCACCGCTGAGCGTATCAAACGATTCTTTTCATCCACATTTGTTCAAAGAAGATTAACAACTACCTAATATATACTAATTGCTTTTCATGCTACCACACTTTTTTTTTTTTTTTTTTTTTTTTTCACATGTACATGACATGACATGATTCCCACCTGTACTTTGCTTTCAATCTAATTTACAGTTGCTATCCCTATAACCACTCGATACCATACCACACGTACATACACACGTTACTAAATATTAATAAAAACCTAGCATAGCAAACTGTACATGCGCAAAGATGTATGCATCCATTGGCTTTTATCATGCGTCTGGGACACGTCTAGCCGATAATTCATCAGACAAAGCGGCTGTCCTTGCACAGAGGGTTTTGACGCCAATTTTCAATAAAGGATGCGGTCTGTCATTTGTTGCTATTCGACAAGGTCTTTACTGATTTAGCTTCATCAGCTACCAAATGTTGGTGGCTTTTTTTTCAAGCGAATTTATCTAGTTGTCCTTCCTTTCTGTATCTTCTTTATCAATGTATTCTTCCTTTTCAGTGTTTTCAAATCACTTTCAGGCTTGATACTTCCATGTATGCAGCATTGTACTCTTGTCTGGCATGTTTGAGATTGTGGTATAAATCAGAGTCGATTTGCTAGTGCTTTTTTTTTTCGTAATTGCGTAATATATTACCGCAATTCATATCAGATAATATTTTATTGCATTCTATATCGTTCATAATGACATCGTCTTGCATTCTATATTTAATAACGCTAGTCTGGACATTGACGATTCATGGGCTGCGTAAGATGTCTGCAGTAAGTAGTGAAATCTCTAAGGCTCCAAGACGTCGTTCAAAGGGAACGTTGACAGTATTGAGCAGAGAAAAGAGGGTAGAACTAACAGTGGTTTTTGTTGATTGATTGTAAAATCATTATTCTCATACGAGCCAGGCCAGACAGATGCCTTGAAACTCAGGTTCCATATTAGAGTTGTAAAGTGTCTAAGGACTGAACATTTATTATGTTATGATATTAAATCAAAATGTTTGTTTCGATCCAAAGCAGCTTCTGAATCAGTTTTTTGAGGCCATTATATGCAAAATCTGGATATTTTTGCTAAAAACCGTATTTCATATTCTACCAAATTGCTCAATAATTTCATTCAAATTACTTATCACAATTAGCACCATCGGAAGTGCCTTGAAAAGTACTTTAAGAATGTATTAGGAAGTGGTGGACAATTATCAATTTTATATAGTCGAATCTGTCAAAATAGATCAATCAAGTCGAGAAATAATAGAATTTGGCCAATATCAAATATACTATGAGTCTGAGTTGAAATTAATTTTGGCTGGTGGTGCCGGCTGGTAAACTCAGGGCCCTTCTAATAATCATGAAGGCAATTAGAGATGCTTCTGAAACTAATGGAGAGTAGTTGGCAAATTGCATAGTGCTTGTTAAGCACGAAGAATAAAAGGATTATTATTTGTAGCTTATAAAAAATGTTCGATATTATAAAAACAAGAAAAGACTTATTTGAATAAGATCAGACACAAAAACTAAAGATTTATTGATGAAGACAAGAGTTATTCTATTTATACTAAGTTCTGAATGCCAAAGTAGCAATTTATCTTGTACAACGCTTATCACATCTGGTGAACCTCAGTATTTAGATAGCTGAGATGCACTTCACTTATCATAGCTTGTCCATGTTGTTGCACAACACAGACATATCTACCCATCAAGAATACCTTAATCTTTATAGACAGTTGTAGCCCTTCTGGCACAACAGTGCTGTCGTTATCCATGTTATTTTCCCATAAGGTCTTATATTTGATGACGTCAATTCGCCAATTCACTTGTAAGATCAACTGCTTCTTTTCTTTTTGAGGCTCTGAAAGTGTCTAGGGGCCATAAACTTATTATGTTACGATGGTTACTAGTTACAAATTTGTATAATAATGACCCAGCAGAATTATGCATACTACCAGTAAATTACTAGAGATTTCGTATCTATTTTCCTTTGACGACCTTCCCTCAAAATACATCAAAAACAAGCTTATTTGTATGCCAATTGTAGAATTACTTACATGTGCAGTACCATTCGATGCGCATTCCAATTCCGTACCGACATACGTGGATAATATAACTCTGTTAGGGACTGTTGTTTGAGAATGCTTCTGCCTACAGGTGATAAGAAGATACAGGATCTTGAGGAAAACCATGAAGGGAACGTACATTTGAAGCCGGGAACTTTTACCTTACGATAAATCCAGAATAGAGCTATTGAATGGGATTTGTTTTATCTAAATCCGATGCGTCTTTTCCAAGATTTGATCAAAAATGTCCTTGGACAATACTATCAATTTTTGGCCTAAATTTGCTTGTGATAGCAAGGTAACATTGTAGATGGCACTTTTCTTAAACGTACAAAATTCTTAGTAATATCTCATGATACAATCATATTAAAGCTTTGAGACAGGGCTCCTTCGACAGAGGTTTGTTTGCTCTACATTGTGCGAAGTTTAAAAGGTACAGTTGTGTCGACAAAAACTTGTAATATGTCCAAAACAACTAAAAAAGAGCAATAGCTGTCCTATAAAAAAAAAGCAACCTGATAATTTAGGTCAATGCCCTTACAATTCGTATCATGAGATTTTTTCTATGAATTCGACTCTAATTTTGACTTAGCTGGAAAGCAGTGTTATCATCAGAATCGGTCAATTTTGAGGTCGAACGATTTCAGAAATCCATAGATACCTCATTCAAGTTAGCGCAAAGCTTGGGCTGTACGTATTTTAAAATAATGCCGGTATAGAGGGGCTTTCCGTCGCTACATTGGTTGTCAAATAATTAAGCGAGTAAAATGCAAAGGAACCAATATTATATGGAAAAACGAATGTTTCGACAAGCACTATTATATTTACTATTGCCAATTCACTCAAGCTTCTTCTCTATTAGCTATATTCTGTTTTCCTATGCTTGCTCTACCAAAGAATGCCTTGTTTGCACACCTACTGCGATACTTCCTTTCAAAGATCGGATTTTAACTCTGAAATTGGAGTTCATAGTCGCAAAACAACATGTTTTTTTAATAACAATAGCATAACAGAAACACCCTCCATACGGTGCTCAAGTCTATAACGTAAATACAGGGCGTGGTACGACTAGTAACAATGCACAAAAATAATTTTATATGCACCACTACTATAACAAAAGTTAGCCTTGAGCGATCATTTCTTTGAAAATTTGGCGTGGAATGGTTTTTCGGCAGTTTAGCTCCGTAGAACTATTTAAACCCGATTTTAGTATGAGTTGTTTATGTTGATTTTTGTATCGCAGATTATGTAGGTGTCATGAACCTCTGTTCGCTCGAATCTGATACATGATTATTTCGTTGTTTGATCTCGCCAATCTGCTGACACGGATTCAATGATGAATTCGTAATAATTAGTCGATGATAATAACCAGTTGCCAACTGTATCTAAAACGAAAGCAAAAAGCTTCTTTATTACAGGGCATCTAGCTTGCTTAAATATGGTAGATCCCTGGTCAATGACTACTACGTTGAGATGGTATATAAATAGCAGCCCACTGGGGCCTTATGGATTGTTGGTATAGCCTGTTGGGAGGCCACCTAAGTCGATATGTTTCATGTAGTGTAGGTGGATCTCGATATCTTGACATTAGGGAGATTGAATGTATTATTGTAGTTCCAGAGGCATCTGTGCACACACAATTGACTGGGCTTGTAAACATAGATGTGATGTGATACGATAAACATCATCTATGCTGCTACACTGTAAAAGGTGGCTTGAGGAGAAAGTAAATGTAGCCTAAGATGCATGCTTGTATGCAACACTCAACCTGTCTCGTATCAGCCATTTTTCTTTTATTATAATTGTTCAACGCTGTTGTGAATAGACGTTAAGTTTAGTTTTACGACTAAACGTAATACCTTTGTTGTGGACGACCGCCAAAGCGTCCTACTGACCTGAAAAGCATCTTGGTCAATCCGAGCAAGTCGTTCATTCAAATTTGCATATTATCACTGACGCTCAAGCTTTAAATCACTGTATTATTCGAGCATCTCAAAAAGACATGATCGTCAGAATTAGAATAAAAGCGTCGGTAACTTAGGGAATGAGTTCCGTATAATGCAAACCACCAGGGACATTTCACAAAAAAGCTGTAATTTACTTACTTCTTTGGCAGCACGACATACTACGCTTTATTTTTAGGCCAAATTCTGTCCCAACTTAACCATTTTGAAGCCAAAAAACTCATGCCACAAAGCGTTTTGAGCGCTTGGAATAGCACCAAACGACTCCTCTTGGATACGCTTTACTTACTGATGCTTTATCACAATTTTTTTTGGATCGTTGCAAATTCATGAAAATCATTGTTTTTCCATGAGTATTAGCAAGGGAATATTCTTGAAAATCAAACGATCGTGTTTTTTGCCCTAAAAATAAAGACTTTTCCTATGATACATATTAGATCAAATTGATCGTAAAGACGTAATGCAATACTAGAAACCCTTCCTATGAAATTTATATATGTTAGATATTGACATTTCTGCAAAAAACCTGTTTTCAATTATTTCAAGATTGCTCTTTATTTTCGGCCTGAAAACTGAATGTAACCGGCGTCATCCGATGCGCCTTTATCGACTCTATATAAATGCGTTAGAAATTAAAGTATAACAACGACAGTTTTCATAGTTAAATTTAGCAGAAATGTTTAAAGAATGTGAAATCAAGTCAAATTCGAACACGAAAACACCCACTTCACAATTTCAAATTAAAGTGCAGCAGTTATGGCTACCACGGCAGAGTACTGAGACCAAATCTACTGGTCGTGACGTCGGTTAGGGCGCCCTCTCATTTTTCCATACCCCGTTTTTTTTACCCTTTTTGAAAAACGCGTTTACTGTCAAACCACATTGGTTTTGGAACCCTTTTGATTGGAAATAACACTCCAACTTCTGATGACACGGTCCTGCACTATTAAAAGTACTTGATACTGCTTCTTTGAAGTGGAATATAGTAGGTACCATTCGACAACGAGCAGAGAAAGACGTAGAACAAGCACTAATAATCGAATTTATTTACTAGGTTTCGATAAGTTTTTTGCCTGTTTGAAGTGGGTGCTGCTTCCATTACTTTTCTGCTATCTCTGCTGTCTGCTTTTTTGCTTTATTATGTCTAGTAGCTGCTGTTGCTGGTTTTGTTGATATTCTGGTGTTTTCTGGCCTACTGTCTTTGTTGTATACTTGTCCTCTGGTCTATCTCTGGTGGTTGCCTATACTCTTCTGGTCTCTCTGTGGTGGTGACAATAAGTGGCAAGTAATTTGTTTGGTCTTTGTCTGGTCTCTGCAAGTGGCGTTCGTTCTTTGGTTTTTCTCTGGCGCTGGCGCTGGTGCTGGTGCTGCTAATCTGGTGTTTCCTGGTCTGCTGTCTCTGGTGTATGCTCGTTCTCTGATTTATATTCGGTGATTGCCTATTCTCTGGTCCATCTGTGGTGATTGTCTATTCTCTGGTCTATCTCTGGTGGTGGTAAGTGGTAAGTATCTTCTTTCTTCTGGCCGCAATGATATAAAACTTCTTTAAACGTTTGTATTACTGCTTCCTTTCCTATGATACTGCATTCATGGTGTTTGTTTTGTTGCGTTTTTCTTTTTCTTTTGTTGATTGTGTTACCTTTGTGGCTTCACATGAAACAACATTAGTCCTAATGTTCTACTGCAAATTTATAATACCACAGTTGCTTTTGCAGTTGTGCGTGTTTGCGTTGCTTTACATCCGACTATTACCATGCATGTTGCCCATGTGTGCATTTTTGTTGCAACAACAGCGAGCTGTTCTGAACATCTCTGATGTTGTATTTGTTACGCTTTTCTTTGACTCGCTTTGTATGAGTTTCCCTTTTTTGCCTACATACCACTATACTCTTATAGTAGTATGTTCTTTTCTTCATTCTTTTATTATTTTTATGTTTCTTTGAAGCATACCTTTTTTACGTTGTGTGGATGTGCCTATCCCTGAAGCTCAACAAGACTTTATCCGAGGCTAGGAGGTAGATAGGCCGTCTCCACTTGGTTATCACTACTTACTTTAGTGATGATTGAGAGTCTCAACGCCAGAATCTAAAGCTAGGTGGTGTAAGTAAGGCATGCTCTAGCACCTGAGGGAAATTTGATGATAGTAACAGCTATATTGCTATATATAACGGAGCTTAAAATTTTGCCTCACATCAAAACAGGGGGAAACCCTTGCAAATTTTTTTTTAGGTCAGCGGAGTTTTTAAGCGATTTGATTGACTGAGGGGTTGAAAGAGAAAAGGTTTACAACTAGTTGATTTTCTGTTGATTTGCCATTTAATATTATTTTGTCTTTTGTAATAATAAAAGCGTAATCAAATGGAAAAAATTTAAATCCTTCTTTGTTCAAGAGTATTATAAGGTGCAATTATTTGATTTAGCATGCATTAAACATTTATATATAGGTAAGGGGATCTTCTTCAAACTTGATATTATTATTTTGGGGGGAGGAAAGTCATATAGGCATAATAATAGCACGCAATCGAAAGTATTAGGAGAACCCAAATAATACCCGATGCCACACCGAACATGCGTTGTTTACCATTAATATTCAAACATGTTCCAATTTAATGGGTTGCTATCTCTTACCTCATATCAAAGATTCTCAACAAAAGTATTTCCAATGTCGATATTTTAAGCATTCAAAATCAAGCTTTGAAATATTAATGTTAGAGCTCTGCAAGTACCCTGCTACAATAGCGAAATTTTGCGAGAAAATCGACAGTGCAATTAGTAGCATCAGATTGGACGGTTGCTGATGACTAATAAAACGCTAATGATTCTCGAAAAAAGCCAAAGTTGAAGCATGCTTTTCATCTGAGAACCTGTCAACTACTAGCGATTACGAGTATTAGTCCCATGGATGCGATGCTGGAAAGCTGTATATTCAAAATCGTTTGTCGATATCTTGCTTCATTTTGGTTTGACAAATGCTTTTCGCCATAGTACTGCACAATTTACGAAAAAAGGGGGAGCAGCTAATCAAAGCTCCACGTTGAAGCTAGAGTCTTTTTTATATCAGGACCGTTCTATACTTACTCTGAAGGACGGTTGCTAAACATATAGACGGATTTTCAGTCGCTACGTTGGTTGTCAAATTATTAAGTGAGGAAGTGTAAGGTAACCAATATAATCAGAGCAATTCTTGAACGCTATTCTTTGTCCAACTGTCAACTCAACCTGGCTTCAGTATTAATTGAATTTTGTTTCTCTTTGTTCGCTCTACTACAAAATGAAATCTCGTTTTGACACCTACGATACTTCTTTACTAAAGTCGGGGTTTCGACCCACGAGTTGAAGTTTACAGTGGCAAAAACAGGTTTTTTTTTTCTTATGATACCACGAAAGCATCTATGAGGTGCTCAAGCCTATTATAAAATAAACTTAGGGCGTGATATGACTAATAATAGCCCATTAAAAGAATTTTATATGCGCCACTGTAGCAAAAGTTAGCCTTAAGCAATCGTTTTTCGAGAATTTGGCAAGCGCTGATCTATTGAGCCCTATAGATACAAGAAAACTAATGCTGCATTAATTTCTGAGTCTACGCAATATATATTTTTAAAGGTAAACTAGTGCAGTATTAGTACTTGCTTACTTGGAAAACCTTCAAAATATTTGAAAGCAGGCTTGTCTGTATACTACAATCTGCGAAATCATTATCAAAAGCGGCAGTTTCAAAGCGTATTTTAATTGCGCATGCAGTGCCCAAGCATTCATCGAGTTCTGTAGATTTAATAGTGCTGCATCAGTTGATAACAATATCTAATTTAGAGCAACACTTCCGTCAGTTTCAATGAAAAAGCACGCCAGTCTATCCTGTGCATAATGGATGCAAGTAAAGTGCCTAAAACTAATTCTCTGGGAGGGTTGGCTCAGATTCAGCAATGGCTAATCATCTTGACACACTTGGTTATTGGGAAGCCGCTACATTTTAAATAACCATTTCAAAACGTAATTTAACCTTTCAATTCTTTGTATACACTTTATATTTCAATTGAAGTATGATGAATATCCTCAACACTCTCTTGTTGGGACTATTACTATTACACGTTGCCTTGCCAGCAACTGCTATATATGAAAACCAAGCTGGATTATTCGATTGGTAAGTTCATCGAGTCATGGAAACGGAAACGCGAAAAATCTAATATACTCATGTAGGCATCATACCTGGGTTGGCCATCCCCGTGAAGCTGTAAAGCTGGATAATAATCACATTGCAGTGTATTCTGAAAGAAACATCATTGCCTCTCTCAACACGCACACCGGCGCAGTTGGTAAGAAGAGATACATCTATGCAACATGAATCAATACTCACCTACAACCAACTAAAACGTAGAATGGAGACAGGTGCTTGATAATCAGTTGGACCATTTTGCAGCAACAGAAGCAGGTAACGTCTTGGGCATCGATTAAAGCGTACATGCGCTGATAGTGCTGTAGGCATTCTCACTATTTCGAGCAACCCTGAACGTGCACAATTTTGGAACAATACAAACGGCCAATTGATATGGGAGCAAACACCCGCAGAGAACGAGGGTTATGGCAACACCAAGCCTATTGTATGGGATAATGGAGATGTTGCTGTATTTGTGGATAGAACAAAGCTTATTAGACTATCGAAAGATGGCAAGGAATTGTGGACCTGGACTAGAGAAGCCAACGAAGCGTAAGTGTCTTTGTATTGGATATTTGGACGATTTTTATTCACTCGTATATTAGTCAAGTATTTGAAAGACTGAGAGCCTTTGAGAGAGGCGATTTGATCTATGTTGTAGTTGAACCCAACGATGATAGCAGATCACCATTCTTCCTCATCAATGTGATTTATGCAACAACTGGAGAGACCTCTTCCACATTTAAGATCCCATGCGGCGCCAATTATGAAGACGTAACCTACACTGGTGACTATTTGCTTTGGACAGAGGAAGATGTTTTGAAATGGACACCCATCAACAAGAAGGATATTTCGAGTGTCTCCATCAAATCACTTGTCAAATCACTTCCTACCGCAGACAAGTTTGTGCCTAGCAAGATCAGCCTTTTCGGTGGTGATGATGCCCAGCTTGGTTCATTCATCCTCTCTACAGAGTTTGAAGATGACGAGGAGACGTTATTCTCAGCATCTGTGCTTGTTGATATCCAAGAAAAGACACTGAAATTGAGCGAGTACTATGGAGAATACACTGCCTACGGAGGCGCTGACTTCTTCAAGCAATCTACTATCCGTGCCGTCAAATCAGGACCTCAAGAATTAAAGGTGCAAGCTGTGCCTGAAGGAAAAGAATTCAAGATCAAGCACGATTTCTCACTGAGCGGCGACATCAACTATATCAAATTGATCAGCATGGATCCCTTCCGTCTGTTTGTGGTTACTGATGGGTCTTCTGTCTTTTTGTACAACGAATCCTCCATTGTATGGTCTCGGGAAGAAGCATTGAGTGGTATCGCAGCCTCTGAATTTTTGGATCTTCCTGAACAAAAGATGTGGACACAAATGGCTGATGAACTCGATGAAACTGTATCTGAACAAGCTGCCGAAAGCCCCCTTTCCCGCTATATTCGTAGACTCAGCACACACACATTAGAGCTTCGTCGCTTGCCCAACTGGATCGTCTCTCACTTTGTCGGCATGTCTAGCTCTACTTTGAAGGACGCAAACAACAAGGTTACTAATTTGGAAGCTCAATCTTGCTGGTTGAATGAGACAGAGCCCGAGGTTCTGTACCGTGATAACTTTGGTCTGCGCAAGCTGTTGATCTCTGTCACCAACAGTGGCAAGATCATTGCGCAAGATACATCTCGTAACGGTAAAATTGTGTGGAGTCGCTATGTAGACGCCTTTTCCTTTACCCAACTTCATGTGGTCCGCGCTGCTGCTGTCAAGTTGCCTCCTGTCATTGTCGCTGTGGGCAATACATACGATGAAATGGGCGGACAAGCTGTTGGTTTTGTTCGTCTGAATGCCTTGACTGGTGAAAACTACATTACTGCCATCCCTGAGATTGCTGATTTCTTTGAGCCTGTCGTTGCTACCAACATTGGTGTGGATAAGGTCATGCGCTTACCCATCGAAGATCCTGATGAGCGTACTCATATCTTGGCCATCTACGAAGCTGGATCTGGCCGTGTCTACATTTACCCTGATACCATGGCTTCTCAGCAAAAGTTTGTCTCTGAATTCTTGCCCACCTTCTACTTCTCGACTCAAAATGCGGATGGTAACATGCAGGGATTCAAGGTAGTTGAAGGCTACAGAGGAAGTCTCAAGGTGGAGCCTGTCTGGAAGTTCAACTTGCCTCAAGATGAAAAGACGGTTGCTTTGAGCCACAAGCAGCCCAACGAAAAGGTCGCTTCTCTTGGACGTGCTTTGGGCAATCGTAATGTCCTCTACAAGTATTTGAACCCTCACATGTTTGCTTTGATTACCAAAAACACCGAAAAGAAACTGATCAAGATCCGCATCATGGATTCCGTCAAGGGTTCCATCTTGTATGAAACTGTCCACGAAAACGTCGATGTAGAGCACAATGATGTTCATGTCATTCAATCCGAGAATTGGTTTGTCTATCACTTTTGGAGCAACGACGCCAAGGCAAGAGGCTATCAAACAGCTGTATTGGAGTTGTTTGAAGGCGAGCATGAGAATGAGCGTGTTGAAAGGTAACCGTTAGCAGAGTAGTTGAACATCTTATATATTAACCACATCCTCTTTAGAGCCAACTTTTCATCATTTGATAACATTGAACCCCATGTGCTCTCATCTGCATTCGCCTTCCCTTACCCTGTCACCACCATGGGCGTTACCATCACTCGCAATGGCATTTCCACCAAAGACATCCTTTTCGGCCTCCCTACGCATCAAATCATGGGCGTCAACAAGAGACTCTTTGATCCTCGTAGACCCAAAGACAAGCCAACCAAGGAAGATCAAGAGGAGCAACTCTTCCCTTATAGCCCCATTCCTGATGAGAAGCGTCTTTTCTTGACTTATGGCTTAGATGTAGCCGGTGTCAAATCCATCATCACGAGCCCATCCTTGCTGGAATCAACTGCACTTGTGTTTGCTTATGGCATTGACTCCTTCTTTACCAGATCGTCCCCCAGCAAGCAATTTGATGTGCTGTCTGAAGATTTTTCCAAATTCCAGCTATTATTGACCATCACTGGCCTGGTTGTTGGTATTTGGGTTACTGGGCCTATGGTTCGCAGAAAACGTGTCAATGCTTTATGGAAGTAATTGTAGAATAGTTTAATAAATATATTGAAATTTATGCGTCCATCTTGATTCAGGCACTTACGCAGAGAATGGCTTAGAAAGGTATAAAGGGTAATGCTCAAGCTGATAGAATGAAGAGTTTCCTTTCTTTCGGCTTTATCGTCACTATGCCTCCGCTCTCAGTTCACTGAATTCATGAGCACCTGTGTAAGGTTAAATTATTCAAATGAATGCATACCATTATAATTGAGATATAGCTATTTTCATCCTGTATACTCTAAAAGCACTGCATTGAAGCCAATAAGGATTTTGAATGTTTAAACGCATTTGACATCAGCATGTCTGCCAAGGTGCTCACATCCAGCTTTTACTAAAAGTCATAACATGCTACAATAGCCTGCCCAGAGAATCCAAGACTATACTACATTACTCTATTTGAAATTGATACTATAACATAAGCAAGACTACACGAGTTAGCTGTCAGCCCCAGGTTGGCCAGGCCAAGCTGGTTTCTCAGAACCGTCAAACTCTCCGTAGAAGCGATTTGACTCTACTACTTTGTGTTGGGTTCCGCCAATAGGTGCATCGCACTCTGGGCATTTCGAGACTTCCGTCGCACCGCCACATTCACCAACATAGTAAGGATGTTGATTTTCGCATACAAACCAACGACCACCGACCATGTTGTGAATAGCATGCTGTCTGGTTTCATCATTCATCGCGCTTACAATTTGGTCTCTTTCTTGAGGCGTCAATTGCTGTCTCTCCTTTTCCAAACGCATCTTGATCTTGTTGACGAGGTTGATCTCTGTCTTGACGTACTGGTTGTAACGCAAAGCAGTGTAGATGGTTTTTTGACAGGTTGGGCAGCCCCAGACCTTGACAGCCGTATGTTCTCCGTTCTTGGCTTGATTCTTAAAGTACATGTCGAGCCCTTCAGCAGAGAAAGCTAGAGAATCATATTAGAGCTATGATTTCATTGAAATAGATCTTCCAACTTACCACAACCGCAATCTGGGAGCATATAGACTCTCTCATTCTCCTCAAATTCAGACAAGGTACGCAAAGTAATAGAACATTTAAGATCACCGTTGCAGGTAGCGCAAGGAGGGCAGGGCTCGCCACAAAAACCAGAGCATGTATGACTACCACATCAATTAGTGACAACACTCGAGCAACATATAGACATTCACTACTTACGAGCATTTGAGGATACGTTTACATGGCTGGTTGCAAGGGGGTCGATCACAAATCTCATAGCATTTCTTGGTACACTTGTAATGTTTGCAAATATAAGGACACTCGCTAATACAGCGAATACAATCCTTGTAACACTCGCGACTACACTTGTATCCATGGGAGCATACATAGTTGCACTTTTCAGCACAGCGTTCTGTATGGTCATCAGGGTTTCTGCAGCCTTTAGCGCATCGATGACCACAAATCAGCTGTTTGGAGCAACTAGCAGTGCATTCACTACGATCATGCGAATGAGGTTCACCACACTAAAGCACGCAAATTAATATACACTTGCCCTTTGTACTATGAATGGCTCAAACTTACCATAGAGTGACACTTGTGTCCGCACTCCAATACAGCATTACACACATGAGTACACACTGGTTCCACGCCACATCGACTCATGACAGTATGTCCACAAGGCAACTGGACTTCCGCTTGCACATGGCACTTCATTTCGTCGGCCCTGCTCAATTGACAGCACTTGATTATGGCCTCATGTCCACAGGCAAACGTATGAAGCACTTGTTCTTGACACTCGATGCGATTCATATTCTGCAATTCATGACAGATGCCTACATGTGTATGACCGCAACGCAATTTCACTGTGGTTTCTACAGAGCAAGGAGGACAGATACCGTTCTTGGAGCATTCAAAGCACTTCTTCTCACAGGCATGTGTACAGTTAGAGGGTCGCAGTCGATTGCAAGGCTCTTGACAGATGATTTGATCATGGCCACCAAAATGACACTCCTCCTTACAGACATGGCCATCCGTCATCAAGGTAGCGCACGGCTGTTGGCAACCACCGTTCTTCATCTTCAAAAAGTCTTGCCAATGGCCAGCATACAAGGAATTACCATGTGTGGCACAAGTCAATTGGATGGCTGGACCATACAATTCACTGTCCTTCATAAAGCTGGCAAAGTCATCCCAGCGACGATGCACACGATCCTTTCCAGGCTTACCCACGATATACAAACCATAGCGAGCACGCGTCAAGGCGCGAGTGACATTATCATAGCTAGATGACGAGTGGCCTGGTGTAGCAGTGGATACAATAGCAAAGTTGTTTTGTCGGCCAGTGTATTGCTCAATGGTGTCAAGGTGAATTTTAGCAATGTTCTTTGTGAAACAAGTTCGCTTTGGGATCTCTTCACGCAGTATATGACGAATCAAGTACTTTTGCACAATAGAAACTGTCAGGATAGCAATGCCTGTGCTTGGGTATTGCTGCTGGCTCAAATAGACGGCAAGGCTAGCGACGTAGTGTGCCTCCTCGACCTCTGCCTTGTTGACTTGTGTGTGTACCAGCTTGGAATAAAAGGCGTCTGCTTCCGTGTCTTCACTGGACTGATAATCCACATAGTAAGCACGCTGCGTGATACCATAGAGTGCCTCCATTCTAGGGTGCTTGCCATCCACCATGTTTTCATTGTAGGTGATCATGGGCGCCGTAATCAGTGATGAAGACTCAGTAGTGGCCTTGCTACAGTTAAACTTGTCAATGACACTCACCACATCAGAATGCATACGCCACTGTTCTTCTAGCGGGGTCATTTCACTATTGGATCCCTTCCAGCGCTCAAACATGGAAACATCAAAGTTGCGAGGATTACCAGCCAATGCAGGGTTTGTAATACGAGGCTTGAACAAGTTGTCACTTGTACCCAGCAGGATCAAATGTTCAGTGCGAGGTCCCATAATGATAGAGGCAATGGTCGATTCCAGGATTTCAGAGGCTTCATCCACGATGACGCCACGAGGCCATAAGGTAGAGACCCACTCACGGTTAGCAGCAGCAACGTCAGCGGTCATGCCAATGATACGGTTGAAGCGACACAGATAAGTCCATTTCTGAATCAAGATCTCGTCGTAGGACTGTGCTGCTTTGAGTTGCTGTTGCAAAATGTCTTCAATTTCAGCGTCAATAGCCGAGAGAAGGACCTTGACCAAGCTATTGATCAGTTGTGTCTTTTTATCAGCCTCCAAGTGCCACACTTGATCAGCAGGCACACGTCGCCACACTTGAAGGAGGGAAGAGCGAAGTTGAGCGCCCGTGCCAGCAGAACTGTCAAATGGCCAGTTCACAGCATCACTGATAGACGAGATTTGAGGAGAATTGGTTGCCATATGCGTAAATCGAGCACGAAGCACGTTGGGATCCAGTATAGGCATAATGCCACGGCCCCCTCTCTTGAGATAAGCGTTCTCTAACGTCCACTGGGCATGGTTCCATTCAGACAGAGACAGCTGAGTCTTGCGATAGATGTGAGTGAGCTTGTCTTGACTAGCCCAGGACTTCCACAGTGTCAACGTGTCGTGTGTGGGTGGATAGGCAGCACCCTCGTGGAATTCCAAACTGTAGGCCCTGTTCATGGCAGACAGATAAGGAGGTGGCACAGCAGAAGACAGTATAGCAGGACAGTGCGCATAAATCTTGGTTCGCTCTTGTAACAAGGTCTGCAACTTGGCTTGATATGAGGTCAGCTGACGTTCCAGTATTTGGAATTGACGGTAGTTGTTATCCGACATGGCAGGTGCAGCCAACTGTGTTGCGCACTTGCTCTTGAGTACCTCTTCATAAGGCTCACTACCAAATCGCACTACGTCAGGGATATGCTGTACAAGAGGCTTCAAGATGTCATCCAAGCACGACTGCGTCTTGGCAATAATGAGAATGGGTTGATGGAATTGTCCAGCGGTCAGTGCTTCACTCATCAATTGAGCCAATTTGCAGGCCAGGAACGTCTTGCCAGTGCCAGGAGGACCCGAGATGGCAGCAATGCGATGCGTCAATGCAAACTTGATGGCCTTGAGCTGACTAGGGGACACGTTATACAGGGGAGTGCGTCGTGCTACTGGAATGGTTTGCTCCAAATGTGAGGTAGGTGCGGGCCAAATGTCTTCACCAGGCCGAGCACGGTAGTTGCCCATGCGTGTCATGATACATGAGATGTCAATTTCGGCACTAGCCAAATAGTCAGGGGTCGTATCGCCATTGGTCATGATGGCTTGTTCGTAATTCTCTTCATCCCAGCAAGTGATCTGTGCCTGAGACAGGATGTTCTTGGCAGCCAGCACTCTAGGTGTCAGCACAGAGGACCAGTGCTTCTTTTCCAGCTTCAAGTGTTCATTGTACAGCCACTTGAGCACCGCCTTGGTGGCGTTGGCATTGTTCTTGCAAGTAATGATTGTGTAGCGATGGCTCAAGTCTAGTTTGTGGATATCATCACGGTCAATGTGGATAGACACCAAACGCAGTGGCTGACCATTGGGTGTGTAACTGGATTGAGCACGCACGGCCTGACCCATCATGGAAATCTCGGCAACTTGTTTCTTGACAGCGTGTTGCTCTGAAGGACTGGCAGCAGCAGGCCGCTTTTCAGGCATAATCAAAACCAAAGAGCCTTCCTCGAAATCAGAGACGACGTGATCCGTAGCCAAAGCAGGGCCCAACTTGAATACAATGCAAGGCTCCGAGGTTTGGAACGACAGTGTGCTAGACAAGGCCAACGTCTTTTCGTAGACAGCACATTCAGGCACAGAGATGTTGCTGGAATTAGAACCCCTGAGCAGCTCCTTGATGACCGCTTGAATAGGACCCACAAATTCGTCACGCAGCATCAAAAAGTGGAACAGTGTATAGTTGACAAGGTCGACATTGGGCCATGGGTTGTGCAGCTTGTTAGCAATAGTGATTTCCTTCTTGATCTCGTAATTTCGCAGTGGATTCACCTTGTCAATTACTTCAGTCACCACATTATCCGCCACAGGCAAAGAAGGCAAACTGTAGTCCAACTCACTCCTAAATTCGCCACGATGCAGCCCTCCTTCTCTTGCACTGGATCTCTCCACGGACACAACCTTCAATAAACGCAACTGCTTCAAAAACTCGGCATTCAGATCCTGGTTGGTGATGCCTTTGGCGTGTTCATAGATGCGCAGTATATCATCCATAGGCAGATCTTGATAGATTTTGGGAAAGAATCTTGACATGGTTACTGAGAATTGTAGAATGACCTTGATATCGTCTGGTAGTGTAGCATAGTTCTTGATGAAGCGGACAAAGTAGTAGCTAAAGGTAGTCCAGTGTGTGTTGATCTTGCGCGCTGTCTCCAATACCGAGAGATTGGCCTCGTATTCCATCACTACAGTCAATGCTTCTAGCAGTAGGCCAAAGGAGCGAGGTGATAAATCTTGCAGTGAGCGTTGAAGTATCCCATCAATCTTTTTCTGAAATGAATTCACCACAGTGCGAATATTGAACTTGGTAATGACAGAGTAAAAGCAATGCATCCAATCTCTATCAGCCTGTGTGATGACATGCAACGCAACTTGCTGCTGCTGCTGTGCTGGATGTTGTGCATAGCCATTGGCTGACATGGGTATATAGGGAGACGGCACCATGACCATAGGAGCCATGTGTTGCACGGGATGAGCGACATTTTGAGGCATCCACGCTGCTGATGCTGATGCTGATGATGCGTGCTGTTCTGGCTGCTGGTTGTTGAAGAACCTTCTCGTGTTGGTGCCGTTCTCGTAGGAAGTCCAATCAATCACGTACTGCGGTTGTTTAGCCCAGGCAGGTGAATCTCTCGCACTGGATGATGAAGCGGGTTGTGGGGGTGGAGGTGGTGCTGGATAAGCATCGTATTCTAAAGCCTCAGAAGAAGCCTGTTTATTTACATCAGTTGCCCACACAGGCGAATTATCTGCCACAATACCAGCATATGTTTGCTTGGGTCGTTGTTGATCCACGGATGTGGCGCTGTCAAATGGCGTGCTGTATTGTGTGTTGGTGTTGGTGTTGGATGAAGATGACATTATCACAGGATCGTCAGAAAAAAAGGCACTGGAGGACAACCATTCCGTCTTCTTTTTGCTTTTAGCGTCCACCAACTTGACATCTACACCTTCGTCCCATAAATTGACAGCTTCTGATTTAAGCTCTTCAAAGTTGATGCCTGCTGGTTTCAATTTGACAGATGTGAGTGAATCGATAGTACCGTCTCTGGATTTGTGCTTGGAGTTGGCAGTGGAACTCGATACAGTGGGTGTCATGGGCCCAGTGTATATATCCGGTGTGTTCTTGCTGCTGTTGTTGTTGTTATCAGATGAAACGGAGGAGCGCTGTGCATCTCTGCTGATGCTGTAAGGGGTATAATCAGTGTTGGATGGTGTGGAATGGACTGGCCTGTTTAGTGTAGGATGAGTATCATTCACTGACTGAGATGGCTAGCATATATACATACATGGACTGATGGACATGGCTCATGCTAGATGGCGGCGATTGCACATTGGATTGACTAGAGCAAACAAGATGGTTAGCATCTTTCCTACCAACATGTAGACAGTGTACACATACGGACTACTGCTGGTAGCTGATGGTCGTTTACTAGGCTTTCCTCGCGATCGTTGTGGCACTAGATCATCCATAGAAGTGTATCCAGTGCGGCGAGGTGGAGTAGTGTCAACTGACTTAGGCGGCTGTCGTGTACCATTTGGAAGCATCGAGTTGAATGATGATTTAGACAAGCAATGCTTTTTGAATTCCATTAGACCCTCCATTCCATTGAGTGCTGCTGCTGGTCAAAGGTTGGTGTAGATAAGATAGAGAGAGATGTCGGATAAAGAGAAAAGTAAGAATGCAAGTGGGAATCCTGCGATGGTTGCTAATAAGCAGCCCAATTCATGGACACCAGACAGTCACCATATGTAAACTTGAAACAAGCCATCATTGCTTGAAATCAAAGGGAAGGAGGTACACCACTCGTTTTCAAGGAGTGGATATGCTGGGCTGTATCTGGGATCATGGCAAACTCACTGGTGGATTATAGCATCTACCTCTTTTGTGTGTAGGCTACTTGTTCTCATCATTGGATCCTTTGAGATTTGATACGGCTCATCCATCAATAAGAAGCATCGCTAAATGGAGTAGCGTTTACACCAACATACAAGGAGGCATTTTCAATCCTTCGCGGGTGAAGCGATCCACCACAGAGTACATTGCTATTGTCTTGCTCAGTCAATTGGTTCTGGACACGTTGCGCTTGAATGTATCCATTACACATTTTTATCCATGAAATACACCATCATTAGCTCGATTTTCTTTGGCTTTGGCTGCCAGAGTGTACGAAGCCAATCGAATTAAAAGTAGCTAGCGTCTAGCAAATGTGCCGCTATACTAGACGCTTCAGGAGCATCTCGCGCAAAAGCATCTCATATCACACCACCCTATCTCGAGTTCCATATACGGCAACTTGAATCAGTTTAAGCTTTTTTTTTTTTTTTTCTCAAAGGACACCCTTTTTTTTTTTTTTCAACGAATAAGGTACCGAGCGACTCTTACAGGTGATGTTTTATTGTGTTGTATATTAGAATGGCTGTCTAGAAGGATTGTCATGCAATGAAACCATCTTGCGATTTGTGTATATACTACTACCTACACAAGGGATGTCCAAACGAACGTAAAAAAAGGGCGCCTTTCTAAGAAGAGTTTAAAGCGATTTTACAGGTGCGATATGAATGGACATTGTTGTCTTTAGCTTGCCCATAACCAACAGATGGCAATGGTGTGTGATGGTCTGGTTTGAAGCTCCACCTCTTCCCAGATGTCCATTTCTATAAAAAGATTATTTATATTAACCCTGTTTTTCCTTTTTCTCTTCCTTCTTTCTTTCTCTTTCGTTCTTTGATATCAATACCTGTATACGCTTACACACGCACATACACAAGATGGGTCAGCAATCAAGCAGAGAACATGCACCCTTGACATTTGGCTATGTGAATCATGCGCACGACGAAGAAAACGGCGACATCATTGAATCACTGCAAGACATGGACACAAATCAAAAGGACTTTGTGTTGGCTAATCCACATTTATACCAATTGCAGTCCATTTGCCACGAATGCAACAAGCTCAAGGCGGGCAATGAGGTGGTGGTCTCGCTTACTGGTGAATCATGCTCCAAATGTCAGAAACAAAAGAGATTGTCATTGGTCCGAAAAGACTTGGCAGAGGATTTGGAATACATTGATCAAACATACTACCCAGATTTAGTCCACTACAACACCTCTGAGCAACAAGACCCTATGGAGAAAGAATTGCTGCAGTTTGAAAAGGACGACAACGAAGCAGACAACGGCTCTCCTCAACAATGGTCCAGATTGACTATCGGTGAAGTGACTCCGGGAGGTACAAAGAGAAGACCAAGACGTCTCACAGGTCCTTCTATGGCGGTGGATTTGTCTGCTCGGTCGCTGGTGAAACTGAGCCCAAGTATAGGCTATCTCGATAGCTTGACTAAACTCAACCTGTAAGTGCCGTATTTGTTTATCGATTGTGTAATTACAATACTTATATAATGATGATGTGTAGCTCAAACAATCAAATGACAAGCCTGCCTCGGGAATTGGGCTATCTCAAAAATTTGCGTGTGCTCAACATATCCAACAATGCCATTGACGAGATACCCGACACTATTGCCTTCTTGACCAAACTCAAAGCCTTGAATGCGAGCCATAACAAGCTTGTGCAACTGCCTTCCTCCATTGGTCAATTACCTAAATTAGTGATTATTATTGCCAATCACAACAACCTCACCTCGCTCCCTCGAGAATTCTCGCATTTGGTTAACCTGATTTCACTCAATGTTTCAAACAACCCACTCAAATCACTGCCTGCTGAGATTGCTGCTCTTGGATCGCTTCGAAAATTAATCACAGAGGAGTGCGACTTTCAGCACGAATACAGCTATGACCTCAGACACAATCCACCTTCCCTGTTTGAAACGTGCGCTCGTATCGCTGTTCGATCTCAACAAAATATCCCAAATCAGCTGGCTGATCATATCAAAGATTATATTTCTCGCGCAGATACCTGCTCTTATTGCCAAGGCCCGTTTTTTGATAGTTTTGTTACGCGAGCTCGTTTCATTGAACGAAGAGCTGGTCAGCCCCTGGCGCTGGAATACACGCTGTGTTCGGCGCATTGGACGCATGAAAATGATAGATTGCTCGCCATGTTCTCTCAACAGCCTGCCGGTACCATGTTGAACAAGGTCAGAATTGACATGGATGGTTTGAATGATGCGCCCACTACCACCTCTGCTCGTCATCGTGCTTACAGCGATAGCTGTGCCAGCAGCCCATACAAATCACCCACCATCGCTACACCTTCACCGCTTTCTCGACGATCCAACTCAAATGCATCGGATTATCCACCCTCTACTTCCATCGCTACAGACTACTTTTCATTATCAACACCCATCTCATCCTTGCTCAAAAATCAGCCTGATTTACCAGCACTTCCCATCACAGAAGAACCATCCAGTTTTGCAACAGGTTCGAGAACTCCTGGATCGTCTCCTCGTCCATCCTCTCCTTCTCCCTCATCCATGCTGCTTTTACCTCCCAGAAGCAACAGACCTCGTGCATCTTCAGCAGCCTCTGTAACGAAACGATTGACCAACTTTATTCGTTCCAACAGCAGTTCCTCCATTACTAGATCCCGTAGTCCCAGTACTTCATCTACCACTTCGTTGCGCCAAGAAGTATCGGCCAGTGTTGTCATTCCTCAACCCTCAGTAACCACAGAAACATCGCAGAATGGATTGCGTGATTGGGCCGACAGTATTCAAATCGCTGCTGCTGCCGCTGCTGACACCATAGCGCACAGTCAACAGCAACAAGACCAAATCAATGACATGTTAAAGTCGCACCATCAACATCACCATCATTATGCTACTGAAGTGTCATCAGAAACATAAAAGTGCTTTCTATATTCACAGAGGGCGAATTTATTATGTACCATCATCTTGTAGCTGTTTTTCTTTCTTCTTTCTCTACCTTGTTTTCTCGCACATGTATAAATATTCTATATCTTGATAGAAGAATACCCTTCCATTCTCTATTTCTATTTTGACAATAAAAACTTTTAACCACAGATCAATGCAGATTCACCTGTTTGTTTCAGATCTCGTTTCTACTCCATACTATCGAGGTAAAGGTCATTAGATCTTCACTATATACATTCAAAAAAAAAAAAAAAAAGTAGACAAGCCAATCATATCCTTTCAAAATGTTAAAGAATTGTGCGCCGTACAAGGTGAATAAAACCACCGGCAAAGCCAGCAACGGGGAGGGGGGGAGGCTTGGGGGAAGAACATAACGTATCTAATCCAACACTTGTTAACATTGATCTATAATATGAGGGCTTGATTGCAGCGAAGCAAAAGTGCAAAACCATAGTATTCAAGTAGCAAATCTGGGTGTCCATTTCCATTGTTAATAAGCTTACCAGCATGAATTAGCTTTGCCAAAATCAATATGCCTCTTATTCGAATTGGAAGTTGCACAGGCTGCAGAACTGCCCTTCCAGAAGATTTCGGCTACCAAAGATGTGCTTCATGCCGTGCAAATAAAAGCTATAAAACAATACATAACCAAGTTAGACAGCTTTCAAGCCTTCGTATCTTGACATGTAGACCTTTCTGAGCCACCGTAATGACGCCAAACAATTGCACTTGAGTAGTAGTAACTTTCTGACACCTTTACTCAACTTTTTGAACCAAAAAAAAAACATGGTCAAAAATCGATCAAAAAGCATGAGGAATACCTCATGGCTTTCATCGAAAATCCAACGATCGCGTTTTTCACCTTGAAAATGAAGACTTTTACTATAGTATATGTTAAATCAAAATGTTTCTCTCGATCCAAAGCAACCTCTGAACCCACTTTTATGAGGCTTTCATATGCAAAATCTGAGTATTTTCGCTAAAAACCTCATTTCAAATTTTATTAGATTGCTCAATAGATTCATTCAAAACACTTACAACAGTTAGCACCATTGGAAGCACTTTGAAAAGCACTTCAAGAATGTATTAGAAAGCATAGGGTGATCATCACAGTTTATATAGCCGAATATCACAAAATAGAAGAAAGAAGTCGAAAAAAAACGAAATCTGTCCAATCTTGAAGAGAAAAAAATAAACTGAGTTTGAATCAATTTTAGCGGTGGTATTGCTGTTGGCTGACCTAAATGCCTTTCTGCTGGTGACAATGATGATTGCGATGCTGATTAATTGGGAATCATGGAATTGCAAGGACAATTGATTAGCTCAAATAATTTTTTTGAAGAACTTTGCCTTATGGAGGCGTCTTTTGCAATGACAATATTTCAAAAAAGTCGCAGTAGATCTTACACAAATCCTGTATTTACTATGACCAGCTTTATGTCTCCATCTTATTAAGAGCACCAGCAGCAGCGAATGATATGACAATAAGAAAATGGCGATTGTAATGTGCAAATGCTGCATAAAATTTGAATTTCCTTTCATATTGTCCCGATAATTGGCTTTGTTTGATATCAGTGTAAGCAAAAAGGTCGCTGAGGGAGATACCTCCTTTCCTCCTCCTAAATCTAACGTAACTTTTCTTTTACTAGCTAGTAGTAATTAGTTGTATAAAATCTACTTGATATACCAAAATGTTATAATATCTGATTTAAAATGTCTTTGGCGAGAGTCCACAGGGCGACGCCGACATCGAGCGTAGCGAGATAGATCGACTAGTAAATGAATACTGTATAATGTATAAATAGTATGGCATTTCGCGTTAGGGCTGGCATTTGTATAGGTATTTTCGATTGATTAATTTCTGTACATCACAAATCTATACCATGCCGCAGTGCGTTTCAATGCGCAATCCCCTTCATTCGAGCCTTCAAAAACAATGTTTACCTCTAAAACAACAGTGGCATATCCAGCCAAAATCATATTCAGCTTCGACTTTTTTTTTATTATCTTAAGATTGGCCAGATCTAACAAAATTCGACTTTATTTTAACTATTTTGCGGGATTCGACTATAAAGCTGTGATGATCATCTCATGCTTTTTAATTCATTCCTGGAGTGCTTTTTAAGGCGCATTAAATGGTGCCAAATAAATTCAATGTTTTGAATAACGGTATTGAGCCATTTTTAAAAGTATGAAATGAGGTTTATAGCGAAAATGTCGAGATTTTCTATAAAAAGATATCGCAAACAAAGTTTTAGGGGCTGCGTTGGATCGAGAGCAACATTTTCATTAAATAGATACCATAGTAAAAGTCTTCATTTTAAAGGTCAAAAACTCGATCGTTTGATTTTTAATGAAAACCATGAGGTACCCCTCATGGTTTTTTGTCGAATTTTGGCGATTCCAGAAAAGTTCAGCAAAAGTGTTTGGCGGTAAATGCTAGTTAAGAGCAATTGTTTGGTGCCACTCTGGCGGTCTAAAACGGTTTCCAGCGTGAGAAATCACGGCTGAGATGCGCCTAAATTTCGCTGTGATGTGCATATTTTTGTTTAGTTGGAGGCAATGCAAGGGTGATATGTACCCTTATCTGATGTGAGGCATAGAAAGAAGGCCAGACCCACAGTTACATATTCCAGACGAGCTTTTCGTATCACCTTTCACGCGTCCTGGAACAAAATCTATTGGCTCAAGCATGCGAACAAGAGCCAATTTAGGATATTTCTTGTAAAATGGGGGGCAAGAGCTTGATTGTGTTTGTATTGGTAAGGACGCTTATTTCATATGCGTAGAAATGCAACAGTTGTTCAATAATGCAAATGTAAATTTATTTGGTTAAGATAGAGTTGGTAGAAGGCTGGTATGTGGTGCTGGTATGTAGTGCTGGATATAAGGGGAGGCAAATGTTCAATTGAGTCAATCTTGATCTCTTCTATCTTCTAAACCATCAAAATCTCGAAGATCTCGAATTACTTGGTAGATTTCTGCTACTACTGCAACAAATAGCGCCATCGTATTCCAAATAAAGTCTTGTTTGGTGTCTTGGCCAGTGTTGTAGAGATCTTAAAAGTAAACCGTGGTAATAACAAAGGTGCAGATTAGCATGACAGAGTAAACATAAAGCTCGCACGGAGACATTTTTTTTTCAGAGAAAAGCAAAGCCAATTCGATGAGGCAAATGGCCGAGTAAATGACAATGAAAGCGACAGAGTGGACCCAATTGTTGTTAAAGTTGATAAGGCCACATAGAGGAATCAGGGACGCAAAAGTGGTTAGTAGGATCGGGAACCTCTGAAGCATATTTCGACGGCGCTTTTCATTGATGGGGAACATGTTATTTAAAGGTAGCTGTAAAAGGTGTATGTATTTAATGAATAAAAAGAGATTAGAATGGTCCTTTATATACAAATTCAACAAAAACCGCCGTTTTACTTCATCAAATCAAACATTGGCATCATGTGCAGTCAGCGCTATAAGTTTGGGTGTACGCTTTTGATATTGTCATGTCCTTAACCGTTTATCTGTCAAATCATCATATTAAGCTTTCTGCAAGGCCCAAAGAGGCGGATCTCTATTTTTTACTTAAACTGCAAACCCGACGTTCTTATAAACCTAATGTAATAAACCTAATGTAACAAACAAAGAACCAAGCTTGAGCGCATTGAGTAGTCAGTGTGGGGAGATGCTATTGGTATCCTAGTATTTAACCGCGACAAAGATTCCTCAAGCCTGTTTGATCCTTTACATGTGGGCAAGATATCTTTAGTTTGACTCGCCATAAGAGATAATTATTAAATGCTGCACGACTCATACGAAACACAACGCCTCCACAATGTAACACAAAGCCTTTCTTTCTTGATCTAAATTTGTGCCTGACTATTAATAATGTATGAAACTCTCACTCGTATGAGCATAGCACTAGCTAAGCAAACCACCACTGAAATGTAAGTGCTGATGAAACCCTACCCTCGACTTGAACATCAATTGCTATTACATAATGCATATCAATGTAAATACTAAGTATTGCAAAAGGCCTAAACGGAAAGCAAATGATGTGAACGAATTACATCGATGACAAATAAGCTTGTTCATAGTTTATGGAGTCTGTTGTAAACATTAGACGCTTTCCTACATCATGCATTGTGCATGTTATAAATAAAGATTTGATACAGTATTGGTTTAAAAGGGACAACCCACTAGACATGATGAAACGCATTTATCAGGAAGTTTTGAATGTTTGGTGTTATCAGCATGGTGGTTAGAACTTCTTCAAGTCAAAGTATTTTTTGGGATAAATTGTTAATACTGTTAAATTGCGTTGATGATCGTATATTGTTATTGTTGTAAATGGATGATGGTCCGATCCAACGTTATTAGAACCCTCTTCTTCGGTTACTTCCAACTTGTACCCCTTCTATCTATCCTGGCTTGTGTTCGTTTTTAGGAATTTGCTACGCACTTTTACGTCGTTATGAACCTGGTTCTACAGCTTTACAACAAACCTGGCAGGCCTTCCAAAAGAGTGCAATAACATAAACTTCAATACAATTATTACATCATTGTCTGTGAAGCCTGTCATTTGCCTGAATCCTTTTTTCAAATATGTGAACTTGGCCGTTGTCAAGAGTTCTAACGTTCCCAAATCAATTGGCTGCAAAGCGAGCTCAATTCAAAGGCTTTGGTGCTTTTTTGGCCTATGATTACACCAAGCATGAGATATACAACATGCTGTTGAACATCTCACCAAGATATTTCAATTGATTTCTATCTTCCATTTCCCTGCTTTTCCCTTTTTTTTTCAGAATCTTCCAATATCATTGCCCTCATTGATTGACCTGTCCTGTGCGCTGTATCCTCTTGTCAATTAATATTATCCTGCATTGTCTGGATGCTTACCTTGTTGCCTGTTTGATTTATACTCAGCACAACTTCTTGCTCACCCAAGAGTGACTCATTGTTTACCAAACCTAAACGCGTGCACGGTTATGAAGTAGCATGAATTAAAATCGATACAAATAACCAATGGATTCTCTCTCAAACGACGCCGAGTTCTTCATTACCCACTGAATACACGTCTTTGCATTTGGTCTACACATAGGCTTGCCATCGAATGTTACTTTGAACCAATTATTCGAACAATGAGCATTTTATTGATGGATTCTTTCACTGTTTATTCGAAGAAGACATGTAGCTGCACTTGTTCTGACCCTAAAGCTAAATGGCTTTCAGCGATTGGGTATTAGTAACGAGCCAAACTTTTACTCTAGGTTTCCGTCAAGATGATTCAACTGAATATGCGATGCAAAAAGTAACAATGAACTTTGATCGCAATGGTACAGCGAAAACCGGGTTTCTCTCTTTAAAAAGGTGTCCTGTCTATCACACATACTATACAATTTATTGCTTTGATTCAACAACAATCAACACATCATTCTCATTTCGGAAAATGTCTAATAATCTTTTGCTCATTTGCTTGGGATTAATGGGAATACTGACTTTACCATTATGGCGAGAAACTGTGAATGAATCAGGTAGCCCATCCAGCTCCTGGAAATGCGCACTTGGTGAGTGTTTCCATCCTTGTAATCGCCATACCCTCCACCCACATGATATACCTCTTTAATATCTTCAATGGCAGTTTCAATTGATTGATTTTTCAAGTAAACAGATCCCAATAGACTATCATCTTGACGGTGCGACAAATACACGAGCACTTCTCTCTCTTCTGCTGCTGCTGATGATGATGATGGTACTGAAGCGGATGATGTAGCTGGTGTCGATGGAGATACTAGTCATTGGGATCAGTTTCACACACACACACACACACATATATACTTTCTCCCCAAGGGCAATCGACACAAACCTTCTTGATCAGGATTTTTGACCAAATCAGCAGCCTTTTGCTTTCTCAAGATGTTTTCAACCTTATTCTCGGAGAACTCTTCAGGCAACAGCCAAGTCTTTTCTAAATCAGGATTTTGCATGTATGTTGGCACAATAGGAAGAGCTGGCTCAGGTCCCACAGACATATCTGCCTTGTCACCTACAGCAGCACGTAACACGGCAGCAGCAGCTTCATGATTTGCAGCCAAATCAAGAGCTGTTTGTCCTTTTTGAGTCTTGATAAGCGGGTCTGCACCGCTTCTTAATAAGGCTGTAACAACATGTTCATGGCCTCTATGCGCAGCCCAATGCAAAGCTGTCCTATGGATTGTATGGTTGGACATTGGAAGCCTACTTTACCTTGTTGATGTAGATGATGACTTACCAGCCGTTCATGGCATGCTGCGAGTTTAGGTTGACGCCAGAATGAGCTAAATGAAGGGTCGCCTTGACGTTGCCTAATGAAGCCACTTCTCTCAAAGTGTGCTCTCTTTCATCACCGAATTGCATATTCGTATAAAGATTGATGGCAGTAGAAGATGCTGGAAAAGGGTTGAAATAATTTTTCTCGAAACACGGCGCTCATCAGCGGATTGATTCGACTCCGATATTGATTGATCTCGTAGGTCACATTGACAAGATACAGGTACAAATGTAGCACTCTAAGGAGTCAATTTGCTTGATTGAGCAACCAAAACAATGGTTTCCCGGAAAACGAGGTTATTATAGACACGACAGAGCTGTATAAAAATAAATCATACGATTGTGCTCTTCAATTGGAAGCATCCAGTCCAATGCAAACGATTACCAACCCCATACTTGTTTATTTTTCTCATGTATTACAGGATTTTCATTTGAAAGGTCAGTGTATGATACATATATGATCTTGATTGAGAGCGAGAGAAAATAGCTATATAAAGAAGGTGAGCTGATTTTTTTTAAATGTTTATATAAGCACAAAACTTGATGTATGGCTGTTGATTTGTATGACAAAAACACATTGAATATGGTAATTTCAATAATCACAACAAAGAGAAAAAAAAAAGGCCTCCTTAAAATTTGCATTTGTATTAATTGATTGATTGTTATGGCTGTTGTTTTCTTTTCTTCATTGTCAATTACATCCACACATCAATGCCAAAGACAGACAACAGTTTCGCAACCTACACATCCATGATGCGGGTGACAAAGACTGGCAGACCGTTTGCAAAAGTAAGGACAACATGCTGCATGTTTCTGCGAACCAAGCAAGACTAAACCTTTATTCAGGATCTATATGACATGTTTGCTGCAATTTTGCTCCAAATCAAACTCAAAGATCACAGAGTCATGTTTCGCACCTATCCATATACGTTCACGACAGATGAAGCTGCCAAAGTCATGGAATCCCTGGTCTTTACTCATGTCCATCGCAATCCTGATCCAGCCAACCCATCCCGTCAAATTGCCACGAGAACCACTACTACATTCATTATGAACTTCAGCACAGCGAAGCACATGCTTCAGCAGTTCTTGTCAGCTCGATTGATCGTCAGTGCCACGGACCCCGCAAATTGGAGCATTAGGGACAAAGGTCTGTGGTGCCCAACGCTCAAAGGCAAATATGTCCTGGAGGAATTCACTGATTCGACACAAGTGAAAATGACAGACACTCTGATTGCAGCTCTCAATGCGCCTTACATGTCTCCAGGGGCTTCCGGAAGCACAGGAGGTCGTATCATTACACTGGATCGCATGGTGGATAATGATGATCAGATCACTTTCTCTCGCCCAAACATGACAGCCGCTTTTAAAGCAATGATGTTTAGCATTCCTCGAGATGCTCTGTTGATAGACGATGTTGGAGGTGTCGAGAAAAAGAGCTTTGGTATCTTTCAGTATAGCTTTATGGGCTCTCATTGCATCGAATGGCTATGTAACAGACTCACTGTAACATCTGTGGAGGAGGCTGAAAGTGTTGCGGCTGAATTTCTATTGTTTGGTTGGATTGCTCAAATACTAAACAAGGCAGACAAGACATATGGCACCAAGGAAGATGAGATTGCATTTCATACTGCTCGCAATGCTGTTTACTATGTCACTGAAAGAGGCTGTGTAGTCACTGGTTGGAAGCTGCCTACAGCAGAAGTGCCGATGCAAGGTGACAATCAAAGCAACAGCAGTGGCCTCTCCTTGGATTCAGATGGTAGTAGCACCAAGAAGACTATTCACCGTGGTGTCAGTAAGCCAACCCCATTAGTGCCACCACCACCTTCAACAATGCCAAAATACAACTATTACGACTCCATGGATAAAGAGAATGCAAAGAATCAAACCACTTTGGGCCTTACTGACATGGTGCGACATGACTCTGCAACTGCCATGATTGAGCAGGCTTTATCCCAGTCATCTATCTCTCAGGATAGTAGCTCAATGGAAGGCGGCGTAGTAGTCCAAAGGCATCCTCCTCAACGTCCACCGAGTATGTCCATCACAGACTCCACAGCATCTCAAAACAGCACAGCATCCAATACCGCAGCCGCTAGCGTGAACAAGGAAAACTCTCAATGGACTCGCCTCACACAAATCTTGGAAACACCATTGATGCGCTTGTACTTTAGAGAGTTTTTGCGTTCCAACTACAGTGAGGAAAATATCAACTTTTGGGTGTCACACAATAGACTATTGAAGAATCTAAAACAGAACAACAGGACCGTGTTAGAGCAGCTTGCAGAGTGCTATACGATCTACGAGACCTATTTGGGACATGATGCTACAGCCGATGTCAATATTGATCACGTATTACACCAAGAAATCACAAAGTATGTCAACACTGTGTTTGTCGTTGTCAACTCAACTGCAGCGATAGGAACAACAGCAAATACAGCTCCAGGAACGAACGGATCAATGCCACTCAAGAACCCTTACTTCATCGTGGCACCAACAAACCATCCTACACTTACAACAAATCAGCCCGTCAAATCCAGTAAAGCATCCAACCGACTGCTGCTCATACCGCCCTCAGTTTCAAATGGCATTAAGCAACGCATTGTTACTATTCGTGGTATTTCTCCAGAAAGATGCCTCATTAGGCTTCTCAAACTGTTTGGCAAAGTAAATGACCATGTGTGCCGAATGATGGCAGAAGATTCCGTGCCCAAGTTCATCAAGACGGAAAGATATCAAAAGTTGATTGCAAAACAACAGCATGACGCTTTGGCTACGGAGACGGATGATGAGGATGATAGCGATGATATTTCATTTGAGGATAGCAGTGATGAAGATGAGAATCGACGTAATATCATGCATTTGACAACAGCATTATCGGCACAACGATCTTTAATGGATCATCAACGACACGAAACAAATATCAACGCCACTTCTTCTATTACTACTATCACCACTGCCTCTGCTATATAAAAAAAAATACCATATATAAGATACTCCTCTCCTTTATCACTAATTTACATATGCTATTACGCACAACATCCGATATATGCATTAATTGAATTATAATAAAGTATGCCTGACACACCAGTCTAGTTGAATTCGAGTGTTGGAACTATTCCGGCAGCCAATGTTGTCGTTCAGAGTAAAGCACACTATATGATCAATGTCTGTTTTACAAAGTCTTGATGAAGGCTTTTCTGGCCATAACTCAAAAATATCTAAAGCGACTGCAAGATATTGTAGATATTGTACGCTTGACCATTTCACCAACGATCCGTATCCTACTTTTTTTTTTTTGTGAAAAATCTTTGGCTGATTTCAATTCACCACTGAAATGCTTCAAATCCTTGTTTGCTTCTATACATGATATGTCGTTAGCTCTTCACTATAACCTTCCAAACTCTATCCTTCGTTCTTGACGATCATTCTTCATATTTTTAATTCTTCCCATTCATGGTCAATATCCTCTTTAAATACCTTTTCCGTATTACCTCCTTCGTCTATAATTTATTGACATTCTCCAATCTAGACATTGCCTATCAAAGGCTATCACCATGCAAATGCAGTGTAAGGTGATATCGTCACAGTTCTGTTTGGTAAAAAAAAAAGATGTATTCTTCCTGGCATAGTGTAGATTCTGACAGGTGCCTCCGTTCCCAATAACTTCTTTTTCGAATATATGAAAAAAAAAAAAAAAACCTCATCGCATCCACGTTTTTCCAATCTTTCATCCATTTTTGAATCGTGCCTTGATTCGAACTTTAAAAGTAGCAAGTTCCTATGACAGAATTTTGCAACAAAAACGATAGTATAGTAGAGTAATAGATTGTGGGACGGGTTTGCTGATGATTTTTGAAATAAGTCAACTTTGAGTAATGAGCGACATATAAGAACCTGTTAATCACAAGTGATTACAAGAAATAGATCGATAGATGAGGTGTTACAAAACGTTGCATTCATATTAACCGCTTGGTGGTAGCTTGCTTTGTTGTAGTGTGGCAAAAGGTCAAAGGTTTGCTGTGCAATGTACGGAAAAGGGGGAACATCTATTTTAAATTTCATGTTGATGTTAGAGCTTTCAAATCAGAACAATTACATGCCCATTTCGAGGCATTGCTAAGAATATAAACGGAATTTCAGTTGCTGCAGTGGCCGTCAGATGATTGAGTAAAGTGTAAAGTAATAACCAATACAAAAAAAAACCAGTGTTTCGACAACGTCTCGACACTAGTATCTTTACAACAACTGTCAATTCAACCAAGATTCTTTTCTATTATTTAAATGCTTCTCCCATGTGTTTGCTCTACATAATGAGACCTCGTCAGGATACCTAATGCGACGCATTCTTTCAAAAATGAAGTTTGCCATGGTAAAAGTGCGTTCTTCTTCAATAAAAACAGCACAAAAGCGTCCATAAGGCGCTCAAGTCTATAAAAAAAATCCAGGGCGTATATTGACTTATGTTGACGCACAACAGAGAACTTATTATATGCGCTACTACTACAGCAACAAAAAATAGCGTTTGAGCGACTGATATTGGATAATTTGCCTTTTCGGCATAGCTCCGTGAAACCGTTCCAACCCGATTTTAATACAGTCTGTGGATGCCGTCTCTTGTATTACCTATTACAGGTCTCTATTCGCTCAAACTTGATACAAAATTGCGTTTTTTTTGCTCCCCCTCTCTCTCCCATTGTGCTGTCAACGACTCAGCGTGTGGGGTATCAGCCATTTCTCCTGAAATGCAAGTGTCCAACATTGTGAATAGACTTTAAGTTTGATTTTACGACTAGATATGGTATCTCTGACGTTAACGACCATTAAAAGCATCCTGCTAACCTGATGAACACCTGATTCAATTTGAGCAAGTCCTTAGCTGCCGATTTACATAATGTTATTGACGCTCAAATGTCAAAATTACTGTAATCGCGTATTTCAAAAAGCAGAGTCTAAGCCTTGGAATTGCAATAAAGGGCCTATTACTTGCAAATTGAGTTCCGTACAATGCAGACCATCTGGGTCATCAAAGAAAACCGTAATTTACTTACTGTTGTGCCAGAAGGGCTACAACTGTCTATAAAGATTAAGGTATTCTTGATGGGTAGATATGTCTGTGTTGTGCAACAACATGGACAAGCTATGATAAGCGAAGTGCATCTCAGCTATCTAAATACTGAGGTTCACCAGATGTGATAAGCGTTGTACAAGATAAATTGCTACTTTGGCATTCAGAACTTAGTATAAATAGAATAACTCTTGTCTTCATCAATAAATCTTTAGTTTTTGTGTCTGATCTTATTCAAATAAGTCTTTTCTTGTTTTTATAATATCGAACATTTTTTATAAGCTACAAATAATAACCCTTTTATTCTTTGTGCTTAACACTTACTCTTCTGGCAACGCAACCAAGTGCACCCTCGTTTTTAGTCAAGTTTTGTTCAAAACTAGCCCTTTTCAAGCACGAATAACTCATGCCACAAAGCGTTTTGAGCACCTGGAATAGCAAAACACATCTTCTCCTGGCTACGCATTACTTCCTGATGCCTTATTTCAGTATGTTTGGGTCATTGCAAATTCATGAAAATCGTCGTTTTTACATGAGTACTAGCAAGGGAAAATTCTGGAAAATCAAACAATCGTGTTTTTCACCTCAAAAACGAAGACTTTTTCTATGACACATATTAGATCAAATTGATCGTAATGGTAAAATGCAACATTGGAAACTATTTCTTTGAGACTTTCATATCCTAAATTTTGACATTTCAGCAGAAAACTTATTTTCAAATAATTCAAGATTGCTCTTTATTTCCAGTTTGAAAGCTGAATGTAACCAACATCATTCGATGCGCCTTTCTTGACTCTTTATAAATGCAATAGAGGGTAAAGTATAACAACGACAATTTCCGTAGTCATATTTAGCAAAAACTTTTATAGAATGTGAAATCAAGTCAAATTTGAACACAAAATATCCACTGCACAATTTCAAGTTAAAGTAGAGCAGTTACTACGGCTGCCACGGCAGAAGACTGAGACCAAAACTACTGGCCGTGACGTCGGATAGGTCGCCCTCTCATTTTTCCATACCACCCTTTTTTTTTATCCTTTTTGCAAAACGCGTTTAGTATCAAACCATATTGGTTTTGGAACCTTTTTGATTGAAAATAACACTCTATCATCTGATAACACGGTCTTGCACTGTCAAAAGTACTTGATACTGCTTCTTTGAGGTGGAATATCGTAGATATCATTCGTGTGGAATTTGAGGCTTTACAGACTAAAATTCACGGAAAAAAAAGAATAAAAAACAGTAATGTCAACTTGATAAAGGTATATTTTATTATCAAACTGACAGGTGTCAAGTAAACTGAAGTCTCTCTACTGGCCAGGTAGATGATCCTTCTTATATACTATAACAATGGATAAAAGTTCTATTAATTAGATTGACAAATAAGTCAACTCAGATCAACTAATGTCTAATCATGCTAAAAGACAACTCCAGCAAGCTAATCATGATTTAGCTCTGTCTGGATGAATAATTAGACTCTCATCCGAAGTACCCTGATCTATCCTTTCCATAAGGATAATTAATATCGATCTAGTAGCATGTGTCCGATAGGTACAGTCTTCTTAGTCTATATTAATAGTACATATCTGAGTGTATATCGCTAAGCATACATCTTTAGCATGTATCTGGATATATGGCATGTCTATAGCATATCGTATGCATGTCTATAGCATGTCTCATATATAGTACAAGTCTGTAGTACATAAAGTATCTGTAGCTAGTATCACGGATATAAGCATGTGTCTTATAGCGTGGATCATGAAGTGCACATCTGAAGCAACAAGCTCATATTGCATTAATCTTGGTGCCTATCCAGATATGGTAAACATCCGTAGTCAATGTCGGAATACAAGTATAAGTCTATAGTGCCATCCATGTCCGTGGTGCCATCTATAGCCTATATCTTATATAGTATGAATCTTATAGTACTAGCGTATCTGAAGTCCATATCTTCTCATGATCATAGTATAAATCGATATCGTACATCTAATCCAGTGTACATACAGTTTATATCTAAATCTGGTAACTGGATGAACTGTCGGAATGCAGATCATAGTGGATGTATTCCACATTTGCCCCCACCAGTTTCAACGCATGTTGACTAATTCAAAGAATTATGTAAACGATCAATGACCTGTATTTCGCATTCGCTGACAAAGATATAACGCAATGTGATAGTCTAAAGGTGCTACTGCAATTTGCATGTTGCCCTGATATATCCCATGACAAACATCACTTTACTGTTCTGCAACGTTGAGTCTCTTAGAGCCTCTCAAACGCTTGTCAGAATCATCACGCTTACGCTTTGATTTGGAGGAAGCAGTGTCACTATTTAGTGCCTGTCTTCTCTTCTCAAGCAGCTCATATTCCTTGATCTTTGCCCAGTACTTACGAATGGTTTGAGGGTTGTTGAACGATGCAGCAGTTTCCCAGGAGTTGGCAGCTTCTCCAAATGTCTTCCATTTTACCAAATACTCTCTATTGTGTTCAGGACCACGATGCGCTCTGATCTCGTCAACCTCATATACTTCTTGTTCGATGATAGACTCGTCGATTGCTACCAGCTTCAATTCAGATGGCACATAGTCGCGATGTAATAGTTCATTCATATCGTCTTTCAACACATATGTAGATCTTTTCTTTTGAACAACTTGATAGGGTCCATCATAAGCGGCCTCAAGTTTGCTTTCTCTATGCGGAAGTCTTACCATAACCCAATCACCAACTTTGAAGTGTGTAATCTTGTGATGCTTATTGAATCGCGTTGCTTGCTCCTCAATAATGCGTTGTGTTCTTTGGTTAATAGCTGGAAAGACAACCTGGTTCATAATCTCTGCCTTCTTGCGTAGCTCACCGAGAGTCATTGGCTTCTTTGGTAAGTTGTCCTTGATCTTAGGATCATCGT